AGGAACCACCAGATTATTTTTAGTCCGACTTGTGCACAAAAGATCAGCCAAGAAAATTACAAAGGAGCGACACTAAAACCCCTTTCAATTTCACATGGGGTGCCTTGTCACCCCTTTTAGCGGGTAATTTGCCATCAAATGGCTTTTATTTTGGCATCTGTGAAGGGTGGCTTTTTTTGGGAAGACGCAGAGGAAAAAATCTGTGACAGAGAAATTTTCCATAGCTCCACATAATATATTTGGAAATCTTCGCCTAGAGTCCGCGATAACGTATTGCGCGCTTTGAGTCGCGAGATAACGCCCAATAATTCATTTTATTGATATACACACTCTCTTATTTTCATTTGGCGAGAATCGAAGATTGAAGGCAATGGCAAAAAAGGCAATCAATTTTATCAAATTATGGCCACATACTATCAAATAACTGAATGTGGGATTTAAGGCAGATAAGCGCAGTTCAGTGGTTTTTTTTCTGTGGCTCTCGCGAGCACCAAATTTTATTGGGGCCCCACTTATCGAATGGAATCTTCACTGCTTTTCGTCGTCAACCTTCCGCTATCATGTGAAGAGGCTTGAGGATTGAGACAATTTCATCAGAATGCCTTTTTTTCCTATCTGGCCACAATAAATAAATCCATTTTTTACCTCTTTCATTGAATTTTCATTGCTCTTGAACACACTTGAGATAGCGAAGGTGTCTTCTAAAATGTGTCACCAGCAAAAAGAGTGACTCCACTTCTCTGATTGGCAAAAAAAACTGTTCCAATCTTTCAGCAGAGAACCCTTCTGGCCTTATTGAATTTGCCAAAAATCAATCATCAGCGCTGACTCGCCAAATTGATGTATCGCTCAGTTAATGTGATTTGGAGACTGTGCGAAAATTTATTCGACATATTTACAATTGGCTTCTATCTTATCGGTAAGTTCGTAGAAAAATAGTGAAAGATTTGTAAATTTAAATGTCTAGGCAAATTTAGTGAAACCACCATTGATTTATCACTAAATAATGATCTTAAATAATTCCCTCAGCTTATGATATATCATGCTTTGAGATATCGATCGAGCTGCTGTAGTGTTTCGCTGATGAAATGACGCAAGTATTTATCCATTTTACTATATGAAAGGCAATACTTTTATGATCTACTGACTACTGAATTTTGTTTGTGTGATAGCAGAGTTGTAATAATAACAAGAAATTGCAATTTGTTTGATACTTTCCTCTGTATTTGAATCCATACTGCACAGTTTTGAGACCTCTCCATTATGCTCAGTGAAGCATTTTTATCCTTCGTTGATCATTCATCCCTTTGGCAGGGAAATCGCATCGGGAAAAGGGTTTCAGATGCAGACATTGGATTCAAATGTGGCTTCTTTGTGCATCAGGTTGATGGTATTCCTTGTGAAATGCAAATTAATCGCCTCGAGATGCTTCACATTGAGTATATTTTCTCATGCTATTAAATTCCTTTCTTCTCAAACTCCTCTGGCCAATCGTGAGGGATGGAAATATCGAAGTATATAGGAAAACCGGAGAGGAATCTCCACACAAAGTCACACTGATGGGAATGGTTTTGAAGTAGATACAATAACATGAGGGAGGGACAATATTTCTTTGATTACTTTCCACTTAAACCCTTCTATTGGAGTCTCTGTTATTCTACGACTCTTCGGATGACGATATTAATTCATAGCCTGAGGAGAGTCTGTGAGACAAGAGCGAATGAGCGAAATCTTGTGAAATGAACACCTGATTTCCTGTGTGGAAATCATCAGGAAATTCTGCCTCACCCATGAGACTGAATTAATTTTAGGTTTCACCCCTCGAAAATATCACGATAATTCGATAAATACAAGCCACACTGCATGGGTGTCAATGAGAATTCCATCCAATGTGTCACAACAAGTGAAAAGTATATGAGTAAACAGGGTGTTTGGGGGGTTAAGGAGGCCACTGAGCTCGAAAACAAGCGGAAAGTGTGTAATTTTCACATTGGACATATGTCCAGAACTTGATGGCGCCCCATTTAATGCTATTTGACTTGGAATATTCATACATATTAATGCTCGGACGACCCTTGGCCAGATGGTGTTAACAATTCGGAAATCAAATACATAACTAATAAATTACTATTTTAGTCACTTTTGTGTAAATGATTCCGAGTTTGCCTGACAGGACGTCACCGCGAAGGGTAGAAATTAAGGGATTTGCGTTCCGACCTGACAAGGAGTCACTGAATTGAGTCATTAGGCAGTTGAGGTGGTAATTTGAGTTGTTTTTTAAATATTGAAGAGCTGAATGGCAGCGCCTACGAGAAAATAAAGCATATTCTTATTAAACATCTTCTCTATGCTAATTAAATTTCTCTTGCCGACTCCTCTTCGCAATTTTCCTTGTGGCCATTTAATTTTCACTCTGCGATTTTCCACGGTGTAGCGAAATTCTGTGCTTTGCTGAAATTTTATTGACCAGAAAGTGTGTTGGAAGTCAGTCTTTGTCTCAATTTGCATAAGGGATGAATATTTCTGGGGAGTGAAAGTGAGATCTTTTGACTTACAAGCAGACAATAATGGACAGGGAGTGTGAAAATTAACTCTCTTGGCGCGCTATTTTAATAATTTTAATTACAAACAATGCTACAGTGAGCTGGAATTAACCCGTGGACTTTTTAAAAATGCATACATCACCGCACTCAGCAAAGGGTAAAAAGGTATATTTATTAATACCACTCATACTCATTACAGTTGCAGGAGGAAAATTATCTAAATGATAATTTATTCATGACAGGGGTTTTCCTCTTCCGTGGAAATTTGCCGCATTTTGTGCTGAGAATCTGAACGAGAAAAATATTTTCCGTGACTTTGGATTGGGGAAAGTTTTTCCATATCAGTGCCATCGAAAAAATTCACCCCATTTTCACCCCTTTTGCCGTGCGATGGGCCCTCAAGAGTAATTTGCAGTGGATATATTCCACCGATGAATAGGTGAATTAATTAAGTCTGAAGAGCCACGCACAGAACTTCACCATCGATGACACCTTGGCGTGTCCCAATGCTGACATAAATCACCTCAAAAATCCATTAGATAATTCAGATTTTTCCACATAATCTTTTACTGCTTTGCATGCGGCGGCAGGAAAAAGAGGTGAGCACTTTTTATGGATTAAATTCACCCCTTTTGCCACTTGAACAGTGACGGAGCTAATCTGCTGATAATTTTTCTCCGTCTATACATATGTTCATTTGTCATTAATCTTTCTATGAATCCAAATGAATAGCGATAATGATTTTCTGTCCTTGATAGATTTGTATAAATTACCGTATATTTTCCATCTCTGTAGAAACTCCGTCACTGTCCAACCAAATAGCAGAAAAAAGCACTTACAAATAGAAATTAAATGAAAAACACAGTCCGACGTGACATGTAAAAATGCTGACTGAGTCGCATTAGTATGATTTCAAGTGGGAATTGAAGAAAGTTCATCAACAGCTAATTACTGATCAACAGATTAACATGAAATTCTAACATTGCTACTCAAAATAGCCACTCTCGATGAAGAATTCACGGCAACGTTAGAACAACACACTGTGACACAGATGAAGACTTAAACTATTAAAAGACAATTTGTGAATTATGCAAAGATTGTCCCTTTTCCACTCTTGGTGAAAGGCAATTCGATGACAATCGCGGCGGGGTTTTGGGGTAATTTTGCTGATGTTGCCAGGGTGAAAGGAGTGGCCGAAAGCGTGTCTTCTGTGCCATTTTTCACGTACAGCCACGTGATATCATCAAATTTACATACAAACTATCCACACAAGCCGGGCAAAGGGTCGAAAATTAACCCTTCTCCATCGCGCGCCAGGTAATATTTAAACATCATCATTTATGCGCTCTCTTTGGCCTGATGACGAATGACTGAGAACGGAAGGGTGCTTCTTCATTGAGTGCCACGGGGGTGATTTTTATCCTAAAGAGGGTCACTCAATTAGTAAAATTAGATGGAAAAAATTACTTGCAATTCGTGGATTTAGGCATATTCAGAGTGTCAAAGTTTAAAGAAAGTCATTAGAAATACTAAAATCCTAATTTTTACACATCTTTTTCATCTCACAATCAACCCCTCTTTATGCGTAGAAGAAAGAGTAAGATATACAGAGACTTAATGATTCTGACAACGCAATCGGGCCTTTCTGTGGCCCTGCAGATTCATCATTGTCTCACGGTAATTGATGTTTAACTCAATTTCAGTCCCTGAGGCTGATTTACTTCCCCTCTCCATTTGACCAGAGGCCAAGTCTCGTGATGACGGCTCATTGGGGTCTGATACGACCTTATCATTGTTTATTCATATCGAAATGAGGCCCCAGCAGTTCCTCTGATTGATGCCAAAGTCTGTTTTTTCGGGAAGAGTTCATTTTTCTTCCCGATTTTTTCACCCTGGGCATCTTGTAAACCCGCCAAAAGTAATTGAATTCTTCAACTCCAACGTGATCTGAATGACATCAGTGAAAAATTCTTATACAGTCCGAAGGATATGAGCAAAGAAGGAGGCATTTAACATAACAATAAATACACGCATCACGGAGAGGTGACATTCTGACTTGGGAGAGGGTCTTCTAATCTCGCAAATTCTTGTCCAATTGCATTCTCATGTGCCATCGGAAAGGTGAATGATTTATGGGATAGAAATATTAAAGAGCGGCGACTCTGCCATCACAGCTCAAAAGGGGTGTTCTTCACAATTTTTCTTCCATTCAATTTACTGCCCTTCCTCGTTTGTCGCATGACAAAAAAATCCTCCACATCAACTGGATGAGAGACTCTTTGCTAATGATGCTGAGAGGAAAATTAAAAATTTCTCAGTGACAACTTCACGAGTGCGTTCAGTGACAATTTTCCAACATGAAAAATAAGCCAAGAGAAAAAAATACTGAGTGGAGTGTGAAAAATTTTGCTGGGACGTGGAGATGCTTACAAGTCATTTTTAAACTCTTTCGCCTTTTGAATGTTCATTTCTGGCAAGAGAAATGCTTTTTGCGTTTTTTGCCCTTTGGAAGTCCTTCAAGCATTTCACAAAGTGATGGATTGTCCTTTGCTGCGAATTACATATTTGATGTGAGCTTGATGCGTTTAGAAACATATTCAAGGGAGTGTTGTGTACTAAATTTAGCATGGACACAGAAGATACAACAAATCTTGGGTTTGTGGATTCGATAATGCTTTTTAGGAAAATCCTAGACTCTTTAGAACCCATTTATCTTCAAAATATCTCTATATGCACACAGCCAGAAAATCAATCGAGGAAGGGTAAAACTGCTTCTTTTATCACCTTAACGTCCAAGTGCCACTGATGGTGTTTCACATTAGGAAAGGAGACGATCTTGAGTTTCCCTTCTGTTTCCAAAGTTTTCAATCCAATGGTGTCCTTTGTATAAATGTCCCTCCGATGAAGAGGAACAACCTCGTCATTCTCATCAAGATAGGCAAAATGACTAGAAAGATATTCTTATGTCAAGTTGATGTCTCAGAAATTAAAATTATACGTACCTCGACTGCCAAGGAGTAATAACTCCGTCGTCTGGTCCTCCAACAAGGATCATTTTGTCCAGTTTCAGTAATCCCTCGCGGAATTGGGAAGAGTTTGTCGACAGAATGGCATTATTTACGTATGGCAAGAAGTTGCTGTATTTGTAGAACAGATCCTGATGATGAGGATCATTCCAATAGTTCCCAACGGAAGTGTGTTGTCCAATAAAGGAGTAGAAGAGTTCAAAGGCCGCTTTCACAGTGAGGTTCGGGAAGATCAGGTGAAGAAATTCAGCTGGCATAAAATACATTTGAAATTAGAACGCCAAGTCTAAAATTAACCTTTGGTCTTACTTCCGTATTGCCCAGCCTGAGGTGAGCTCAGTGAGATAAAATTCTTAACAGAATGATTGGTGTAGGTTTGCAGAATTGCTCTGGCCAGCAATCCTCCTTGTGAGTATCCAACCAAGTGGATTCCCTCAGGATGTTTCTCGCAAATCTCCATTATATCAGTCCCGATCTCTTTGACTTGATGCCAGGAGTTCTCTAAACTAGACCAACCAGCAAACCTATCAGTCATGTAAACCTTTGTTCCCGGGTGGTGCTGTAAAATACACAAAAACATACAAGTTAGTGATGAAATGAGACAAAGAATCGCAAAACTGACCCTTTTGATTTCCTCTTCCATGATGAGCATGCTCTCGGCGCCCGTGAGGATTCCATGGAGCAGGAACACTGGTTTGTAGCAATGTGACCTGGTGACGAGGATAGATAGAACTAAAATTAGGATTTGAGAGCGATTCATCACAATTGTTGAGAGAAAGTGTAACTTGCTAGTTTCAGATTTCGACAGCACCACTGACGTTTGAATGTTTGACGGAACGGATGGAACACTGTTAAAAATCGATTTGCATCAGTAATACCTGAAATGATATGTGTTTGCTGAGAAATTGATTTTCTAGGATTTTCATTCAACAAACAATTAAAGAAATTGAACATGTTTTAGGCAAAACATAATAAATTGGTCAGAAATAATATAATATATGCATCGATATCGTTGAACCGTGATAACTTATGCTCAATTGTTCAGTGATATATTCTTTGCAAAGTCTCTACATACGCATATGCAATGGAAATACGATAGAATAGTCTACATCTGGGTGTTAACATTTCCCGCCTTTTCAAATTGCTCTTTGAGTAATGAAGTGCCAAAACAATGTTTGCAGAAGGTCACACAATTTCTGAGAAAAAGTCCCATAGACTGATTTGGGCGCAGTTCTTTTGTGAAACATCTCACGGCAAAAAGGCCCATTAATGGACAAATAAAACGCACTATTTACATACTTTCGCGTACTCCAACTTTTATTGCACATTATTCTCAGGTCGAGGACTCATGCGGCAATTGCTAGAGTTTCTGTGTACTCTTGCCATGTTTTCACTGGACGCATTTTCTTGCAAAATCTCCAAAGGCGCATGTAAAAACAGTGCGCTATGTGGACAATTAAATTGTTGCCGCGATTGATGGCATAGAAGATTGAAGGAATTGAGTGAGAATATGGACATGAAAGAAGTGCAAAAATGAAAGCGTTCCAATTTTTTTTTCGCGCGCGCGTTTGCTTTTGTCTCACGCAGTATAAGAAAAATGCTCACCATTCTCATCTATTTTGCCATGGGCCGCGCGCGCAGTACCATTTGGGCGCGATGTGCAAATAAAAATGATTAATTGCAGACACGGCGAGAAGGTATTTATTGACATAGGATTGGTGAAAAGGGGTGGCGAGTGACGATGAAGAATCAATTACTTACTCTGCAACAGCATATTAACGAACCAATAACTGTGAATTGTCCCAGATTAGCAGATCTGTGGCAGCATATTTCTTCTGTGCGCACATTGGAAAATGTTCTGGATGTTTGAACCGAGCTCAGCAGTTGGCGAGTGAGCCTCTGGAATTGAAATGAAATGATAGGCAGTGGCGCAAGACGCCGAGATCGATTCTAGCCACGCAAGACAAATTGAGACGCTGACCAAAAAGTGGCCGAGATTGAGATCAACCACGTAAAGTCGTAAAGTGTTGGGTAAATTCTCGCTTCTCGCCTCATGTGAAATCTCTTAGTGAAATGCTTCCTATGGGCTATATTTCGCCCTGGCAGAATTGTGGATTTATTCGTCTCTCGCTTGCCGATTTACAGGTGCAATTTTCATAATTGCTGAGATTACTGTAATGATCTGGTAACGAGAATAAGAAAAATGATGATGAGGCTGCAAAGAGGAATGCGACCCTTTATAAGGTTCTTTTTTCCTTACTTACTGCATTTCAAAATGCTTAGTTAAGGAAAATCTTAAGTTTGACTCAACAGCCTCAAATTTATCCATTTTATCTCTCGGATCAGGTGCGATTTGCAAAAAGTGTCAGCAAGTGAATGTGACAAATGGATGACTAATGTCTTGAGCTCACTTTCAGATTGTACTTTTGCGGATTTCTCTGATAATCACCATAACCACTGGTGAATCCGCATGATGAGAAATTTCGATAGACCTTTTTCATGCGGGTTCGTCACCAACCAAAAATCATTCAAGTCTTTTGTATTGGAGGCACTTTTAATGTCTTCTCTTTGAAGCAGCGTTTGAAGATCGCGTCGATCTCACACGATTGAGATGAATCAATGACGGAATTTTGCGGGTAAAAGAAAATTTTACAATGAACTTCATTGTGCGATGGGTAAACACGGATTTATCTTCTATCAAGCAATTTGTTTCTCATTCGGTGAAAGTTTTTCCCTGACTCATTCTCTTCAATTATTCCATTCAGTTTTCTCGTTATTTCCCCGAACACTGTGGAGACTTTTTGTCATCTCGGAGTTGACGAGAGCCACGGAAGTTATGTTGTTTAATTTCGGGGGGATTTTGGCGTGGAGAAAAATGCAAATGACCGAGGTGGATGGCCTATTAGCACCTATTACTGACACTGAATTCTTCTTCCTTGTTTTGCCACTCTGAATTTTTTGGCACCAAACTTGATATACGGAGCTGTTTGTGATATTTACACACATATTTTCGTCTATTTGGCTGTCCCAATTGCAATTGCTGCCATTCTCGTGGCTTCCCTCATTATTAATTTATTCACACGCCCACAGCATTGCACATGAATGAAAATAATTGACTTCGTGTATGAGCACAACAATGTGACATGAATACTCTCAAGAGCCGAAAGGATCTTATCTGCATTTGCAAGCCACCTTGGAAGGTTCGGTTGCTCAATTGTCTTCATCTCCGTCTAGTCAGCAATTAAGATGTTCCACTGAAGAATGCTGCACTGCATTAGGAATGCCTCTACTGATTGCCGTTTTCAATTTTCATTCAACAGGTGTAAAGTTTTTCAAACCACATTTGATTTTCTAGCAAAAGATAGTCGAAAATGAATTTGTGTCAAACTTGTGGTCAGTTTGGCCGGAGATTTCTCTCTATCTCTCTTACACCTCCCTAAGCGGAATTCTTTGAAATGCAACACTTTGTGTGTGGGACAAGGTTTCAAAATGTTATAAAAAGCTTCTTTAATGAATAATAAAATAGAATATAAATAGCACGGTTTCTGGGTGTTCTCACGAATATATTTGTAAATTTAAGCAAAATGCCTAGAATTCAAAATTTGCTTGAAGCTAAAATTCAATAGGGAAAGACGAGGAAAATATGAAATGAGTGTTATATTTGATTTTGTGTTATTACCTCAAAATAAGAAAACAATAAAATTACTACCTGTTTTTCATCTCTTCCTTAAATTATTTGCACTTAAGAGAGCCGATTTTTTTTCAATTTTCCCTCTCCCTGCTTTCTATATTATTTGTTTTTTGAGTATCAAAATCCAATAATCAAATAGAAGTTGACAATAGGAAATAGTTTTACGAGGAAATTGATAAACACTCAAATCTCGGACAAGGTTAGCCAAATACCCACCTGGAATTGAGTGCAAGACAAACAGAATCTGACGATATTTTGGTGTCATTCTCAAGTGTGCTTTCAACTCAATTAGTATTCCGTTCGGTGTTACATGAAGACACCAATTCGCCTGGGTTCCGGTGTCGCTCTAGGATTTTTTGTCGTGGATACCCAACGAAAGTGACTGATTTCTCATGTCTTGCGGCCCAAGCGCAGATGATGACTGCCTGGCCTGAGGCGTTGGAGGTGAAAACGGAAGTTGTAATTCACGCACTGTGCACCTCATAGTGCACCACGAAGGGCCGTTCCGACCACTTAATGAATTTTAATTGGCAATGTAGCGCAAAAACGGCAAAAACTGCGAGAAATGATATTTTTTCGCTACACATTTTCTCACACAATAGTTTTTCTTATGGGTGGATTTTTGTGTGTACACAATGTTGACACACACAGCCTAATTTTCTTCTTGAAATGGGTAAATAAGGATAAGGCCACGTGGAAATGCATATCCGGCTGTGTGGAAGAAATGATTGAGGAGAAAGTTGAGTGACATCATCCTGACCAAGTGCGCGTTCCTCCACTGACGATGATATACTATTCTGTAGGTGCACCGCATAGTCAGAGGTCTTCCACGGAATCGGCTTTCAGCGTTGATTGCCGAGGCAAGAAGTTGAGGTGGAGAAGTCTTCGCTTCAGCCGTTCCCGCGCGCTTGAAGAAAGTCAGTTGCTCGGTGCATTTCTCTCGGAGTGGACGTGAAATTTCTTCCACATTGAACCTCTTAAGGAGGCCAAACAGTGTCCAATTGTGCACTATTTCTTAACCTGCAGTGTTTCACAGGAAGTCAGATTGCTCTGGCTGTGGCACAGTATACAAGAGGAATTGCGTGCTGAGGAGATTGTGAAGTGCGACTCAGAAGTTATTTTGCAAATGACGTGAAAAATGGTTAGCAGGTGACACAGATTCGGGACCAGCTCGAACCACTTTGGAGTGTAAAATCACTGTTAATTTGTGGCGGTGTTTCACGTGCTAAGAGAAGTGGCTTCAACTCTCACAAATTGCCCAGAAAGACAGACAAAGTGACACCCCGAAGCTGACAATGGGCACAAACGGAAGGAGTCTGAAATTCCTCTTCATATATTCGACTCTGGCCCTTCTCGGACTACCAAACTTGTCCAACGGTGAGTTAATGTTCCCTCGCATTTCTGAAGGAGGGAACAGGTGTGTGATTTGACTTCTCCTGCCTTTCCATGCCAGAGAGAATCGCTCTCTCGTTCGCCAGTCACAATGGGTGAATGTTGGGCATTTGCGGTGCGCTTGGCTCGTCGAAAAAGAACAAGAAGGTAGAGCGAAACACGAGCCAAAAAGCATGACACAATTTTATTTACTCATCCTCAGTGCCTGTGCAATCAATTGAGCACACCAGACCTCAGCGATGGGCTGGTCAGTGCGATTTGATACCCCAGAGAACCGCTATAGTTGTCTGAGAAATTTGCATTTCCACCAATTTTTGTCACACACTTAACTGTGCCTGTGCGGCCAATAGGAAGGAATTTCTCTAAATATTTATTTAAAGACAGAGCGACTCAGGCACTGGACGCAGATTTTACAGTAATCCACAGAAGACGTTGAGAGATACACACACTTCAAAATTAGCCATAGAATGTGTCTATCAAGTACAAGTTACCATTTCACGATATTGCCATACAAGATGAAACATAAATAATAATAGCAGAGTGGCTGAGATGGAAGAGCATACATATAGTAAACCAGATTGTGCTCATGAAGAGAAGCGGGAAAATAACCAATGTAAAGGAGAGCACAAAACTAATGTTAAAAAATAACTTAACTGTAACACACGCTATTTAAACTTTGGTGTGTATTACACCAATTCATGCGGTGGTTCAATGCATTGCACTAGACTAGATGGTGAAAGATGTTCACGAAAAATTGAGCTCTTCCATGGAGGAAAAATGGGTGATTTTGGAATGAATCATTTAAGAATTTCGAGATTATCATAAATTTATAGGTTTGATTCTTTTTTAGAAGCCATTTGGGTCTTTGATTTGACATAATCTGGTGAAAAATGAGAGATTATTGGAAAAAAAACTATCAGTTTGCTGCTGGTTGGAAATCATGACTTCGAGGACTTGACCAAGTGGTCAACATTTTGTGAAAACAGCCTCAAAAGTGACATAAATGTTCTACACATTTGAATAAGAAGTCACAGAATTATTTCAAGGGTCAGATGCGATTTTTTTTGTTTTGATGCACACGTCATAATAAGATTTCTTTGATTGGTAAAAAAAATTACCATTGTCAGGAAATTGATATACAGAAAGCATAAGAAAACTATGAAAGAAAGTGCATTCCTTGGGAAAAGTGTTTTTATCTCAGTCGGTAAAGAAAAAAATCATATCTCTTCAGCCTAGAAACAATTAAATGGTAAGGAAAAATTCAATCAACGTTGCTCATCAAGTGAAATTCATCTGAAAACTAGTGTAAATTTCTTCCGAGATGAGGGGAAATGATGAAGTCTTTGGGTATGCTTGTGGGAGAGAGAGAAAGAATTGATTGTGGATCAATTGAAACAGTCTGACGAGTGAATCTCCCGTGCATTTTCTCTTTCTGTGTCTCTAGGTTTCGCACTGTGCACTTGTATATTTTGTGATTTTAGCCAATAATAACATGTAATTGAAATGTAAATAGCAGATGGAGTGTTGTTGGGTGAAAGAAAAGGTACAGAGAGGAAAAAGTTTGCGACTTGTGAGGAAAGCACGAATCATTAGTTCCACTCTTTACCATATTTTCCATATACAGGAAAGTTGCCATTCATGTTCATATCATTTTTACACACAATCTCTTGGGTGGTGGCGCGAAAGGCAGCCACGGAAGTCTATCTGTGACTGAGTCGGATGGTGAGAGAGGCTCCAATTTCTATGCCACATGCATTAACACAAGTGACAATCTTGGGTGAATGTATGCCAAGCGCGAAGAGAAGTTTCCGACGAAAATGAAATTCACCTGAAGATGATCTCATCATTTTCTGTTCCATTGTTGGCTAAATCATCCCAATCTCGCGCTGGATATTACAATTTAGGTGGCATCTGAGACCACAATCTGAAGAAGGAAATCAATACCACTCAACTGTTGATCATTCTCTAAAAGTTGCTCTTGAAACATCTTATATAACAGTTCCTGTTCCGTTACATTTTCCGTTGTAATAGGCAAAGCCGAGAGAAGATTTTCAAGAGGCAACTTCTTGCTTCTCTCGTGATACCACACAATAATCCTTAAGCCGGGCCTCCATTCCACAAAGTCTCAAGTACAGAAAGACCTCAAATGGTAATTGAATTTCATATAGTAATAATATAGAGAGGAAAAAAAGATGATTTTAAATTGCGATTTGCACACGTGGGAATCGAAAGAGTCAAACATCTGTGGTCACATTCCCAAAGTGTGAATAGGGTTTTGGAATTATAAAGTCGAATTATAGAAATATTTGTCGTGATTCCACATGTGAGAAAATCCATAAATCGCCGTCAACCAAAGAGCGCAAGTTGAGACGAGAAAAAGAAGTAAATAATAATTGGAATAACATGTGAACAGTGTTGCAAGAGAGGCGCTTTTTGATTAATGCTGCATGCTTCGGAAAATTGCCAACAATTATAGATTTCGCAATAATTTCGTATTTGACATAAGGTGTTTAGCATAGCGCATAATATTCCTGATCACCACAGAATAATAATAAAAACCCCCGATGGCCTTTTGTTCTTTGCGATGCCGTGTGATTGATGATCGAGTCATGATGAGTGTCCTCCAAAGATAAGAACACTGTTGACATCAATTTGAAGAATTCTCGCATCTCAATTGGCATCTTATGTAATCATGCAAACAGGTGGAATATTCATTCACAATTAGGAAATTCATGCCAGTCGCATTACTTTTTATTACCTCTTCAAGAGAGCCCATTCTAATTAATGCCACACATTTTGTCGTGGGCTGAAATTCAAAAATATTTACTCACTTCCCCACAATTATGCTGCTCTACGATGGAAATATGTCTTCACTCTGTTTTTTCCTCTCTGTTACACCGAATTAAATGGTTTCCCTGAATTTGAATTAATTTAATATAATAGAAAATTAGCATATTAATGTTTTGTAATGATTTCCACTGTGTCGGCTAGAAACTGATGTTTCTCAATTTTGTGAAACAGTTCTGTTCGCAAGACACGCGAAGGAAGTACAGAAACCCACCATGAGTATGAAATTTTCTTCTATATGTTTTAAAAGAGGTCGTATTTGCGCACGCTGAGGCATTAATCTTCATTGAGAGTCTTATCACATTTAAATAAACTGATTAAGATGGCGTTTTCTTTTAAATAACTGATGAAAAACACTGTAAATCCCTTGAGATCGAATGGCACATATTTATTTTAAATCTGAATGTTGGAAAGAGTTACTCATGCTCGATAAATTATAATATACTTCAAGGTAGACTTTATAGAAATTAGAAAGAATAATAATGTATTGCGAATACCGTGAAATTTGATTCTACAATCATTGAATTAATATGACAATCATTGAAGACAAATACAGGAAATTTATTAATAAGAATATAAGAAGAAGATCTAATGTGAGTCTCTTGCCTTTTCAGGACAATCCTGCAGCTTCCCCGGATCTCCAGCTCATAGTCACGTCACATTCTCAGATGAGAGTCTGTCGAATGGTGCTGTGGCCTCATATTCGTGCGAGCGAGGTTTCGAGCTCCTCGGACCAGCGCGGCGTGTTTGTGACAATGGAAATTGGGCACCCGAAGGCATTCCATTCTGCGGTATGTATTCTGGGAAAGTCTCTCGATCACGAATCGATCAATATGGTCTGGAGTTGTAGGAGTCCAAATTGATTATCTGATGAAGATGCACAATCACGAATTGTTGGGAAAATCTTACTTTCAATGAGATGTGTGTTAGGAAGAATGAAGAGAAATTCATTCCCGCAATTACCTGGTCAATTCTTCGATGTGCAGTGCTTCTTCATTAGTCAATGTGTCAGTCTTTTATTGTGTGCAGTGTGAAATCGAGGCAGCGGCTAGGCATTCGATCAAGATCAATGTCATTATTACAAAATACCAATAAATAGTGGGGACGTCTTTTATTCGGGTAATTGAACAGAATATGCCGTGTAACTCTTTTTCCAATTGCGCGTCCGTAGGAAAGTTAAGAGTCAAGAAAGGTGTGGAATTGAAGAGAAAGAGAGAAAAATTCCCCATAAAACACTTCTTTAATTGTTGTGCTTTTTATCTTTCTGGGAGATTCTTTTCTCTCTCTCTCTCTCTCTTTCTGTTCGCAACACGTCAAATATCACGAAATCGTTTTCACCTCAATAAATACCAGAGACTAGATTCGTGACCTATTTTTGCTTAACATCTCTCTTCCTCTTGCTTACAATTTTCTCAGAGGAATTCTTCAGTCGGTGGCATGAAGAATGAGAATTAATGGGTGAAGGGAGTTGATTGTAGCCTTGACCCTTTTCCTCACTGACTTGCTAGCAAGTTGATGATCTCTTGGAAGTGCGAGAGAATTCCTCTGACATCATCAAGAAACCTGTTCGTGAAGATTGTCTTCTCGTCACCCAAGTCAAGTCCGTTATATTCTATAATTTTATATGTTTCTTATAGAAATACATACATGTTCTCTCACCATCGCCAACTTCTTGTGGGCTTGTTTATGAAACAGTCAGCGACCTACTTCCGCACTCGATCATCGACAAACGATTAAATTCCTCTCTTGGTGGCTTGTTTTTCGTCTCCTCTTGCCACACTGTTGAGACAGCCAAACATTGGAGAAATGATTAAGATGATCTCGTTCTCCTGATCAACATTCAAGTTGAGCTTTTAGATCTCAGAATGGCAAAATTGGGTCGAAGAACAAGTCCAGTAAGTTGTCCAATTCAAGTTGTGCAAGTGAACTGAATGACTGCATCTCATTTAATTTTTGCATGATTCGTGGCAGATTATTCACTAATGGGTTCATGATGGTGATGCTTCTTTTCATGCAAGAACAGAAGCTCTCCTGACAAATGAGAGATGGCTTTCTTCCTCAACCATTGCCAATTGCGTGGCGCTATGCAATTAATTTAATTGTTTTCGATTGAAAATTGTTGGGTGTGTGTAGTTCAACGATGAGGATCGCCAACCTGTGGGTAACGGTAATTGGTATTCAGCAAAAGATGGAATGCTAAACGCGCGCGTTCGCAAAGAGAACGGACATTGGCTCAAGTGGTCCAAGTGGGCTTCTAGAGCTCAAGCCGGAGAGACCCAGTGTTGGGGCTCCTTTTGGAGTTTCTCCACCTCGCGTCCCATGATGTAAGAAAATGCCAATTCACTGACTGCCAGTCATGCAAACTGCATGTTCGGCGCGAGCTTTTTCCCTGTTTGCGTAGAAACACCACCGGAGTATTTGGCGGAAGTGGCATAATGCCTGTTTACACCGCTTTTTCTTTCCATGAGCGCGCCCTTCCACACATGGCAGAAATGCAGTGACTACAAAATTCCAAATCACTGTCGGTCCAACACCTCAACTATTGCAAATTGTGCAATTTTGTGGAATCATGCGAAAAGTCACGTTTTTTCGTCGATAATATTTATGGTGCGAGATGGGAAAAGAGGTCAAATTGTAGGTGAAGAAATTCCACTATTTACTTCACAGTTCCCTGGCGATGATGGACAACATAAGATTGCACTTTCTTGCTCTGGAGCGCACATACAGACGCGTCCATTGTGTTCCCATAGCCTCATCTTCCTAAAAAAAAACTTCGCGCCCACAATAGATGGAATATTTAAACTTTTCCACCATACGAAAATGTTTACTGTCTTTTCTTCCCAAGACTCTGTGTTGAGTTCTTTGCTGTCTCACAATTACCTCACTTTGGCGATAAATTGCGGGGGAAAAGTAAAATGTTGAGAAATAATTGGCTGTCCAAGTCGGTAGAAAGTAAAAGAATTTGTGAAATTTATGGAATTCTTCTCTCATTCGCCTTCACGATGGAAAACCGCTACAAATTACATATTTTTCTCAAGTGCAACTAACCATTTTGGAGTGTGGATTTGAGAAAAATTTATCAATACCGTGTGAGAAAGTAACTTAAAAAAGCAAGGCGAAGAGAGTTTTGGTTTTTCGACATAGGATTATTTTATACAAAATACCAAACTAATGATTTAATTAATAAATAAATACCACAACATGTTTTGCTGTCTTTTTGAGTGATAATGGATGGATCGGCGCGATGACACATACAGAATTTGTGATGTACATTCTTCTCCTACAATGTCCCAACCTTGCAACAGAGATAAGTCAGTCGAGGTTTGGCATTACAGTAAGAAATGCAGAGCCCTTGAGAACATAAACCCCTCTCGTGGACAGCATTCACAAGAAATATGCATTAATTGCGGAAAAATAAAGCAAAGCGGCTAGATCTCTTAGGCAAATAAGTTGATGAGTGGAGCCGTGAAAGAAGTGGATAAAGAGTAGCAAAAATTAATTAACAGAGTGAAAGAAGATTTATGAATGGGGAAGCCTTCGTGCGAGCGCGCGCGCAAAAGTTGGGCGCTCGTCTGAAAAGATTTTTAGTCAAGAATGGATTGTATTTTGCGCTCATAGTTTTCCAGAGAAGCATGTTTTCTATGCATACATTCTCAAATTGCACATTGTACTTTCTCGAAAATTATAACACACACAGAGTCTGACACAGTGAGCTACTTTGCCAGCGACAAATCATTGTGGAGTCGCGAGAACAATGTTAATATTGTTTGTAATTTGCGACTCTGCAAATGAAGAGTGGCAAAACCAAAACAGAGATTATAAGGAAAAGAGACATGAGAAGGGAAGAAAGATGGGAAGAGCGTCAAAGTCAAGAATCATTGTTGCGCACGATGGGAATGGAAAATCTTGGAGCTATGATTCATGATCATGTTGAAGATACGCCGTGATGGTGGTAAAAATCAGCGAGCAGAGAAAAATAAATTTGTATAACTTATCGCGAAGAGGGGCTCCTTTATGAAATTATTCGGTAATATCTTTAATGCTCGTTAAGAATATTTGCGTTCAATTGCCTTCTTCAATTCCTGGGTACAAGACATCAACGCCATAACTGTCTTCATGGTCTGAAAAGTTTCCTAACGAAATAGAAAGATATACACCAGAGTGGAAAGACGGTGAGGAGAGAATAAAAAGTAATTTTTACTCCCCATAACTGAGCTTAAGACGTCCCAATCCTTCACCTGAGCAACAATCCATCACACTCCAAGCAGACAGCTTCTGCTGTGGCAAGAACCTCTTGAGGCTGTCGATGCGCACAATGAGAGATCAATTGAGATTCGGCGAGTGGGGCTCAAATGAAAGCAAATGGATAAAAATTGGAGAGATTTGATTGAGAAGTATTAAAGGAAATTGTCTTTAATTCTCTCTTTCTCCTTTCTTGTCGCTCTTTTTCGGCGTGTCTCAGCACGTTGCACTTGAGCGTGTGCATAATTGCAGGTGGAGGAATGAAAGCCAAATCCGGCAAGAGCACTTGAAGAGAATTTCTAGTGGCCAAAAGAGGCAGTAAATTTGTGATAAGACTTGTATGTAAGAGGCATTTAAAATGTGTATATGTTGTTTGCACCTGATTAGTCCGTTGCAATGTTATACTAATTTGCATAGAAAATTGCAAACACGAATAAACAGTTGAAGAAGCAGAGAGACAGGTTGAAATTGTATGTGATAGCGAAGAATATTCTGAGTGAAAAACCACATCATTAGCAATTGTAAAGAAAATGCAATTCTATTCGATGCAGTCTATTTGTGCTCCGGTGACACGGTCTGAGTCGTATGTATGGTACACAATGTTTCTCTTCCGCCACTCTTTTGATCAGTTCTGGCTAAGGAGCCCGCGAAGAATTGGACCATAAAAAGAGACAGTTTACATTATGCGTAAATAATGTTCTTATATGATCTTTTCTGCTTCAATCTCAAATGATTGACAAGTTGAAATTGATATAAAGAGCGCAGTTATGTAATTTTTGCAAAATATCTTCCTCATCTCTTTGCAGTGCTGAATGTGGCGGCTGGCAAGGCGCCAATGCAGATCTCTACGGATGGCTCGGGCATCCCGCAGAAGGCCATTGATGGATCCACATCAGCCTTCTTCCAGGCCGACACGTGCTCACTCACAAAGCCCGAACGGCAGCCGTGGTGGTACGTGAATCTCCTGGAGCCATACATGGTTCAGCTGGTGCGTCTGGACTTTGGGAAATCGTGCTGCGGTGAGTATTTGTCCAGCTATTTGCGATATCACACGTAAATCTCATGATTGATGCCCAGTCCATGTGAGAGACGCCTCAAGGCGGAGAAATTGGATTCCCTTTCTCTCTCGCTAGTACTTTTTGCCATACTGTCACATGAAACCTGTGCCGAGGCGTGAGCACTCGGGGCGATTAACTGGGGCCGCGCCCCCCTCACAGCAGGGTTCTGTCTTCTTATTCTTGAGTATCGTTCTGGTTAAAGTCAGTTATTTGTTCGAATCCATAAACAGTTTTCTGAGCACAGAAAAAAACATTGGCAGTTGAGTACATATTTCCAATCTCAATTTTCACTTCAAGATAGAGATCAAAATTCAGAAAATTTAGGACTGTAATACATAACAAATTAACATATTGTCAGTTTTGAAAATCTCTATTTTTAAGCAATTTCTGATAAAAATCAAATAAAAATCTTATCAAGTATATTATTCGACTTAGGGCGGGTTTTGATCTCAGTGGGACTGACTGAGATATTTGCTTAATTGAGGGCTTCTAAAAGATTGCTGATGGGGAAAAAGTGCGGCAATAAAAGAACACAAAATAACCATTAATCATAATGTACTTACGCCCACAAAATAATTGCAAATAAATTGATGTGTTTTTTTCTGCATTTCCATGAGTCAATCAAATTTTCACATCAGTGTTGACCTCATAAGCTTCTTGGGAAAATCCTGAAGAACGCACTTTTGACGATGACTGTGGATTTAAGGTGATCATTTCACGCTTAGAAATAAAAGAGGCATGCAATTGGTTATTATGAGCATCATAAATTTCCTTTTCAACTTGACGAGCTCAAACCCATCATTTATTGATTGGGATAGAGTGATAATGAAGACGCACAACGTATAAAGGCAAAAAAAAACTCGTCATCAATCTCAATCCGGGTGGCAAAAAGTGAAAAGCACAATTAAAATGCCTGGCATTGTCATTTTATGGTAGATTTTCCCTCCACAATTTCGAATCCGCCCCAAATTGAGGTGCGCACTTGCATAATGGAAAAGGTGAAAATTGCTAATTGCAACGCATTTCCGCTCTGTGAATGTATACTTGCACAATTTCTACGAGGCTCAATTTACATACTTGCCATTTGTGCCTCCTCAACAGAGAGGCACGTGGAAGAGTTGAGGAAGAGAATTTTCGTTAATTTATGTTATTGCCAAGGTGGGGAAAATAAGTGAAAAGCAATTTCCCAGCCATATAAAATTGCCTTCTTGAAATTCAATTATACTTCCGAGGAATTCTCTATTTTGTTCACATCTGACGAAGATAAAGAGGCTTCTTGTATAGGAAATGCGCTGGGCCAGAATTCGGACTGAATTGTAGTGTTTGTCTTTTCCAATGTCGAGATCTTCGCGTTCAATGACAAATTTCCCACGGTCCGGGAGGGAAGAAGGCAGACAATTCCGAGATTCAAAGAGTGAATGAGAATTTTTTTTTAGTCATAAAGACACATGAAGAAAAACACATATAATATATGTGTAAACAGAAATAAAATGGTAGTGTAATTAGAAGTAAAGAGAGATATAAAGGGAAAGTTAGAGACCCAGAGAGAATGATACTTTGGAGATAGCTTTACCTCAATTGGTGCCTTTATGCACACACAATCCAAAAGTGAAAGCGTCAAGCGGCTTGTCCCAAGATAGGGAAGGATCATTTAACATATTTTGCGTCAAACACTCAATTTCTGGGCCTGAAAGTTTATCATTTTGTGCCTCGCGCGATGGCAAACGATAGTCATAGTGAGTGTCGCGCAAATAATTGCCTTCGAGGTGAAAGAGAGACGCCTAGAAAATACATCGTAATTTGGACCTCCATTATGACACGCACTCACCTGAATATAATGAAAAAGCAAAAAAAAAAATTTTAGAGAGACAAAATACGAAAATTTACAAGACTCATTTTCGTCTCTCTGCGATACTTTGACTGCCAAGTAGTGATTTTCGAAACTTTCCCATGTCTGTCGAGCACTCTCTTAGCATTTTTGTACATTCAACATATTGCCACTGTGGAATTTCAAATTGATTCCTCTTAATATTCTCTACTCGGTGTCTGCGGAGGAGTGGTTTGTGCCGATCTGCAATTTTTCCACGATTCTTCACTGATAATTATTTCCACTTCCATAGAAAATTGGCCTGCAATAAAAAATGCACAATAATGGGAGAGAAAAACACTCAGGAAATTCACATTTTGTGCTCAATTTTCATTACTTTGTGGAAATTGAGATGCCAAGATTGCACTGACTTCATGATTTAATGCCTCAGATTTGATTGATTAGCAAGCATTCAAAAGAATGTTACAGTAGCTGAATAATATTAGTTACACATTGAATATTTCTCTCATCTCTAACCAATGCTATTTAATCAGCATTTGACGGACTTTTTTTTTTTTAAACTTTGATTCTGTTTCTTCCTAGTTATAATACCATAAAATGAAATTCCAGTTGATCGCTAGAAATATTTAAGTGATACTAATTGAATGTCAAACACTGTATTTAGCAACATCGTAATAAAAATGTGCGCTTTTAATCTCCACGAATGTAGTAGAAGATAAATCAATCTTGTTAGGAATTTTGAACGAAATTATTGGGATTTTGAGAGCAAAAGAAGTTCACTTAATTAAATAGGGGAAGAACTTGCTATTATGAACACGTGGGTGAAATGTGGAAATTATAAGTGAGTAATTTCTTATCCTATGAGACTGATCTAAAACGGGGCAACTAAAAATGAATATTTAAATTTTGAAATTGAAGTTATTACTTCACTGCCACGCTTTAAACTGTTGTGATCTGTATCACACTTTCCGGCAATGGAGATCAATTAGCCATTTAGAGAAATGATTTCTCACATTTTTTGGACTTTCTACGAAAAAAATTGCGCAATTGCTACTCTGTTATTGTTTACTTTTGCTCCTTTGTTGTAAATTTGGGTGAGTTTCAGAGTGAAATTGCGAAGAATATTGCATTGCATGGCAAATTGGTAATTTTTGCGTTTATTTCATGCGCTCTCTCCTGGCATAAAGATTACGTCTCAACAGAAATGGGGAGTTTCCCCAGCGATAGGAAAATTTGCTGCGTTTTATTGCGTTACTTTACGTGCGATGACAAAAAACCCACAGACACACAAGAGAGCATAATTTGCCATCATGACATGATGCAATTTCTTCGGATAGCGGTTGCGCTCCGCACCTCTACAAGAGATGGACTTTATTTAATGGCCTTTAATTCTTTGTAGGTAACAACAAACCAGCCACAATTGTTGTCCGTGTAGGAAACAATCGACCTGACTTAGGCACCAATCCCATCTGTAATAGATTTACGGGAGCTCTGGAAGAGGGTCAGCCGCTCTTTCTGCCCTGCAATCCACCCATGCCAGGAGCGTTCGTGTCTGTCCACCTGGAAGTCGGCAGTCCCAGTGCTTTGTCCATCTGTGAAGCTTTCGTGTACACAGATCAGGCTTTGCCCATTGAGAGGTGTCCTGTGTTTAGAGATCAGCCTCCAGGAGCGTCAGCTTCCTACAATGGCAAGTGTTATGTTTTCTACAATCGCCAACCACTCAACTTCCGCGAGGCTCTAGCTTTCTGTCGGGCCAGAGGAGGCACCCTGATCAATGAGAGCAACCCAGCGCTTCAAGGATTCATCAGTTGGGAACTCTGGAGGCGACACAGGAGTGATGCGTCCTCTCAATACTGGATGGGTGCTTTGAGAGACGCCAAAGATAGGAACACGTGGAAGTGGCTGGGCGGAGAGGACGTTACGGTGTCCTTCTGGAATCTACCAGGAGGCGATGAGGACTGTGCCAGGTACGATGGCTCCAAAGGATGGCTCTGGAGTGACACGAACTGCAACACTCCGCTCAATTTCATTTGTCAGCACCAGCCAAAGGCTTGTGGCAGACCAGAACAGCCTCCCAATTCCACAATGCTGGCGGTGAGAGGCTACGAAGTTGGTGCCACTGTGGACTATGGCTGCGATGAGGGGCACCTTCTGGTAGGCCCGGCAAGTCGCACATGCCTTGAGACGGGATTTTACAATGAATTCCCGCCAGTTTGCAAGTACATCGAGTGCGGACTGCCCGCATCAATCTCTCATGGAGCGTATGAGCTGATCAATGGCACTGTTGGCTATCTCAGCAATGTGATCTACCAGTGTGCCGAAGGATTTGAGTTAGTGGGCAGAGCAGCTCTCACATGTGACATTGACGAGCGCTGGAATGGACCGCCGCCGAGATGCGAGCGCATTGAGTGCGATGTCCTGCCGGCATCACATCAGAATGCCAAGTTCATCACACCCAATGGAACATTCTATGGCTCAAGGGCGGATGTTGTCTGTCCACGAGGATATAGATTAGAAGGTTCTCCTCAACTCACGTGCCTGGCTACTGGACAGTGGAGTCATCCGCTGCCCTCGTGCGTGCGTGAAGAAGTGTTAATCACCACTCTTCCGCCAACCACAAACTACCGCACACGACAGCCGTCCAGCTCAAGACGTCCGTCCAGGCCTTCATCCCGCTTTACCAGCACCGTGCCTCCGCCGACACCCACTCCATCTGTCACCATCATTACTGAACGTGTAGTGGAGGAGGACAATGAGATTGCCGTGCCAGGAACTGTCCGGGAAGAGAGCATTCCCAGGCGCACCATCAGACCAATAAGTCCAAATAATGGTCACGCGGCTCCTGAAACCACTCCACCAGCTCCTCCACGAGTCGTCCCGCTCGATTACTCCACCACGAGGAATCCGCAGCTGATCATAAATGCAGCTCACCCGCAAGACAACCAGATCGCCGGCAGTGTTAATATCAGGTCAGTGCAACTACTCAAATTCCTCAGTATCACGTAATACTGCCTGCAAAAACCTGTCTCAGCCGCACGCTTAATACTCATTAAGTAGCACTTAAATCAAATTTAATCGATTGGGAAGCTTTTTATGTTAGCCATATTTCACAAGATGAATGTGGGATAGTCATTAAAATTTATTTTCAACTTCTGGGGAAGTCATGCTGTTCTGGGTGGCCAATGACCGCGTGCGTCCGAGTTTTCGTGAGGAAGAGCTCTTTGGTATACGGGTCAAAACTCTTGCGCAATGGTTAATTGAAGAAATTGCATTTTCATCACCTTCCGCTCCTCATTATCAACAGAATCACAACACGCAAACTGAAGTCGGAAGACGTGAGTTTAATCACCAAGAAATTGGTCTTCTGATGATGTTTCCTAGCATTTTCACCCTTTTAGTGTGTTTTATAACACAATTAAGAATGTTCATTGCATCAAGCAAAAGTCGATTAAAAAAACTCCGAAATGTGTAGTGAAATAGTTCAGAAAACTTTTCTGGAATATCATAGATTTAAATCTGCTGAGATTATTGCCAATTTAGGAATGAAAAGCGCTTGCGCTTTTCCGGTCTCAAGATCTACAATCATATCTTGAATCTCAACTTCAATTCTTCCTGATGGATAAATGCAATTTCTTTCGCCATTGTTGTCCCTGGTAATTCACATAATTTGCCCATAACCGTTGAGCCAGTGAAAAATGTCTCTATATAATGGAAATTCCCACAAAAAGTGGCGTGTGACTTACAATTAAATAGCGCGTGTCATTAAGTAACAATTAAGTGACACCATTTGATCATGAAGCGCTGAACTGTTCAGTCAACAAGGCCTAATCGTCTTTTCTCTCCACAGAAATGATCAATCGCCAAATGTAAATGTACCACTTCCTGTGGAGAATGATCAACGAGAGACGCACAGCGCCAAGTTGAACTTGGGTGCAATTGTAGCCTTGGGCGCCTTCGGAGGATTCGTGTTCCTGGCCGCCGTAATCACTACTATCGTCATCCTGGTTCGGAGGTATGTTCAGTGGCGTCAGACTTACCTTATTAGAGACGATAACTTTGTCCATCGCATTAAACTGAGAAATTGAGACACTCTACACTCTCCTCGACTCTCTCCCAGTAACATTGGGCCATCAGAGAACCACTTTCTGCCACTCTTGCATGATTCTCTTGTGCATGAATTCCGTAGTGTCTTGATTGATGGGATGAGAGTAGCCGGGGAAGAAGCATGAAATATTTGGGTGATGTCTTAGCAATAATTCACCGTATACTCTTATTTATTCTCTTCCACCTCATGTAATAACCACTTGTATATTCTGTACACTTTTTTTTGTGAATTGTTACTATTTAGCTGTAAATATATTTATTATCTGAACCACTGAGAGTAGAAAAAAACAATTGTAGAAGGAATATTTGATTTATTGAGCAACAACACTCAACACTCTTGGTAAACCGTTTTCGCGGGCTCCTTTATTGGTCACAGAAAATTAGCAGATGTGCTGTGAGGCTGTCTTTCACCTCTACTATTTTTCTCTTCTTGTAACAACGTTCTTGTGTAGAGTACGCAGAATGGGTCTATCTAACCGTATCGATGACGAGCAACGCACAAAATGATACAGAAGAAAGTGCGTGATTTGCTCAGGATGAAGAAAAAGTATTTTGAGAGACAAATACAAGGCGCATTTATTTAATGTTTGTCAACTGCGAGGGCACATTTTTTTTATGATTCTTCTTTCCAAGTGTACCTTCCAGAAGCTTCCCAGAAAATCCCCCTTCAAGTCATTTCCCTTTGCCAAAATCCAGTGGAAAAGTTATTTGCTTGTGGAAGCACTTTTACATGTTGTTTTTGTACTGTAATCTCTGAAGAGTGGGTCGATATCAGAGTTGGAAGTGCGAATAAGTGATTAAGTATTTATGTGTAGTATATAGGGTAAAATTTGCTGGTTTTTCACACTTTAAATACGCTATCAATCGTTTGATAAAGAAGGTGATAGATAAGGGTAATAAAGGACGGCAATTGGGTTGAAATTAAATAATAGTGTGATATTGGTGATATTAAATAAATGAATGTCAGAAGTGTTCTTGAATTTATCATTCAAAAATTATCAATACGCTTTAGAAATTTTTATATGATTTCGTAAACTCTGTGATATATTGAATCGCATCGCGGAAAACTTCCAACTCTGATAATGAGGATCACCATTGGCATACAAGACAGCGACACAGAGACACGGAACTCCCAACAGAACACTCATCATCACGCGCAGACAAGCCATGAGAGGCAACATTGGAATTAATTGAAGTTCATCCCACCCTCAGCGCCGATCCACTGAGTGGTCAGCCGGCGTCCACCCACGGCTGGGGGCGAACGCGGAAGCGCCATCGTGATGAGATGCCCTCGCGGTGGTATACCGTGTTAGCGTTGCCATTTCCGGATCAGAGGCTCGGCAGGCGTGATATTAGTACCTTCGGCCGTGGTATTTACACCTCCAGGGCGGGATTCTTCAGTAATCCCTCCATGTGACTGTAGTTGTGTTGTTGGCTTGCGATAAAGTACAAAAAGCGTGCCATTTCTCCCGCACACGATCTCCTCACTCGATTCACCTCTCCAGAGAGTCCCCCGTTCCAGCGTAAGCATCTTTTTTACTGTTCCGTAGTGCACAGAGTTGCTTGCTCGCATCATCACGATAAGTTAGCGGTTTTGTTGACCCAACTAACGACAAATCACCAGTGAGTGGATTACGCAAGACGGGCGTCTCGAGATCGGTGGAGAAATCACTCGTTACTCCCAATGATTGATTGTCTCTCATTTCATGGCCTTTTTCACACAAAAATTAATAATTTCCTTATTAAAGATAATTTATTCAGCAGTGTTTTGACACTTTTTCCCTCCTCACATTTGAGCACCCAAAAAGTGCCGTTCATCATTTTGGACACTTCAAGATGACAAGATTATTAAAAGCCTTCTTATGGTATTTTTGACTCTTTTGCGCAGAAATATTTAACTCATAACTTCGCCTTCCGGATGTTTAATATAAATGAACATATTCATGAATCAATTAAGGCAGATCGTGAACCTGAAAGGAGAATCGCGGGAAATTGAGAGCAATCCATATGGAAAATTCTGAGCACGATCGTGATTTTAACCGATCGAGACCGTCTTCATGTTTATTCATTTTCATTATTATCATCAGCGCACCAGAGACTTCTTTCTCTACATTTTCATTCCCACTCAATATGAAATAGTTTAATTGTTGCAATATATGATTCTTCGCATTGGATGGTAATTCATTGTGTGTGAGTGTTGGACTATTTTGTGCTGTAAATAATGAATTGTCGGTTGATGAGCATATTTTCCTGTATCTCTCCCCATATTTTTCTGCAACAGAAATCGGACCACTCAGCATTACAGGCATCGAGCATCGCCAGACTGTAACACGGTTGCTTCCTTTGACTCCTCGAGCTCAGAGTCGAGAAATGGCCTCAACAGGTAATTCACACTATTACTTTGTGAATAGTTAGTTTTTTGACCTCCTCTCCACCCTTTTTCCTTCTGGAATGGGTGAATTGAGTCCCACATAATCTGACGGACAGACACACACTAAGCCTTCCCCCGGTGGGGCGCTCTTCCCTAGACTCCGCCTCTCCCACTAACTTTGATCAGACGAAGACTATTACTGGAGAATATGCGATATCATTGAATTCTTAGCTCAGATTCTGACCCTCTGACCTGAGACTGAATCTCACCGGTCGGCATCATAAAATTACATAACAATTGCTCTCTTAATTTGCTTCCATTCATAAGCTGTGGAAGAGTAGCTTTCCGCCACTAAGATCTCTTTGCCACGTGGTGATGGAAACAAAAATCACAAGCATCATTGCAATAGTACTGAGAGATCATGCTTCCTTTATACAATATATGCTTCCAATTCATCCAGTATTATGAAGTGACGCATTTATGGCGTTTATGCATATCATTGGTAAAGTTTCCATTTTTTTCTTACCATAAAAAAAAACTACTGTGATAAGAGTAAAAGTTTGCAAAAATAATCTTCACTTAAAGTACAGAGTAAACCAAGAATTTGCGTGGAAAAATATTCAGCAAAATAGTCATCTATGATGCCGACGTGAGGATCGATTTCTATAGCACAGCCGTCTGACCTGGGATATTCTGTGATACCGCTCCTGACTCGGGTCTCACCCAGAGTGCCCTATCATTGCAGGTACTACCGCCAGGCGTGGGAAAATCTGCACGAGTCCGCATCCAAGAGTGGTAATCATAGTCCGCTGCGGCGAAAAGAGACCCTCGATCAGCAGCACATCAGTCGCTCGCGCGACAACCTCAGTCGCTCCAGGGACAATCTCGAGCGCGTGACGCGAGATCTGGACCGCGCCAGGGATTACGGCAGGGACAGCCTGGGTCTCCGCGATGGCTCTGAGATGGTCGTGTCGGACGTGTGCGTGAAGGGAGAGAAAAAGCGTCACCACCACCATCATCACAAGAGCAGTCATCGCGGCGGGGAGTTCAGAGACCCTCATCTGGTGGCCAACGGTCGCCGTGAGCACCGCCACAACGGCTACTGACCCACGATGGTTATCACCGTGAGTCTGGACGACGAGTGTCAGCAGCGCTGCGGACAGTGGAGGATCCCCATCTAGGCCCTGAACACACACCCCTGCAATCGAATTTCAACACTGAGGGACTGTTTCCCAGACTTGCAAGGTCGATAACCAAATTGAGAGCTCGAGACTTCGCGCCCCCGCCCCCAAGAAACGCTCCTTCAGTGTGTGGCATGACTGTCCCTGACAGGGATCACGCGAATTATGAACTTCTTAGCCTTTCAATTTACCAGTTTGAGGGGGGCGGCAAAGCCCCGAAATCTCTCTCTTTACGCCAGGAAAAACACAATTCACAGATGGAAAAGGCTGACAAATTCATAGTTTCTCCCGCATTTGCTCTACCTTGACATTCACTTTAAAAGAAAACACACATACAACAATTCCCAAACGTCCAGAGAGAAGCTCAAGATGTTCTTGGTATAGGAAAGTAAAGAAAGTATCCTCTTGTAATAATAGATAAAACCAATTTTTATTATTAAAAGGAAAGAAAATGAGTTTTTAGTATTATGATCAATATTTTTAGTTGAGTAGTGCCATTTGGCAAGTGAAATTGGATTTTTCTGTAACATTTTCATTTCATCGTTTTGTCCTTCCTAAATTGCAAGTCTACACAATAAATGTTGTTCACTCTCTCTCTCTCTTTCCCTCTCTTTCTCTCTACTATAAATAGTTTAATCGTGCACCATCACCATTACAAAGTGATATGGTTAAATATTTGTGTAATAACGACGCGTCCCTAATATAAATTATATTTCTTGTAAAATGTAAATAAATAAAAAGAGAGGATATAAGTTTGTAAGAAGGAACTTTTTAAGTGCTGGCGAGCCAAATAACATCTTTTTTCTCATTTTATAAAAAATGTTTTGTTTATCAATTAGGAAAGTAGGACAAAATTACGGATGTGAAAATACTGGAAGATTGTTTATTAGGTAAAAATTACATTTAAAATAAAAAGAAATCGATTCATTAACAAATAAGACTGTCTCTCGCTGTTTTGGCACATTACATTTATCGGCTCTATCATTTCTTTTCTTCTTCTCTTTTTTTTCTAAAACCTGCGTCTTTGGTAAATATTCTTTTCTAAGGATCCAACAAAAATTCTCAATTATGCCGTATTGCTGAATATCGTACGATCTTTCTCTACAAAGAAAAGTATACATAAACTCACCGGAAGCAAGGATGAGTGTCACTCCATCTAAGTCTGCGCTTTGCCATAGCTGCCGGCCGGGGGCCGATAAAGACTGGGCAGAGCCAACACCTGAGGCAGATTGAACGCATATTTCCGCAATCCGATGTTCTTCATCGTGTTGTCCGCTCTTGTTCCCTCACTAAAATACCAACAGAATGCAGAGAAAAAGGTCAATCGATTGATTTGCGCATATGTTGTCCAGCCACGTGCTCTTTTCTGTGCCAATGACTCTTTTAACGAATGCAAATTGATCATACCGTTCCTCCAAGTGATCTTCATTCGACTCCATTAGAGAACAGTCATGAATGGAAAATATAATTTGATGACGTGAAGAAAGCAAATGAGGGGCGACCACAAGTGAAGACGCCGTTCTTTGAAAAATGCCCCCTAAGCAAGACTTAATGACTTTTTAAGGCATACCAATGGAGAAATTATGCCCATTCAGTAATGATAATACTCTTAATACGCGGATCATTACAAAGAGATATTGTGGTATAATTGCGAAATTTTTCCTCATTGCACAATTATGTTCAAGACGTCTATCAATCTCACCTCAATAGACGACTCAAGGTGACAAAATAACCCTTGGCATTGAGAGAAAATGAGTACAGAAATGTTCAGAGCATGTGAGCTAAATCTAACGTTACAGGATTTAAAGAAAAAAAAGATTAATTCACCTTCGCATTGTGTCCATCACCGTCTGCAGATTCGTGGCTGGCAAATGGAATTCCTGCTGCAGAAGTCGGCATTGCTGGAGCGTGACCGCCATGGCTGTTCGGTCTTTGGCACTTTTGCACGATGTGAATTGTACTCCATGGAGAGCTCTCGTGATATCCTCAGCCAGATGGAGAATCTTCACATTTTTCGATGTGTTCAGCTTCAGCTGATCCTCCATGGCGTTGAGAAGATTCACGACAGTTTGCATTGGCACGTGTGGTTCACTCTTCGTTGGTGTGTCGGGAACGGTGAGATTGAGTTTCTTGTATCTGATGTGATACTGCTTGAGTCTGTCAAAGTTATCCCAGTTACTCCTATGCTGCTCAGCTGTATATCGTAGTGTTTCCGACAGTGTGGCCTTCTCGTTGATGCCGATGTTGAAAAAGACAGGAGTCACCTTGAACGTGGGGCTTTCCTTCGTCGGCAAGGCGCAGTAGACGATCTCGGGCACGGGCAGAAGAACTGTCAGTGACTGCCTAGAGCCCACAATCCGCGGGACAGGCAAGAGTTTGGTATCTCGCTGGATATTGCTTCGGATGAGGGTGAAGCGAACAGCCGAGAGGTCCTCAATGGCCACGCACATATCACCCCACATGTCCGTCTCTGATCCATACAGCGATAGGAGTCCCTCAAAGTATGCCAGAGGTCCCAAATTGCACATCAATTGAATATAATTGTCACTAATCTGAGCGCCCCACAGTTTTCCCATCAATCCCGATACCAGAACTGTCAGTGCTTGAGAGAAGCACACATCTCGACGATACATGATATTCAGGGTGGCCGTAGTTCTCTTCATGTCCTGCTGCAATCTCTGGACAGAATGAATCAGCCTGGCTGTCTTTAGTAACCCATCCATAGCTTGCCTCAATTTCCTCATCGATGGCCTCAGTTCTGACGTCCAATCCGTTGTCATGGACAGATCCAGTCCATCTGTGAACTTATTGCCCTTCTTTACCTTCCTGGTGACCTCTCCAATAGCTTGAGTTAATGCCAAATTCAAATCCTTACTGCAAAGATTCGGAGGCTTGGCTGACACCACCTGAGCCGATGTCTCTGCTTCCTGTGGAACATTTTGCAATCCTGGCTGACTTGTCACCACATCCGGAGGCGTTGCTGTAAAACCAGATCTCTTCACCACACTCTTCGGTTGCCTGAGTCGTACTGCAGGACTACCACAACGTCCACAGAGAAATTTTACCTTGCTCACAAGACACATAACAGATGCTTCGATATTCAACTGTGTAAGATCCAGTGGTTCAGGTTCCTCCGTAGGACGATAGTAGTTTGCTGAAGGACTAGAACTCATGACTTTAGTGTCCAGGAAAGCGCCATTGTGTCCCAACACGATTGCGGGATTCTCTAACATATATCCATTCTCGTCAAAAGATTCAATTTGTGATTCCTCACTAGGATTCCTTGCCGATGTAGAAATTTCTCCATTGACATCAAAGTGCGTTTCATTGAACTTCAGTTCTGTGTCCATATTACAAGTGACTGGAAGAGAACATGACAGTACTTCCGCCTCAGTTGCAGAATCCTTCTTGGAAGATGCAGCAGTTTCCACAAGAATAGTGGAGATTGTATTTAAGTCCGTTGCCGATGGAGATTTGCCTCTCAGTGCCCCGGTTGGTGTTTTCTTCTTACTGCCCGCTCGTGGCCAAAGATCTGGGGCCGGACCCATTGGTGTGGCAAAATCTTCCAGATCTGGAGACTTAAGATCCAGAGCACCGAGTTGCTGCGTTATCTTTTTAAATGGCGATAAAGGTGTAAGTGTATTATCCGTAGCATCCTCAATAATGCGATGTCGCTCAATAAACTCAAAAGCCTCCTCCACCAAGTTCGGTTCCCAGAGAGTCAACAGAGAACGTGTCTTGGTCATCATTTCATTGCACAATGGAAGCATTCCCTTGGGATTCTTACTCTTCGCCAGCATTAAAAGCTGAGACATAATCTCCACAATTTCCTTTCTCAATTGTTTGATCGCTTGGACAGCGTCATTTGCTGCCTGGACTTTGCATCCATTCTGCAGTTGTTCCATCTTCGACGGTGATTGCTTCAACTGCTGCAACTGCTTGATCAACCCACCAGTCTTTGTCTTCCCGTTGTGCCTCGTAAAAGCACCCACAGTGACAATATCCAACACCCCGGATCGCTTCAAAGTCTCATTGTGCGCCCACAATCGCTGCAGATGGAGATTCACCGGAGCAAACTCCAAAGATTCATCGCCTTTGTGACTCGATGGCTTGAAGAATTTCCCTGTACGTTGTTGTAGATTCTGCTTGGCCTGAGAATAGTCCTTCAGCAGTCGCAAATGCTTATCCAGTAAATCCATTTGCTTATTCCTCCACTCACCCCCAAGTTCTCCCATGCCTGAGATCTCTTGTAGCAACTCTTTCTCTCTCAGAATCCAAATCGACAGCAGCTGCTGCGGCAATAGAAAGCACAGCTGACTCTCCATCATCATTTCATGCACTGTGATGTCTCCGCCAAGTCCAGATTGCAGCCGGTAAGTGTGGATGATAGGATTTGTGTATACTAGAGACAGTTTCCCCTGTGGCGGCACGAAGAGTTTCACTCCCAACTTTGGTGGCAGTGACTGAGATCTCCGGTGACCCATTGACTGATGCTCAGCTGCCTTGGCTGGTGATCTCGATGTGGAAACCTTTTTGTCCTGATCAGGACTCCATGATAGAATTGTAATGAATCCCGCATTGCCCGTGTTGGATCTAAAGGGAATCCTGAGCCTTGTAGTGTCTTGAATCACACCCAGTGCGATCTCAGCTGTGCCCAATGGAACTGCCGTCTGAGACACCTTCTCCCGGACATCGTAAGCCGTGAAGCGTATCTGAGATGATGGACTGAGTCCGTCAGAGGCGCGAAATGTAATGGTGCAGAGGAATTGAGGGTTTGATGACCTCTGGAAAAAAAACAGGTATAATACCAATGAACTTGGAATTTATAAATACACGCATCATAAAGGCCGGCCTTTATTGCATAATCGTCAAAGTGAATTTGAAATATGAGCGATTTTGGAATAAGATTACGACAATACCGGTTTGCTTTTGAACTAAGTAATTACGTAAAAAGCCTAAGAGAATGTTCTCCATAAAAGAATTTGTCGTAAAATTTCAAGTGTTTTAGGTAATGCTCGTTTACTAAAAAATTCTATGAATTCGATAATACTGCACTCAGTGCAGTGTACTGTAAAATATACTATCGTGAAGATTGCAGTAAATTATGTCTCACCTCAATCACTTCTGTCCGTCCATATTTAATCCATCCCAATCGATTGGATGTGGTAACTTGGACAACGACCGACGGATTTGGTGGCCTGCCATTGCCATCGCAGAGAAGATTGTCGCACATGATTGCAGACTCACAGAGAGGTACCTCGTTGATGTCTGAAAGAGAAACCAAAGCCATGAGTTTCTTGCAATTTCACACGTCAGAATTCCAATTTTCACCGATTTCTCTTCCATTCTGCAACCGTAGCATGTCAACGTCGAGGTCATGAATGTTCCCGCGCTTCCGTTCTATTTTCTCCATCAATACCTGAAGCTGCCTCCTCAACTCCCCATAGCTTGCCATCTGGATTGCACGCGTCCAATCCAGACGCTCAGCCTCTGAATTTGTAGCGATTCTCTGCGTCAAGCCATCCTCAAACTCAATGTAGAACGCAAATCCGTCCGACTCTCGAGCATCGCTGTAGATCGTGGCCTTGCACTTCTCCAGAACAATGACGCCCTGTGGCTCAGAGAACTGATCGCTGGTCTTGAAGTAAAACAGCAAATTTCCACGCAAGCGACACCAACGCTCCGTGCTCACTGGAAGGGTGAACAAAGGAATGGTATTAATGCATTTGCAATCGTGGGATGGCTCAATTTGCAAGCTGAGAAACGACAGAGAAAATATAATTGTAACTACTGAGAAGCAGAAGGTGGACTTGAAAGGCACATCAAGGTGAATCTACGCTACCTCTTCACTCTCGCACTCAACAATTAAACCAATTCACGCAATGTTTTTGCATCGTTCTGTGTAAATTTTGTTATTGTTAGTTTTTTGGAATGCATCTTTTTGAAATTTGTCTATTTCTTAGGATTTCAATATACATACAAAGGTGTTTAGTGGGAAAACATTATATCTACAGAACTTTTCTGGCAAACCACAAACCACCCTTCATGTTGGTTAAACGTGAGAATCACAGTCACCAAAGCTCTTCAGCTCTTTCATCAGGACAATTTCTACAATCTGTGAACGTGTGAGCACAATTATGTGGATGTTAGAAAGCATAAATACTAAAGAAATGATAGAGAACAGAAGGGATATAGATATAAATTAAAATTTGGGGGAGAAAAATGATCGAACCTTTGCCGGTGCCACCTATACAACTTAAACTCTTTCGCCTCTTCCACGAACCACGTCTCCCAGGGTCACTTTCCCGATCCCCTGTTGGTATTTGAGCACTCTTTCAATTTAATTTGGCACAATTGTGAAGAAAACATAAACATGAAAGGAAAGAGAAGGTAACAAAATGATCGGGACAGGCGCGCCTGGCGAATAAGCTGCCGCCCTATTTACAAATCAATGCGTGGTCAAACATATTGTGTAAATAGGAGGAATGGTAAAATATGATTTGGTGTGCAAATATGAGATTTATTCTCCTGGACACTCATGCCAAAAACATTAGTCACGACTTGGCCCAGCCTTCAGAGACTCTGCGGTGGTCCAGAACAGTACCTTCAGTGCGGCGAAAGAAGCCTTCCCTGTCTGTGAACCACACAAGTCCCTCCTTCTCGAATTTATTACTAGGCTGCGTGGCCAACGTTGTCAGCTCCAGTTTGTTGAACCTCATCCTCTTGGCACAGTTTCTGCAAACGACACAAACCTCACTGTAAGACATCCGGAAGAAGAGTCCAGCGCCCTTGTGACCCAAATATAGACGAACAATTTATTGGGCACTGGGTGTCTCTTCGATTGATTCCTTTTTCACATGGATATTTACCATCAAATCCACACACAGAAACGATATTCAGTGATTTAACGGCACGCACATGACATCAAATTGCTTTTAACATCACTTTTGAGCGGGATTTTTCAGCTTTTTACTGCATAATATGCAGATTTTCAGCCACACTCCCTCGACGCCCAAATCTTCCCAACACATCAAATGACAACTCGAGTTCCTTCTCACCTCAGAGTGGCGCCTCATGTGGGCAAGTACTAAAACGTTATTACACTGTTCGATGTGAGGCTGAATGAGCTTTTGGGATTGTATCCTGATAATGTACTTATATGATGCAATAGTAACTCTCTTTCATTATTATTTCATTCATTTCAATTGCTCATTTGAAGATTTCACTCAGTTCTTAGCCAAAAAGTGTGCAAACAACAATGTTATCTGGAGGCTAAACTGTGTACCAACGGGCATTTTGAAAGTGTTGTAAAAAATCTCCTCGTGGCATTTCGTCAGTTTGGTAAGAAATTGTCACGATCGTGATTGCATGTGAATTTGTAGGATAAAAATTATCAATTTTCTAGCTACATTTTTCTATTTATTGTGTGTTGAAATATTTCTCGTATTTATTAGTACCCAAATACCCGAAAAGCGGTAAGTTTTTGTATATTTCTTGGCAAGAAAAAGCACGTTGAAAATGCGTCCGGAAGTGTCATTGATCTCTGCCCACTTTTCAGGTATCTTTCCATTACTACCAGACGGATGATGATTAATTGTTTGACCGATATCTAAAGGAATTTCACAAGATAGAGAAATAGCAAAATGGGGAGTTACAAGGAGATCCTCTGCCAGAGATTCCCCCTCATCGATTCCGTTGTAGTGCAGTACGTAGAAGAAGTGATGGAGGGCAATGATGACTTCGCCACCGGGAGTGATGTCTACGATGCTGTGGGAGAGGTGTTGCACGAGCTGGCGCGGGATAAGTCCGAGGACGACATCAGGGAGATCTGCCAGCTGCTGTACAACAAGGTGTCTCTGTCCGGAGGCAATGCCTATCAGGGCAGCGAGAAGAAGATTCTGGATGCACCGGTGCAACTGGAAGAGATGGCCAATAGGGACATTGACACAATGAAGGACATTAACAGCATATGGATGATTGAGAAGGGCGCTGGGAATATGAAAGTGAATGCGAGAAAGTTGGAGAAAGCCGAGGCGAAGTTGCAGCAGAAGCAGGAGAAGCGCCAAGACTCAAAGCCCGCTAAACCACCACCTGTAGAACTAATGACAGCCTCTGCATCTCAAATGATTAGTAAGAAAGACAACAAGTTGGCGGCAAAGGGTGTGGGCAGGAATATGGACTTTAAAATTGAGAACTTTGACATTTCCTTCGGTGATAAAGTCCTTCTTGTGAATGCCGACTTAAATCTGGCCGCCGGCAGGCGATATGGCCTTGTGGGGAGGAATGGCTTGGGTAAAACCACACTCTTGAGAATGATTTCCAGTGGACAACTACAAATCCCGCCTCATATTACTGTTCTCCATGTGGAACAAGAAGTCGTTGGCGATGACACTCTGGCGCTAGATAGTGTTCTAGAGCAGGACACGGTCCGAACGAATTTGTTGAGAAGAGAGAAGGAATTATTGGCTACAGAGGCTACAGAAGAGTTGGCGGACATTTACCGGCAATTGCAGGAAATTGAGGCAGACAAGGCGCCGGCCAAAGCATCAGTAATCCTCAGTGGTTTAGGGTTCACGAAAGAGATGCAGATTGCAGCCACGAAAACTTTCTCGGGAGGTTGGAGAATGCGTCTGGCTTTGGCTAGGGCACTGTTTTCCACACCAGATCTTCTTCTCTTGGACGAGCCGACGAACATGTTGGATATTAAGGCGATTATCTGGCTGGAGAATTATCTCCAGACCTGGCCAAACACTCTCATTGTGGTTTCCCATGACAGGAACTTCCTGGACACGGTGCCCACGGACATTCTCTACCTCCATAGCCAACGAATTGACCCCTACAAGGGGAACTATGAGCAGTTTGAGAAGACCAAGACGGAGAAGTACAAAGCCCAGAAGAGAGAATACGATGCCCAGATGGCCAACAGGGCTCATGTACAGGAGTTTATTGATCGATTCCGTTATAATGCCAATCGCGCAGCCAGTGTGCAGTCCAAGATCAAGATGCTGGAGAAGTTGCCAGAGTTGCAGCCGGTGGAGAAGGAACCAGAGACGGTGATTAAGCTACCCGATGTGGAGCCTCTGAATCCGCCAATTCTCATGCTGACAGACGTGGCGTTTGCCTACGATAGACCTATCTTCAAGTGTCTGAATCTAAATGCCGATCTTCAGTCCCGGATATGTATTGTGGGCGAGAATGGAGCTGGTGAGTCTGGTGAATTGCAGAAATTCAGAGTCTCTTTTTTCATCATTTGTTCTTTCCAGGTAAAACAACTCTGTTGAAGATTATTATTGGCACTCTGGATGCAACATCTGGCATTGTTTTCACAAATCGCAATCTCAAGTTCGGCTACTTCTCTCAGCACCATGTGGATCAGCTAGAGATGAATCTGTGCTGTGTGGAAGTGTTGCAGAAGGACTTTCCGGGAAAACCAGTGGAGGAATATCGTCGACAGTTGGGCAGTTTTGGCATTTCCGGCGACCTAGCCTTGCAGTCCGTGGCAAGTTTGTCTGGTGGACAAAAATCCCGAGTGGCTTTCGCGAAGATCTGCATGGCCAATCCCAATTTCTTGATTCTCGACGAGCCCACCAATCACTTGGACATCGAGACCATCGATGCCCTAGGAAAAGCACTCAATGTTTTTCAAGGCGGAGTCATTCTGGTTTCTCACGACGCTCGCCTGATCAAGATGGTCTCGCGAGAGTTGTGGGTGTGCGGCAATCAGGATGTGAAGACCGTAGAGGGAGGCTTCGAGGAGTACAGAAAAATCGTGCTGAAGGAACTCGAGGCAGCAGCCAGTTAAATGCTGAGTATGTCAAATGTAAATATCCTTACAATTGTCTATATGAACCCCTCTTTTTGCATAAAGTCACGTGATTAGAACAAGATGTTTATTAAGACGCCCAATTCCATAGATTAACCTTCAGATTGAGGGCATTGCCGATGGCAATTTGCCCCTCACTCGTCACAAGAATCACCCAGAATTGGCCCCTAAAAACCTCTATTTTAAAGCTTCTTCAATGGAAGGCACAAGATTAGCGGGCTCGGGGAACTTATTCTTCCGAGGCGGGCCCTTCTTGAGTCCAGTCCACACCCGAATTTCCTTCGCAATTTCTTCACCCGTCTTCCGAACGTAGATTTCAAATGATCCACGAGCGCCCACTTTAAGCTCCTGCTCCAGCTTCAGTTCTGGCAGAAGGTCACACAAATCCTCGAAGATTTGTATAGCCTTCCTCTTGAACACTCGTCAAGACAAGCAGTACTCAATCCGGATGATGCCATCGCAGTCTCCGGAAACCCTCGCTTTCTTGGAAGCACTCGAAGCACCTTCAGCTGCAGGTTCAGCCTGTGACGAAATTTAACGCTATTATTCTGCATAACTGGGAATTAGCTATTGCACTTGCCTCTGATTTGGTTGGAGCCTTTCTCTTCTTGGGAGGCATTTTTCTCGGTAAAAGCCACAGGAAGAGGATTTGCGCGCTGTCTCTGACAGCTGCACTCGAAGATACAGAACAGCGAATGCGAAGTCGTCGATTGCGTGATGTGAACAGATTTTCAAACATTGGATTCGTTGTGGGAACACTTTTGGGAGTATCCATAAAATAGAGAATTGGAATAAAAGGAATTATTTATTCATTTTCTTACGCTCATTGAACGATCTCGTCGCTGAAATTAAAATTTGTGCGCATACACAAAAATATCAAACATCAGTGAAAAACGGTATTGAAATTTAAATTACAATTAAAATATTTTGATATTTTATTTCCTACTCAATCATCCTAAAAATAATCTATAGGTGTTTGGGTTTGATAAAACCTGATTTTCCAAATGACCTAAACAATTTAAAACATATCTAAAATTCTGACTTGATGCAGATTTTATATAAAAAAAATTCTTATAAATTACACAATCATTTGACTTCATTCATACAAAATACTTTGTATAAGATACAATAAAAGGAAGCATAAAAAATATCACATTTCACAGCGGACCATGAAACTGGAAGTAGAAAGTTGCTAGTCTTGCAAGAAATAGTTTTCTCAAAGGAGCCTCGAGAGGATAATCATGGCGGCCGTTCCTAAAAGGATGCTAGCTGTAGTGCGGTGGGCAGATGAGCTTTCATCGTCACTTTCCTCGATTCTTGGGGTGTAATCGGAACAAGTTGGGAAGTTTTGAGGAACCGGAAGCATTTCATCATGCTCTCCGACTTTGAATACCAATGACATTCCGATCTCAGCATGGAATTCTATGTGACAATGGAAGAGCCAGTATCCTGGATTATCTGCCCTGAAGCGAACTATCGTGTATCCACCATCCGGAATAGTTACAGTGTCCTTGATAGGGGCTCCTTTGAGTCTTCTGTAGAGTTTTCCGGATCTGTCTAGCTCTTGAACCTGAAAGAAATGTAAAAAAATTTAATCACTTGAGACGCTTGAGACAACAAATCAATTATTATTTATGACTCACGATTTCAGCTGAGATATTTCCAGCCAGTCTCTCCATGCCGATGACGTGAAAACCGCTGCCGTGCAGGTGAAAGGGATGATTTGCATCATAAGTGACACCTGGAATTCAGTATTGAGTTATTAAACTGCGAGATATGTGTCATTTCTCATCCCACCTTCGTCAATCAATACCATCTCCACAATAGCATTAAGTGGCACTTGAATCACGTGAGTGCACTCGCAGAATTCCGTTTTGCAATTGATCCCCTGGTTAGCGAGAGTGCTGGAGTTGCAGAACTGAGTATCGTCGGCCAAGTGACGGGCGGACAGGAGCGGATATGAGGGCAGTTTCATGGAAATATGATTGAGTTGGGGAGTGTAGACTCTTTGCTGTGTGTGCAGAACCTCATCGAAACCGTAAAGTCCTGGCATATGGAAATTAGTATTATTCTTCCTGTAGAAGTCGTAGTAGATGTAGAATTTGAAATCTGCCTCCTTCTGCAACACTCCATTATCCGGATCACTGTGAGCGGATGTGGTTTCAGCAATCGAGATGGTTGTTCTGTCCTCCATGCCGCGATTGAGTGCATTAAGTTGTCGTCCTGTTCGTACATGATCATAAGTGGGACTGTGTTTGGGTTCCTCCTTGATTGCTCCGTAGTATCGAAGAAGGGCTGCTTGATGAGCTGATGTGAACCTATCGTCACAGTCCATCAAGCCTTTCACTCGAATCCAGTAATTTCCTGGCTTCTCCTTTGCATGCACTACAAAGTCGAATCTCTCCCCAGCGTAACTAACCAGACTATCCACTTCAACAGGTTCTATCTCTGATCCATCTGAAGCAATGACGAGCATTGTATGATTGTCTATAGACAACTCCATTGGACAGTTGAGGAATTCAGCATTAACCATGCGGAATCTGTAGCGATTATCTTTGTTCACATAGTAGATTTGTAGTGGAATTTGCTTAGTTTCGTTAAGGAATTGGTTGTAGTCATCAACTGGAGATCTCTTGTTGCGAACAATAGTTGTGTATCTTTCATGTGCTCCTAATAAGGTCTTCATTGTTGGATCCATGTTGTCTTGAACAAGTTCAAAGTCTGTGTTAGGATCAGTTGTTCCTCTGCTGCTTGCAGTTGTAGTGGTTGTTCTTGGAGTTGTTGCGCGGGTCGTTGTGGGAATATCCGTTGTGAAGGTTGTTGTTTCAGTCTCAACTGGTGGATCTGTGGTGGTTGCTGGAGCTGGAATGGTTGTAGGCCTTACCATTGACGATGAAGCTGCCATGTCCATTCCTCCATCTTCCTCCTCTTGTTTGTGCATTGCTATGGCTTTGTAGTATCTACCACGCCCGTTGATCAAGATGTTCTTAGGTTTGTTATCTCCCACTGAATGGTGATGTGCATTGAACATGGATATTCCTGTGATTGTTGTCCAATCTTGGAGAATAATCATGTGCTCAGGCTTATCGAAATCGTAGAGCTTGAAATGAACATCTAGAGAGGATGGAAGTCTCACGATCAAGGGTCCTAGAGCTCCATCGCCTCGCTGTACTCCAGTGTGAGAGTGCCAGAAGTGAGTTCCGGCGTTATCAGCGTAGAATGTGTATCTGAATGTCTGTTCTTGGGAGATCGGACATTGGGAGATTAAAGGTACTCCATCCATATACGGAGTTCGTCTTTGATGCAATCCATGCCAGTGGATCGTTGTTGTTTCTCCTAGAAGATTGTTCTGCACATCAACAACTATTTTATCTCCTAAACAGACATCAATCATAGGTCCAGGCATTTTTCGGTTGACCACCAAAATACTCCTTCTCGATCCATCGCCTGTGATGCAGTGTGGTCGATCACAGTCTGTTGCGTTGAAAGGACAGTTATAGCAAGCTTTGCTCATGGTTTCGTACCATTCCACCTGTAAAAAATGACAATTTAACTTGCTAATCAGTGTATATTGTCGCATCTATGTGACTTATTCTAGACATAACAATAATCAGACTTGTAAATGGGTTATAAATCATTTTTTATCGCTCTATGTGAATTTTAAAGACCACTTATTCTTTTAAGGTCAGCGTAATTAGAATGAAGCTATTGTTGCAAATACCGCGAATAAATCTCTTAGAATATGATGGTAATTAATTGTTTGGGAATCTTTTTAGAGAACAATTAATACATACAATGAATTTGTATCTGCACGTCATTGGTGCTGATCCATCGATACACTCTCGCTTGCAGGGATGTTGGTCGTATGGATTGTAGTCTTCATCATCTGTTTCTGATCGTTGCTTGGCAGGAAATCCTGCTCCATGCTTGGGATTGCAATATTGGCAGCAGTCTTTCGTGTAAATGTCTCTCTTGTTGCATTTGGGAAGTTTGGGACATTGTTTTGCATATGCTGATACCAAAACTGTATCTTCCTATAATTAATATATTCAGTATGAATATGGCGAAAGAAAACACCGCAATATCTTACCTTCTTGGAGCATTCGTATAGCACACAGCGATCTTCACTCTTCCATGTCTCGCCAACATTGTATAGAGTGTCATTGAATTTGCACTTTGTCTGCACGCACTGACCACAGCATTGGCCTGGTATGAGCTTCAATTCGTATTCCTGTAGAAGAGGAAGAGACCTTTATTGCTGTCTTCACGGCAATTTCATTTCAATGACTCACATTGTTGCAAGTGTGATAACAATATTCCTTGAAAGTCTTCTCCATTGGTTTTCCTTCAGGTCCATAGTCACAGATGTGCTTAGAGCAGGGATCATCGGAGTCCCAGGTGTCGCCCAGGCTTTTCAGAACAGATCTTCCGTCGATTCGAACGACACACTTATCTTTGGGGGGTTTGCAAATGTATTCATCACAGCAGACGCCTTTCCTTATGATTATCTCGTTGAAATCTTCCTTACACGCCACGGGTTTCAGAGGACATCGAGTCTTGTCACAGAGGTCTTTTAAGTTCGCACAGCACTCAACGAGTTCAGCATCGGTACTGGTTGGCTTGTGATAGTAATCCACATGGAGATCGAGACATTTCGAATAATCACAGTCTGGAAAAAAGGAGTCAGAATTCCATGTTGTAATGTGTTTCTAATCGATCGCGACACGCGTGATTAATTTGTCCATCTGCGATGAGGTATTAATTGAAATGTTACCTTGAATAGCTGCACTCATTACTTTTAATTTATTACAATTATTACCTGTGGAACAATGTTCTTCTTCAACACAATCACTCTTCGTTGCTAAGAGGATTTTCTCACGGTTATAAATTACATTTGATGCAAGAGAATAGATAATGCCTCTGCACTTTCAAGAAGTGATTAAACAAAGAAAGAGCCAATAAAAGAGGTTCTGAAGAAGTGCTAGAAATAACACATATTTTCCTAAGATGGTTTGCTGCTTTTTTGATTATTACATTTCTCACCATAGAACTGCTATTTACTCTCTCAAGTGTGATAGCAATTGTGGGGGTATTATTGTTTGTTTACACATGCCGATTACTATCTTATCAAACAGCACAGCGTCATTAAATATATTTTAATTATCTCCAGAGACACGAACTTGCGTTGAACATCGCGAGTAACGATGACTTTGACTCACCTGACACAACCAGTTGAATGAAGTGGAACAGTATCCAGGGTATTGCAAATGATCGTCGCATTTCTCTGCACTTTCTCACAAAGCCTTGATCGTCAAATTTTATCAGTTATGTCACAGCTGGAATGAGGAAAGGGGAAACTATTTGACATGAGTGTGTGAAATGAAAGGGAAAAGCAGCACAATAAACTATGGTGATCTTGGAAATTTTCACGAGTGATCTTCACCCACTGAGGAAATTCATTGATTAGTTGATGATGCCTGGGAATCAGTGTTGAATGCGTAGTGAGAAAAAAGTTAATTTTTCACAATGGAAAACACGCGCGATCACCGACGATCGGCCTTGACATAATGATGCTTTCGAAATATCAATTTTTCTGATGTTTTTTTTGCTGCACTTCAATTGGGCATTTTTCCATCGATCTCTCCATCGAGCACAAATTGGTCATTGCAATTGACCTGATTTCGTGAGGAATTTCAAATTTAATATATTGACATGCAGAAAAGCAATATTTCTGGGCTGATATTGTCACGAATGACTCTTCTTATCACAAATGAACATTGTTGTGCTAGTCTGACTTTACTCAAGGCGGTCATAAAGCGTTGACTCGTGAATTTGAAGGTCCAGACACAATTGAATGATCATTGAGGCACCTTTATGTAATAATAAGGAAGATCACTGGAGGAAACTTCACAATCACAAAATCGGGGTAAACTGATGGAATTTGCAAGCATCTTCTCTTTTTATTTAAAACTCGTTTCTTCACCTTCTGACTTGTTAAGCGGGGACTTCCAGATCACCACAAAAAAAACTTCTCTTTAGTCTCTTCCACTTGTACTAACTTGGCAAAAATACACTTATTTTTCTCCTCGCTAATACTTGTTAATTATTGTACAACTTTTTGCTCACATCATATAATTTGCGTTTTACTTTGCCGAAAAAACAACCACAAATTCAGGTAATTTTGCGCAATGTTGATGAGTATCACTGGAGTTCTGTTATCATGTTGACTCTCCGTTGTCTGCTCGCAAACTGAAGCGCCTGTAGAATTGGCAGCACATTTTAAAACACCTTTCATACGCACTTCAAGTACTCTTTAGCGAACACACGCGCGCTTGAAACTTTATATTTTACAGTATAGAAAGGAAATAGAGAAGAGGTACATATAGTAAATAAGCGAGAAGGAATTTGTGCATTTTTCTAAATTCTATTACTTATAATTTTTGCAGTTGTTGAGTGGTTTTAATGTGGTAGATTTGCTTGATGGCATTTGAAGTATGTAAGGAATCACTGTATAATTCATCTCTGATAACAGGCTTTTTGGTGTCTAACTGAAAAAGTATTCTGCCAAATATAACTTATTATTTGTATGGATTATTTTTTAACATTTGCACTCTTTATATTGACGTGCTGATCATGAAGACAAACCTGGAAATCCAGAAAATGGGTAAAGAATGGCGTGAAAGTGTGGTCACAGCAGCAATGAAATTCAGCAAATTTATCGTCTGGGATGGTTTATAGCATTTTCATGATTTTATATTGATTACTTTGGTGGCTTTTGTGCAGAAACAAGTAACAAATTTGAGTTTGTGATGGCATAAACTGACGCAAGCCAGATTCACATTGAAAGGTCTCTCTCTCTCTTTCTGATTTCATGTGATGGAGTTTTTGCGGTTTAAAAGCATAAAATCCCCGCGTGGACTCAACTTGTGAGCGGTCAAAAATATTTCAATGAATTTCGGACGATCACAGACACGAGGTTTTTGCACGCGACAACATCCATGTCACTGACGTTCTTGTTCCACTTAATCGCCGAGTTCAAGTCAGTTGATCCAATGTTTTTCTTCGCTATCAATTTCCACGTGAATTAATTTCACGCAGCAAGCTTAATCATCGTGTGTCGTTAAATATCTTGGCAGCATCAGAAGGGCTCTTCAGTTGATTCAACTCAACTATTTGATAAAGGCAGGAAATGGACAATCAACGGAGATCACATAGACGCGAAATTGGGTGCAAGTAAAGTGGAAAATCCCTTGCGATTTAACTGGTTTTAGACGACATGTGAAATTCCGATATGTGGAAAGCCCCTCGAGAGGAAAATGAGTCATCTTCAAATACACTTTCATAAAATCACTGAACTGATCTCTTCTTTTATTTTCCGTATTGTATTTCTTCTTTCAATCCTCAATAGTTGGAATCATTACAAATCTTGGTACATTTTCAGTATATTAAATTAAATAAGACTCGGGAGACAATTACAAATTATACAAATAATTTCTTCATAATAAATCTCTCTCCACCTTGAAAGGCGATTCAAACAGATTTTTTTATCGCTATACTTTAACATCGTGATCTTCTCAAAAACCTGTTTAAATCACTCTAAACTTTGGTAATTAACATTCCAAGTATTAATTACAAAGTATTCTTCTCTGTATAAAAACATAGTTATTTTATTACAGTTACTCTATACAATTCTTTCATATTTGCATATAATTTTTTTAGGGGAAAGGAGAGGCGTTGTGGGGTAAATAATTTTTGAGTATTTCTATGCCAAATTGAGTGATTTCACTCTTAGGCTTCGGTTCATTCTCTCCTCTTATGATTTGAGCCCTTGTCTATGAGTTGCTACATTCGGAATAATCTCTATCTGGAGGAGAAATGACGAGGGAGAAAATGTGCTCAGATAAATACAGTGAATCTACACAATTTAATTAAATTAGATCGTCTTATGATGCGCTCTCGTTGATGTAGTCGTTGTTTGAAATGCACTCTTATTGTCCTTCACTATCGCTATCACTTTTATCTGCAATCAGAGCGGAAAATGCGTTCATTTAATTGATTCATCAATCGATTAAATGATATTTATTCTTCACCTTTCTTTCCCGTGTACGCGTGACGCTTGAGTCTATCGTAGAGATCTTCTTTAGTACCGTACAACGAAGCATTCGATCTGGCCAGTGAATTGACTTTGGCCCCGTGCAAGCCCTCCTTCATGTACGTCTCATTGTAAAAATTGGGCATCTCCCAGCCGTCCTCCTCGTCGTCGTAGTAGTGAGCGTAGGTGCTGTGATGCGATGGCGCTATGCTCTCGGCGTATGGAGTCTGGGCGCCATAATAGAAGTTGACTTGTGACCCAGTTTGATCAATGGCCGGCGCTAACATCTTCTTGGGGTCCTTTCTCTTCTGAGACCGCACGCAGATCATCCATATCAGCAACACGATCACGATTATGAAGATTACAGCTCCGGCTATTCCTCCGGCGATATACGCAAACTCTGACCTCTCAGAGCACTTGGGGCCCGTGAATGATCCGGCACAGCGACACGAGGGCGTACCCTTCAGATCCTTCACACACGTGCCTGAATTTTCACAGAACCCATCGCAGACATCTGATAAGAAAATAGATTAATTATAGACGTTTTTTTTTATATTCTATACCATTTTACTCTTAACGCTGTATAAGAAATAATCAAACTTACCTATGCAGTGCATTCCTGTTCCATTGAAGCCCGGTTTGCACTTGCACATGAAGTCAGAAGTCTCTGGCACGAGGATGCAGTATGCATTGGGATCGCAGTGCGCCTGTCCTTCAGTAATGGTCTCGCATGGATTGATACACTCTGCTTTGCTCGTCTATTTAGGAGAATAACGGGAAAAACCAATAAGGAAAATTGCAATTCAATTCATCATTAGGCCACTTAGATAGGTAATTGCGTGGCCCTAAAACACGTTTTTCGCGGCATTCCTCAATTACACACTTTGGAATGGGCTACAATTTCCGCACTTGATTGCCAGTAGAATGTCATTATGTCTTTGATCTTAATCGAAATCTTAGATTATAGTTCGATAGGAGCATTACTTTTCCTTTTCTATTCAGGTTGTCTTTTGTAGTTTATTGTTCTATTCCGGGCCAATAAAGATTGCACGCGAGTAATGGTATAAACAACTAGAGTATTAAGTGAACTTCCGGTTTGTTTTTGGGTAGTTGAAAATTTGCTATGAATGAGGTTTTGAAAACACTAGTGCAATCATATTATAAAGAACTAGTAAGTGATTTTGAGGAACCGAACCCATTAATTATCAAGTTGCAATTGTGGGATTCCCATGATAATTGCATTTCTAATACTCACCGCTGCTGTTGTATTTGTACTGTGATTCGGTGGACAAGGTATGCACGATGTCTTCTGCGATTCTGGTTGATAGAATCCCTTTTCACACTCCACACACAAATTCATTGAGCCATTGAGGTATGTTCCTGAAACGACAACATCACGTTTAGCACGCCTCATCTCCGTGGTATAACAACAGGGCGTCTTTACCTGGTGTGCACACGGGCAATGAACATTCCTCGACCGACGAGGCTCCGACCTTGGGAGTGGTGCGACCCAATGGGCAAGTGTGACACGCTGGCTGCACACCTTGCGTGCGGAAAGTGCCTCGAGGACAAGGTTCGCACTTCCCATCCGCGCCCAACTGCATGCCGCTGGCACACTCATCTCGGCACTCATCGCGGGACGTGGATTCGGGCGATCTGGTCGTCTGTCCGAGACCACACAGCTCACAAGAGAAGGATCCCTCGCGTGGCTGGAAGAAGCCATATCCACATGGACGACAGAGTCCAGTGTCAGGATCGAGGAACTTTCCAGCGGGACAGCGCTCTTTGCAGTCAGCCGCCGATCGAGCTCCCGGACCCACTGTGACACCCGGACGACCGGCAATGTTGGGACACTTGGAGCACTGCAGCTGGCCCGTCTCGGACTGATAGTGACCGCGCGGACAAGGCACACAAGTCTTGTTGGACGTCTCATAGAACGTTCCCACAGCGCACGGCACGCAATCGGGAACCATAACGACTTGGCCAACAGGACAAGCATACTCCGATGTTAAATCCAGAGATGCAGGATCAGGTACAGTGTTGGGCAGAATGTCTTGCACAGCGAACTGATCCTCCTCGAGAATCAACTTCTGCAGCAAAGTCCTCACATCTGATCTCTCGCCAGTGGATGAATGCAGTACAGGATCGCTGAAAAAGTATCAAATATCGATTAACACAAGTCAAGCAATATTGCATAAAATATCCTGAACTCATGCGACGAAACTGAAAGCCAAGCAGATAATTTCAACAGTGTGCAGATGAAAGATCAGTGATCTTGCTTGGAGACAAGCACAATATATGTATGTATATACATCAATTATGGTGGGAAATAGAATTATGGAAAGTAGAATATTTAAAGAAAGAGAGAGAGAGCATTAGAAGCGTGTGAGATCATGCAAATGCGCTTCATAGAACGAATAGCAGAAAGAAGACAAATAATTGAGCAATGTTCGCCACAATGCAGCCACTCGCCACCCGGAACAAGCTTTTCTCATAAGCTCATTGATTCTGGGACATACTTGACTGCCGGAAAAGCGATCTCCAGTGTGTATGTATCGCCATTTTGCTGTCTTCCCTGACGGGATCCTCTTGCGCCATCCGAAGTCTCACTGTATACGAGATTATCACAAGAGTCAACTACTATGTGCTACGATCTGTACATTGTACAATTTTCTTATCATATTAGAGAACAATTAACAGACAACTACTGGACATTATTCACAGAGTTGGTCATGAAGAGATCACACATTGAATATCTTCCACTCACCTTTCAACTGGAATTTGAGCATCCAGAACGTAAATTCCACCTTCATCATCAGCTGGAGTCTGTCTCTTTACTCTGTTTGAGTTTCCACCGCGATAGTGATCACAATTTACGTCAATTTGCAGATCCTTGCACTCTCGAGAGCCTTCTGTAGAGTAGGAACAGAAGCTCCAGTCTCTGTTGAGGGAGTTCACAGCGTTGCGGACACGTTGGCGCAAAACACCTTGGCCAGCCTCGTTGCAGAGTACATCTGATGGGAAGAGCATCTTGATTCTGAATACTCTCTGAGCGGGTTTAGCTGGAGAACACGAAGGATACACCAATGGTTTGGATGGATCACTCGTTGGTCGCCAGAATCCTTCAGCTCCACAAGTGTAGAATTCAGGAATAGATTCGGAGAATCTCAAGCCAGGATGGCACGCAATTTCACACACTTTGAATTGTCCACCTGCTCCCCAGTCCTTGCATACTTGAGTACCTCCGAGAGGATCAGACAGTGGAGGACAGAATTCAGCTGAAAAGACGCACAACATTAGCATCTAAAGATAATTGAGGATTCCCGAAAACTCACAGAGGAGAGAAACTTTGAAAGTGCATGTGGCTGTGTTTCCAGCGGCATCAGCAGCAACATAAGTGATGTCGTAATTTCCCCAGAGCAGCGTTTGACCTGGGCGATGACCATTTTTCTCAGCGATCTTCACAACACCAATATTATCACTGAAGTGTGGCTCATCCCAGTTCACCACGGCAGATCCATTGCGGGCAATGACCCAGAGATCTCCTGGGCAGTGTTCCACATGCGGTGGTTCTTTGTCAACTTCCAGCTGTTGGCACTGAGGACCAGTGTAGCCAGGAGAACACTTCTTCTGACCACATGATGAGGGTACACTTCGCTCTACGCCGCCAGATGTGAGTTCATATCCTGCCCAATTGAGAATGAGGCCCCGGTAGAGAACAGGCTCACTTCGACAGTCGCGGACTTGCTTCTGAATTTCAGATGTTACATCTAGCGCACGTCCCCAGATTTGAGCTTTGGTCACTTTGCCCTGGAATCCAGCTTCAGTATAAGTTGCTCCAGCAGTCAAACCACCTTCAGGCTGAGGTCGGCCGAGTACAGCCCAAGCGCTTTAAAGTAAAATTCTCTCATTAGAAGATGCACTACTGAGAATTAGTGGTTTCGAACTTACTATTCAGGAAGTTGCTTTCCTCCACCATATTCAGCCTTGGAAGCAATAAGACCCTCTGTGATCAGCATCAATTGTCCAGCTCTTCCATCCCAGACAACAGCCACATGGTGCCACTGCCCATCATTCACAGTTGCATATTCTCTGAACGAGAGAAAAGCATCCTGAAGATCTGGGAACAGAGAAATCTGGACACCACTTGAGTGAGCTTGAAGCAGCATTCTTCTCTTCGTTGGGACATGAGGAGAGTCCACAGCATAGAGAGTATAGAAGATTCCTGCGTCGTCCTTCTGGGAGAACTGTACCCATAATGCCAGAGTAAGACTTTCAGCACCTCCTGTGTAGAATGGAACCACCTGAGCCGCTGTGGATCTCACAGCATCGCTGAAGTATAGATCGTAGTCCACTTGAATGGCTGAAAGGGCAAATCCCATTAGATATCTCACCAAATAAACACTATTAATTAAGAACTTACTTTTTCTGCAATCATCTCCAGTGAGATTGAATGGACATTGGCAGTAGAATCTTTCAGTGAGGTCGATGCAAGTGGCTCCTGGTGGGCATGAATTTTCTTTGCAGTCCACAATGTCCTTTTCACAGTTTTGTCCCGTGAATCCTGGTGCGCAGAGGCACTGATATCCTGGACCATCATCGACACAAGTGGCTCCATTCTGGCAAACACCAGCCTCGCAAGCGTCAAATTCATATTGGCATCCAATGCCTGCATAATCAATTGGACAAGAACAATTGAGCCCAGATCCGAAGTCTCGACACTTTCCACCGTGCATGCAAGGATTTCCTATGCATCGCTCTGGAGCTGTTTCACACTGCTTCCCATCAGTTCCACTTGGACATACACAGAAGTAGTCTTGGAAGAGATCAATGCACGTGGCATCGTTCTGGCATGGTTTCTGGCTCGTACACATCGTGATTTGATTTTGGCATTGATCACCACTCCATCCTTCAGCGCATTGACATTCAAAACCACCGATCCTGTCCCGACAGCTTCCACCGTTGAGACAAGGGGAGTTCTCACAATCGTCAATATCAGTTTCACACATGGCTCCGGTGAAGCCCTCTCGACAGAGGCAAGTGTGTCTATTGTCCAGATCGAGGCATCTCTCCGTTCCGACAGGATTGCAGGGATCACTGAGGCATTCATCGATCTCAGCCTCACACTGCAGTCCTACGAAGCCTGGTCTACACTTGCACATAAATCCATCCAATTGGTCAAGGCAAGTGGCTCCATTCTGGCACGGATCACTCTGACAATCGTCAATGTGATGCTGACAATTCTTTCCTGTGTATCCAGGCTCGCATGTACACGAGTATCCATCCACCAGATCAATACACTGACCAGCATTCTCACAAGGACTACTCGCGCAATCATTGATATTAACATTGCAATTGGGTCCTGTCCATCCTGGGTGGCAAACACATTCGTAACTGAAGAGTCTGTCCACACAAGTTCCATGTTTGCAGGGCTCAGACAAGCACAGATCAATTTTCTCTTGACATCTCTTGCCTGTGAATCCGGAAGGACACGAGCAACTGAAATCATTCACAAGATCTGTACAGTTTGCACCCAACAGACAAGGCCGCTCAGCGCAATCATCGATATTCTCTTCACACCCTGGGCCTTCCCATCCTGGCAAACATTCACACTTGTATCGTCCTTGCTGAAGAGCGATGCAGGTGGCTCCATTGGAGCATGGATTTCCATTGGCCGTGCAGGGATCGATGGTGATGTCACAGTCGACTCCTGTGTAACCACTTCGGCACAGACAAGTGTAGTTATTGTATCCTGGCTCATTTTTGCACATGGCTCTTGCTGGACAAGTGTTATTCTTACAATCAGATACTTCCTCCTGGCAATTCATTCCTGAATACCCAGCCGGGCATTGGCATCGGTATCCTTGAGGAAGATCTATGCAGGTTCCGCCATTGAAGCATGGTTGAGAAGCACACTCATCAATATCCACTTCACAGCGACGTCCACTGAAGCCAGCCGGGCAGAAGCATTGAACACTGTGACCGATGGGAATGCAGAGACCACCGTGTTGGCATGTATTCTCCTGACAAGCAACGGGTTTACACTCCTCTCGTCCTGTAGCTCCAGGTTTGTCTGTCTTCATATTTGTAGGGCATTCATTGCAGCTCGTGGAGCCTTGCACTGCCTGGTAGAAGTTAGTTGGGCATGGAGAACAGGGAGATAAACCAGTTGACGAATAAGTGCCAAGGGCGCATTTTGGTCTACAAAGATCCTTGCCCGCAGCCGCTGGTTGGAAGGTGAAAGTGTTGGCGGGACAAGCCTGACAATCCTTAAAGCCACCAGTTGGAGGATCAGAGGAGTATGAGTTTCTGGGACACTCAAGACATGGTACAAGTCCGGTTGGAGAGTAGGTTCCGTATCCACAAACTGGGACACAAGCTGAGATTGCCTTGGATCCCTCCTCACGGGTGTACGTTCCAGGCGGACACCGCAAGCATGAGCCCTGGCGATCACGATTCTGGTAAAATCCTCTCGGACAGTAGGTGCAAGATCGCTGACCCTCTCCAGCGAATGTTCCAGCTGGACAGTGAAGACAACGTGGCACATCATTTGTATCCATATTGAGTACTTCACCGACACTGCATGTGAATCCTCTGGCAATGGAACTATTGAGGCCACGCAACGGTGGACACTGATTGCCAATGCTGGTGACATTGAGCAAGGGTTCAATGATGGCACTTGCATACGGCACTCCGAGATCGAAGATGAGATTCAGCGTAGAGCCGCAGAGATCGTACAGCTGAGGCTGTCTCACTGCCGGGATAATTACCAGAATATAATCGATCTTGAGAACATTGTCCTCCAAGAGTGTGGGAATGGATCTCACGAAAGATACGTTCATATTCACATTGACAGCCGAACAGCGCTGCGAAAGCACCTGATTAAGATTGCCATAGTACTGAGCCATCAGATCCTGATACTGAGGCAGACAAGATTGAGACACAACTCCATTAGCGCGGTAGGTCATCGTAGCTGTAACGTGATAATCAGCTTGCTGAGTGTTCTCAGACACACAATCTGGAACCACAGATGTCGGTCGCCAGAGACGAGAATGCTCACAAGAGAAGGTCTTAATGGATTCTCCATCAGTGAATCTGAATCCAGGACGACAAGTGGCAATGCACTCGATGCCCTTGTCTCCAGGCAAGCAATTAATTGCTCCATTCACCGGTGGCTGAAGTTCCCAGTCTACACACGGAGTAGCTTGAATGGAGACTTGGAAGTGACAAGAAGCCTTATTGTTAAACCTATCTCTGGCCACAACAGTAACATTTTCAAAGCCTCCAATAGGAATTGTCGCTCTCTCAGGAATGAATGTGAGATGAACATCTCCTGACTCATCAGATGTCTTTATCCTCTTCCTGGTGTCATTGAAGTTTACATTATAGCTATCTTGCTTGTCTACTAATTCAATAACGTAGCTTTGGGGGCAGGAGAGCAAAGGAGGAGTGACATCAGGAACTGTGATGTTGATTTCACATATCGCCACATTGCCATCATAATCGAATGCTACGTATTTCACCACAGTGTCCTGGAAAATATGAATAGGTGTCCTGAAGCTCTGTGGCTTCACTTCCAACCTAGCGATGGATCCAGAATTATCAATAGCCGTGGGTTCAGTGAAATTTATGGGCAACACTCCACCGTTTTCATCTCTCTTAACTATAATTGGCTGCTGTGGGCAGTTTTGGAAAACTGGCGGTTCATTGTCCACGCATGGAGAATATCCATAATCATAGCCAAGCAGAGGCTCTGTTTTAGGTTCCTCACAACCCATCAATTCAAACTTCAGACAAGCATTGTCCATGTAGCTCACAATGCCGAGGATCACGAAGCGAGCCTGAACATATTTGGGCAATGTAATCATGGCCAACTCTCCGTAGTTTCCAGGATCTCTCATGGTGAGATTGAAATTAGGGAAGTAAACCACATAATTCTCACTCTCAGATTGTTTGTAGAAGAAACGGATCTCCGTTGGACGTCCCACAATATCATTAGTCACAACGCCTTTAACAAGAATCGCTTTCACGCGGTAAACTTTACCCAAATCTACACTGACATATGTGAAAGCTTCCTGCTTTCCGCACCATCCTGTCACCGAATTCAGTCGAATGTTGCGAGCCTCGTAATTCGGTCTCTCGGATGTGGCATTGATGGCACTGTCTGGGATCCTGCCTGACGAGATGCCCAAGGGCTTAATGACTTTGCATTCAGGCTCTCTCATGCACGTGATCGGACGAGGATTGATTAGGATATATCCAGGGCGAGAACATCCGAAGAGTATTTCCGATCCTTGTTCGTAACTCCTGGCAATTTGAAGACCATCACTAGGACGACCAGGATCCTCACAAACCGGTCCTTCGCACCGCAGATCACCAAAGTCCCATATTCCAGTCGGCTGACATCGAACCACATTGTCATGCTTAGATGTTTGTCCAGCCAGTTTGAATGTGTTCTGGCAACCAAAGAAGAATGAGCTCTGATATCTTGTATCCACGAATTGTCCATATTCAGCTCCGGGAGTTGCCATTGGCATTCCACAGTCAACTCGTGGGCAAGCTGGAGGAGTGCCTGAAAGCCAATAGTCAGGAAGTCCTGGCTTGGGATCATACACGCACTGCCTGAAGCCTGAACTAGCCGTGCTTCTCAACTTTCGTCCAGCTGAGCCACAAGTGAGTGTGACATTATCTCTGAATTGTACGAGAACACTTTCCTGATCAGGTCGCAGCACGGCAAGCCCGGATTGCTTGTCATCAGGCAAAGAGACACACTTGGCATACATGCACTCAGGTACCGATGCATTCCATTGTCCATTCGAGAGGCAGAGTAGTGACGCACTGCCGGACATGACGTAGCCAAAATTGCATTGGAACGACACGAGATCTCCAAAGTGATGTTGTGTCTTTGTGGTCAGCAGTTTTCCATTCTCCGGCGATGAGAGTGATGGACACATGACCGGAACGCACGTCTTATTCTTCTGCAGTGTATCACCGTCACGCTCACCACTCTCGGATGACTCAATGAAGAATCTATGCCGGAAGAGATCAACAGTTAGTTGCTGAGACTGAGAGTATTTGATGAGGCAAACAGACTTACCCAGCTGTTCCATTTCCCAAGTACAGCTCATAGCCGGAATTGCAGGCGCACTGGTAGTTTCCAGGAGAATTTACACACTTCTGGTCACATCCGCCGTTGTTCTTCGTGCACTCATTCACATCTACGCAGTCCAAACGAGTGCATCCCATTGCCTCGAGACGCATGCACGGAGATCCTACGAAGTCTTGAATGCGGAAGCGTATATAGCGAGCCTCAATGGGAATGGGAAGATTCAGGATGGATAGAGTGGGTTCTAGGATCCTGAACTCAACCGCTGTGCCATCGGGATTGGCGTAATCCTTGAAGACATCGGTCAGATCATCGGTGTACTGAAGACGAATAGCTGACGTGAAGGCCACAATTCCATCATTGCGCTGGACAGACATTGTTCGGAATCCTCTGAGGATTGTCGGTGCCTTGAAATCAATCAGAACCCAGTTGCTTCCAGGCTCCGTTGAACTTCCACACCATCCTGTCGAGGTCAATCGCAAGAGGCTCTTAGCATAGCCCTCTTCAGTCGAAGAAACGGAAATGCTGTCGTCTGAGATGCCGCCATTGGCCAGACCTAGATCTCCAACGGGACGGCATTCGGTCGTAGGAGAGAAGCCCTTTTTGCATTGGCAATAGAAAGATCCAGCAGTGTTCATGCACTCAGTCGAGGCGAGATCACACTGTGAAGAGCTGCACTCGTTAATATCTAAAAGAAAAAGTTCGTCAAATACTTGGAAATCCGCATAATAATCAAGTTAACTTACCATCGCAAGTAGGAAGATTGCTAAACTCTTGATTCTCATCGCATTTGATGATGTTGCTTCCACTGAGTTTGTATCCTTTGTAGCATTGAATCCTAGCCTCATCTCCGTAGAAATACTGTCTAGTTGTGTCCACAACAAATCCATTCTTAACATCTGGATAAGTGTAACAGCGCTTCCTCGAGCATCTCGGTACATCGTTACTCCATGTGCCGTTGGACATACATATAAGAACCGGGTGTCCTGTTCTCTCATAACCAGGAGCGCACTCAAATCTCACAATTGTGCCATAACTGCGTCCACCGCCATTCAATAAAGTCATATTAGCGTTGGCTACTTCCGGAAGAGGAGAACATTGGGAAGCCAAACATGATGGCTGTCTTTCCCATCTTCCATCGGCTAAGCAGGAGATTTTTTCAATAGGACTGCCCGAAGGGAAGGCGAATCCGGCATAACACTGATACATAGCAATTCCTTTGTAAGTCACGTTGGATGATCCAATTGAGAAGCCATTGTCAATCTGGGGCACTGGTCCACAGTAGACTTCCTGGCACTTTGGAATATAATCGATGCTCCAACTTCCGCTTTCCTGACATGTTGTGCTCAGTTTATTCTTTCCTGTCGCAAACTCCTGACCCACAGGACAAGTGAAGGTAATAACAGTTCCAAAAGCTGTATCTCTTGAGGATGCTAGAGCTCCATGTCCAGGCTTCAATTCAGGACAATCGGCTGAAAAGATCGCTGACCATCCTGGACTATTATGCAAAGCATCACTAACGAATTTCAGAAGTAATTCTCCAGATGAGGCTGTGAGCGTGAGTTTAGGCTTGGTGGCACCTGTAAATCCATTCCCAGAATGTAGTCTTAAGCCAGACGTTGAAGCGCCATCGAACACTTGAACAAAGTCCGTTGAATGGACGTTGAATCTGTTGAAGCGCAGCGACAGTGGCCCGCCAGTGGGGTTCTTGATCTTGAATAAACACTCCTGATTACTGGGATAGTCACTGAGTCCAAAAGCTGGAGAAGCCACAGTGCCATTTCGAGCGAAGATCGTTGCCTTGCAGCCTTGGGTGTAACGAAGACTGAAGCCCTTGCGTGAATCGCCGAGATTTGTCTTGAAGTACACATAAAGCTTGCTTCCGGTGGACATAATCACTTTAACGTTATCCCTAGCATTACCAGTGAGCCTGGCAATGGGTCGACTCTTGGGACTGTCTCCATCTCTGACCAGAACGTAGTCTTGCACAGGATTAAGGTCGAGATCTTGCACTTCCAGCGAGATTATCCTTCCGGGCTGCGCCTGGATGATGTACAGACACTCAAGACCACCAGGATAGATTTTGGGATATCCCGGGCTGGTCAGCATCTGTCCTTGCGATGTAGCCTGGAGTGTGCCACTGCAGACTTGTGGTTCTGTCTTCCACGTGGCTCTGAATCCTTTCCTTTCAACGCTGCCATCCGTGACAAACTTAACAATCATAAAATTGGATGCCGTGACGAACGGTTTGCTGGTGAGATCTAGCTTCCCAGAGAGCGTGGCCAGGGACACCGATTTGTCCTCCGTCCTGCCGCCAACAAGAACCTGAACAGTGTCGAAGGTCTTCTCAGTGTCGAACTCCTGGAATTGTAGGACAATATTGCTGCCCAATGGACCCTCCAGTGTCCATTTACACTTGGCCAGCGCGCCGTACTTGTGGGGAAAGTTTGGTGACTCAATCACATCCCCACCGGACTGCATGTGGAAGTGACACGAAGCCGGACAATCAAGTTCATCCGAGCCATCGCCACAGTCGTCATTGCCATCACACTTGAAGGCATGATTGACGCAGGCCCCGTTGGCACAGTGAATGGAGTTGTGGGGACACGCTGGGGCGCGGCACATGAAGGGCAGAAGGCTCTCGCAGGTGCTCAGTTCCCAGGATTGCATCATATTGGCCACAGACACCGCCACGCACTCCCCAGAGCGCGGGTCGGGCTGGTTGAGGGACCAAAAGCCCGAGTACTGCGACACCTGTGGAGGAAGCAAAGGTCAGGGAGGGAAATTCACACCTCAAACAAATTATTGACCTCACACCCAGTGTACTTCCTGTCCGCGGAGACGCAAATTTCTATAATACCGAAACATTACCTATCGCGATTTTGCAACTTAGCATTCCACTCATGGTGATCGTCAGACGGCAAAAGGCAAGAGAAGCAGAGAAAGAGAGACTTTCCGACAAGTCTTTGGCTTTTTGTCCACGTCTGCACTTTGCCTTCTGCCAACTCGAGATCCACACTCAGTACTTTCACGTTTATATCATGCGTCTCAGAGAGAAAGACACGCTCTCCAATGATTTGCCATTCCACACACGCGGACTGTGAGAAGGACTAGAGAAATTCGACCGCACTCACCAGAGTTCCTGCCGCTGATTCTAGCGTGTTTGTTCGCAGGTCATCCAGAGACGCTAAGCCCAGCCAGTACTTGTCCGATGACCTCCTATTGAGTTCACCAGCAGACACGATGGCTTGAGTAACATTGTTCTCCGTGTAGGATTCAATAGCGACTAGTTCTGCTCCATATCTGCAAAGAACGGCATCATCCATGAGTACCTCACGTGAGTCACGGGTGCTAATTTATTGGGTAAATCTGTTCATATCAGCCACATCGTCACTGTTGCTCCCATTTTAGTCTTTGTCTCAAAATCTCTCTCCTACTTTCCTCATCAGCACAGCAACCAAAGACCAGCCCATTGATGGGGAATTAACAGTGAGATTATATCACGGATTTGCATTGTTGGGCCGCGTCGAGAAAATAAATCACTCAATGGCTGCACAATTTTCCATTCAACACAGCTAATGGAAGCCAATGAAAGCGGAAAAAGTATGATAAATCGCAATAAAATCGAAATTTCTTCATTTCTTTGACAAAATTTCTTGAGAGTGGATAAAAAAAAAACCGTTTGTTGCACATTCTTGAAAATCACTTGAATATTTTTTTACCACATTGTTTTTGTACAAAGAACTGCAATTTGTTCTTCGACGCGTGTAACCCTCAATTAGACATTTACCATTTCCCGTGATGAATTACTGAATTTTGCAATACTTTAAACAAATATTTTCCCATGTGTTCACCTACAATCTCGTCAAGAACCAATCAGAGATAATATGGGAAAATGATGCACATTTAAAGGGCTACTTTTTAATTCAATAAGTAGAGTAAGCTGTGACAGCACGTACAATTTGTTAAATAAGGCCCAACTTCCTATTCTCCTCACTAAACTCTTAGGATAAATAACATAAAGTCAAGGCAAAATTTAACATTTTCCTGCAGAATATAACATATCGTATATACATCGTTCTACGGCTTACTATCAACACTCTACGTGAAACATAAATCACGGTTTTAAGTATATAAATCTATATATACACTGTTTGATCAGTATTTCTCTGCGACAGATTATGAATTCATTGATAAAAAGCGAGCTAGAGGAGTTCAATAGTCGAATAAAAAAGAAAACAGCGAGTAAAAAATAACCATAACGATTTATTTACAACGTAATTAATTGATGACACAGTTGAGAAACGCTTATTTGCCTGCACGAATGTTTCTCTTTCATGTGAACCTGCGGCACAGCATCTAATAATGTTCCGCAGAGGAAGAAGAGTTTAATTGATGACGAAAAATTTGTGGAATCTTGTGCGCAAAATATATGACTTAAAAGTGCAGAAAAGCCGTTGCTGAGGAAATATCTATAAATCGTGGATAAACGGTAAGTTGTCGATTTCACAAGTTTTTTTATCTTCTTCTCCTCAAAAATTGCACCTTTGAGACGCTTTTTAGGTCAAAATCTACATGTTTGGGAATCTCTTTAGCTCGCGCGCAAGTCTCCAGAATTGCGAGTCAATTTTCCATCTCGGTCTCGTGTTTAGCATGAAAATATTGTTTTGCCTTCTCAGCTTTTGAGCTCAAAGAGAAAATTACTGTAGTAGAAAAAAGGTCAAACAAGAAGCGTTGAGGCCTTCTCAAGTTCTTTTATCTAGCGATATTTTTTTCTTCTCTCTATCCCTCTCCTTCTATATATTTGTAATTACTTTGGACTTGATAATGAATTTCCTCTTCAACGCTGGCATTATGCAAGCACGAAGAGTGAAACAGAAAAAAGAACAGGTGGGTGCAATACGAGTCATTCCGCTCAGTGATTTTAAAGTGCACATCACCCAAGATATGCATCCAGATTGCCTCAAGTTAATTCTTAGTTCCTCTATCTCAGGCAATCCGCCCCTAAATCTCAGCCAGTCTCGCGCTCTTTTGCACGTGCCAAGCGCACACACCTTAATAGAGACGAGATTTGCAAATCCCCATTTGTAATTTATGACAACCAAGTATTTCGCATGGCACGCACAGAAGATGAGAAGAACAGTTTGAGGACATTCATTGAAATTAACCGGAATAATTGCGACATTTCGAAGAAGTGGAAATGAGCGGCGAAAAAAGGCCAACAAGAGTTGGCATTACTCCGGTTCGGAGGTGATTCATTTTCGCCATTCACAACTTGTGTATTATTTATGTCCACGGATTCAGTGTACATTTGATGATTTTTCTTGTACATAACATCAGAAAGAGAGAAGAAGCATTTGTACCACTGACCCGCAACAATGCTATGCCAAAGAATTCCTCATTGACTTTCTGTGCCACTCTGTGAACACTTGCAATTAACAGGATGAACAATCCCCCAATTCAGCGCTGGCACAGAAAGACCCAAACGAAGCCGCTATAGGTCGTTCTGAAAGAAGATATTTGGGTTCTCTCTCAAAGCCAGACAGTGAAAGAAATATAGATCGTCCTCCAGACTTCGAGGTGCTAATGAATATTAAAATAAAATATGGGTGCGTTTGAGTCTAGGAATTCATTATTATATTGTTCTTGAGAAAAATTCACATGATTAGTTTGTTTTTGCATTCCTGAGAGCATAACTAATTAGAATTTTTGGCCATTTTCAATGATTTATTGCAATTTTCAAGGATTCGGCAAATTTAATATAGCAGATATAAAAATAGACCAATGTTTCTTAACTCTTTCAAGAGGAATAAAGAATTTACACTTTGACTGCGTCTCTAAAGGATTTTCGATTGGTTTAGTGTTCTTCGAATTTAGACTGTCTCAGTCTCGATTAACAATAAAAAAAATTCCTTTGAAATACTTTCCCAATTAGGGAAAGTGTGGAAAAGCGAAAATGCCAGTTCGGTGAACTCTAAACAGACACTCAAACATTTTTTGACCTTTTAAATGAATCTTTCAATTTCTCAATAAATTTTGTTTGACAAATTAACCTTTTGCAAATAAATCGTCAGGCAACATGGACAAGAAGAAATTATGCAAAAAATTGCTATAACATCACTTGTAATGCTAACGTAAATTTCGTGTCGCGTTCATTGAATCCACGAGCGCAGCTGTTGCCGTGAAAATCAGTATGTAATAACCCATTGTAAAGCGAATTTGCGAGTTCAAAGTCTTTGAGACCAGTTTAAATTATATTGATGCAAGCGGCCAATAATAATTTTCCAATTTCATTGCAATTGACTAATAAAATAACACACTCATCTGCCTAACAAGTGTGGCATTTGATTGAGCATCTCATTAATGTAAATTATGGTCAAGTTATGACGATAAGGATGACTTCATTTTTATGAGTGAAGAGACTTTTTCATGGAATTCTATGGCGTGTGACACCCATTAAACGTTTCACAAAATTTTAAATAATGCATCAAAGAAGAGAGAAGAATATTAGCATTTTACCTTCGACAGAGTTCTGCTGCTTTCTCCCATGAGTGTTTTATGTTGAAGTATTTATAACAGTACAATCCTCTAAGTTCCCATCCTGTGGAAGAGAAAATCGATGCACTTTTCTTACACATGCGAATCGATAGGTTGAGAAATTTCATATATAAAATAAAATTGAGAAATTCATCATTGATGAAGTCACACATTCCCCTCACTTGTGTTTTTTTTTCAGAGGTAGTGTCCAGTGGCATTTTCAGCTATCATCCATCTTCTACTTGCCATCTCTTACACTCTCAATTACTATACTTTTCGCGATGAAGAGGATTTTTTCCCCACAAAATCACACAGTCTTTCTGTGACCGTTGACTTATAGTTTTAACGGTACTGTGGAGTCTTTTTATTTCTATAAATTGTTTTCGATCGCACAAAAAGCCGTAAAAACTCTTCACTGAGATGATGATGATGTTTGCAAAAATCTCTCACACTGGCAAAGTTTACAACCAACCCAATGTCCGGAACTAGAACCTTGACTTTTCCATTTAACACCTCATGAATAGACGAGAAAATATTCAAAAATGGACTGCCCAGTTATCATCTTCAACCACTTATGATTGTCTTCCACTCATGGAAACTGGTAAGAAATCCAATTTGACAACGAACAGAGACAAATAATTACTTAATTAATTGATATACGGTGAATTTGTGAGTGGATGTTTTCTCAATGGTGTCTCACAGCTTACATAATGTAAAAGATGAAAATTAACTCGATGAAATCACATTCGAATTTTAGCATTTTATATTTGTCTGCACAAGCGCGGTGTCATAACACTCTTTTTTCCCTCATTTAGCAAAGGAATATGAATAAAAACATGGATTCTGGCCTGGGCGAGAGACAAATATTTCAGTATTTGATCTTTCGAAAGCGTGAGAGTGACCACAATCATAATAATTACATTGTTAAATACACACGAAGTTGCAATATTAGGAATGTTTTTTTTCACACTCTGTCAACTCTCACTGGAAAGGTCCACAAAATAATACCATCAAGTGATTAGCAAGAGATAACGCACTTTGGAACATTAATCAGGAAGTATTAATTTCCTTTTCTCGCACACGTAAAAACAGTTTTCACGGCGTTGAATTTACGATTTGGTCTTGTGGCATTTCGCTTAAAAGCGTTTTCTTCCTCGTACAACTCCAGAGTTAGTGAGTGGCTCGTCGAAGAGTGGCAGAACAAGTTGAGGAATGTGTGACATCACTTTTATGTGATTTTCTTTCGTGAATATTCAATTCAGCCAATTCCCAACAGCCATTTCAACCAATAAATAAAATCTTTGACTCACCATTTGTACATGAAAATATGTCCTGTAAAAGAGAGAAAGAGAATAGCAAAGGCATTAGCATTTGTAATTATTGATAAATGTTGCTATTTATATCAACAATGCGCACGTCTCATATAGAAATTACTGAAGTACAGTTCATTCGTGAATCATATTGTATTCATCAATAAATTTTTTTATGAGACATTAAAAGGCATCTCAATGGGAGAGTCGCGCATCACATTGACCCACAAGAGCCATGCTACAAGTTATGAATTCATGTGAAATATGGTGATTTTGGATTAAATGAATTTTATTGGAATCATCAAGGTCTGAAATAGGGCTTAGGAAAGCATTTTGCAAAGTTTTACATCACGCCCACGCCTTCAATTAAATATGTTCACAGAAATCACACTGCACTTGAGTTGAAATAGCACTTTCGCCTTGAACAATCTCTCCAGTCAATCTAATAATGTTATGCAACTTCCCTATTTGCATGTGTACTCAATGGCACATATTTTTATATAACAGAAAAATTGATTACTCTCCAAGACACAGCAAAATTGCCAAAAGTCAATTTTCTCCATTGAAATTTCAGTGAAATTAGGGTCCACATTGCAAATTGCGGTGTGAATGGGACAGATTGTTAAGTTGTATTTGAAGAAATTAACTGAATATGAGCTTGGAAAAGCTCGTGTTTCCTCTCGGCAGAGCGGCAATTGAAGAAAGAGAAAATGAAATGCTCAAATTAGTGCCTTAAATGCATGAGCAAATTAAAAAATGAGAAAATTTCTCTGCGTGGCAAGTGAAGATCGGCCGAAAAGGTTAGACTTAATTGCGCGTAAAATGAAATTGGTGATTTGCAGGTCCGAAGGAAAGACTCCGCAATCATGTATTGCTAATTTTTACCTCATCTTAGCCTAAAGTGCGGTAATATATATATGTGTATAAATAAAATCTATTCATTGGCGTTTGCCAAGCAATCATCGAAGGTCTTACCTGTGACAGTGTTGAAGATATAAAAACGGTCAGCCAAATTGCAATGGCTGCCGAGAACGACCTCATGGTGCTACTCTGGAAAGGAAAAAACCAAGAAAAAATAAACAACACAATCATACATATGTAGATTTTGCACGGAAAAACGCTCTGAGACACGATTAAAGGTAAATTATTTGCCAGAGAATCAATCGACGGGCAAGACAATGGACTATGCCTGCAGACTCCGGCGTGAGTTTGTCAATGAAAAACGAAAGTCTCCCATAAGAGCAATTGACGCTGGACTGTGTGATCGGTGGGGCCAGAATCAAAACAACAAGAGAAGAATCGCCGAGGTGCAAATTTGTAATCACCATGCAGATCATTTTGCAAAGCAGGCCGCATAGAGACAGCTTTCTATTTGCATCTCAGCGACTGCATAATCTGGAATTGTGTCCACGTGGCCCACATACTGATTTCTCATGGACTTGCAATAATTGCAACAGTTCGATTTGGTGGCAGAACAATAAGGCACTCACTGGATTTTTCTTTTGCCTTTGCAAATATTAGGCAGGCGTTCTTGGGATTTATTACCGCGGCCACATACACACATACCCAAAAGAATGTGGTTTCTTCCACCTGAATTGAATGTCATAGTTGGGTTGAAAATTGTGCAGAAAATTATAAATAGACACTGACTACTTAGGATTGAGGAAAGCTTCACAATTTATGAAACAGACGCGGATGGAAGTTCTGGAAAACTTCTCTGATAAACTGGTTATTTTTCCAAATGAATTTATCGGAATTTCGGGATTTTCTTTAATTTTACCCTTTGTCAGGTTATTTTTTTGCAAATCAATAGTTGAATGCAAAATCCACACATTACACAAAAGATGGTATAAAGAAGCCACAAATTGCCAAAAAATGGGAAATCCTGCATTCTTGCTTAAGATTATAATTTGTTTGTGCCTTGAAAGATACACTATGTCACTCTTTTATATATAGAATTTGCACTCATGAATCCCGCAAAAGCTCCATTACATCACTCCATCAATTATTTTCCAGTTAGATCTTCTGTTCGACCAAATTGCTATTCTTTCATCAGCTCGATGATCACTTGTGAAGACTACCCATTAAATTTCATAGGTATATTTTATCAACAATGGGATGGAAACTATTCAGACCGAATCGAATTTTCGCTTCTCAAACATTCGTCTTTGGGCTGTATAAAGACCCTCTCTAAATAATTGTTATTAATCAATTTGACCTGAAAAATACATCTCGACTGATGTATAAAATTCATAATAAAATATGAAATTGTATTTTTATCGTTCTAGTAACTATCAAAGAGGCACACGAAATGATAGAGAGTGAGGAATTTCACTTTTCTGCACCAAAAGAGGTTGACTTTTGATGCTGTGTATTTCTAATCTCTTTGCCATTTGTTTTACATAATTAATTAAAAATTCGGTGAAGAGTTATGTGCCAAAATAATCGGGGCATTGCATCAACTGCCTTTTTTTTACACATAAATTCGATTTCTTGATGATGACCAGGAGTGCGTCTTTCTAGGCAATTGTCTTTGAGCGCGAGAAGAAATTATGTGAACGCTGACGAAATCAGCGTTTTCGCACTGTCGGAGAACAAACCAATAGATATTTTATGGTGGTGCCTCCTCTCCCATACGTACAAAAGACATTGAGGCCCGAAGAAAGAACTTTTGGGCACTTTTCAAGCTGGTTTCCCATGAATTTTCACACACTCGCCCTGACGATAAATCAGCCTTTTCTCGTTACCTGCCTAAATCTCTGAACACACCTGGAAGGAAAGTTGCGCGCAGACACACTGTGAGACTGCTTAACCACTCATTTACATTCCTTCATCGTCTAATGGGGAATTCGTGGCATTTGCCAAGGGAAAACGAAGGCGAGAGTCCGTTAGAAATTTCTCGTCAGAATTGAAGTGAAAGACATTTCCAAGTCACCACAAATTTTCCTCATGATCTCTCGCTCACTGACAATAATTCCTTTACACATCTCGTGGCGCGTGAGGAAGGCAAAAAAAGCAATAGAAGAAGAAAAGACATGGTGGACAGAAGGAAATTGCGAATAAAAGTGGTAAATTGCACCAACAATAATGTGTCAAAAGCAACTCCACTTGATTAACCAATCGAGAGCAATGCTGAAACGCGCTAAACTCGTTTCAATTGCTCAGAAATAATTAGGCAAAAAAAGTCTCTAAGGAATTTAGAGTTCAGATACCATGCAAGATAAAGTTGCCACATAGCGATTTTCACCTCTCTCTCTCTTTCTATCTCCCTAGTTCCTGAGTGGTGAAAAGGCAGAATCGCAAGTCTTCATCAATTAGCCGACAAGTGTTATCCTCCTGAGACCCAATAAATTACAATAATAATTCCAAAAAGTATATCGCGAGGCACTACTTTTACAGTTAAGCCAGCGCTCTCTGAGTTTCTTCACCACGGCAAATCTCTCACGAAAGAGCACCTCTAATTGGCCAGATACATCACACAACCAAAATACCATACGTTTAAGTATCTCCAGAGTGAGAAGATTCTCCTAAACAATTACCTCGCTCATGATTTTCTTATATTCTACCATCTAAACCATCTCAACTGGAACACACACTGGCTTAGAGAAAAATTGGAACATACATTTAGGAAATTCTTATATTCATGACAGAATTCAAGAGGTTAGATTAAGCTGTAGCGAGACTATTGAAGAGCATAGAATGTCAAGTTAACATTGCAGGAGATAAACTGATTTTTTGAAGACATTGATGTGAGTTTAACTGCAACAAAACTTGAGGACCAGAACTATAACAAAAATAAGAAATTACGGAGATGATGAAAGCGCCAGTTACATACATTAATTTTCTAGCGGAAGTGTTGCATGATAGAACACTATTTAGATTGAAATGTAATGAAATTTAGCAATCTATCGATACTAAAGCACTAATGCAGATTGACAGGTCAAACAGAACTCCTGCTGCATAATTTAAAAATTTACATATCCACTGCTTTTAGTTAAAATGTCTCTAATCTTGCGCTACCGACTTTAAATTAGTCGCTATGGAGGTGAGAAATGTCGGTAAAAAGTAAACTTTACCGAAAAAGTCTCCTCAATGCCACGAAATTGACTTGAGAAAATGATATTTAAATTTTTCACTCCAATTTCAGGCGCTGAGTGACAATACAAATTGCACTCAAGGTTCATCTCAAGAGATATTTAGTGTGAGATTTGCAGGTTCGTCGCCTCGACTATTGATGTCTTTCGTTTCAAAATTCGCCACGATGGCAGGAAGGCCTCCAGTCATTGAGTGTATATAAAATTGCTGGATTTTTGCATTCCAGCTTACGCATTGCATTATCTGTGGCTTCATTAATAAACAACTATTACGCCCCAGAGACCGTTATTTGCACAATTTCCTCGGCGAGCAACTTGCGCTCTTTTGCTGTGTTTTTTTCGCTTCTCTTCTCAGCCCATTCAACGCAGGGACTGTCTTTACAATAAAAGTATGAAATATTAAATGACGATGAGGGAAAAGAGCAGAAAATGAAGTAAAATTTCCCACTAATCGAATTTGTGGCCGAGGAGTGTTGAGATCCATTTGAAATTCAGTGTGCTTGAGCGCGTAGGAGAAGAATTGAGACAGAGAGAGACGAAGAAGAAACTGGGAGAATAACAAAAGAATTTCAAGAGTGTCGAAGGCAAAAGGCTGGAGAGTATGGGAGTTTTTTGTGAAAAAGAGTGCCTGGCACGATGAACTTGTAAGTTAATAAATCCAATTGAATGTGTGTTGGATGTAGGCTACAATTATATTCCATTACACGCGGGCGGAGGGAGAGAGAGAAGAATGAGAAGAAGCGAAGAATAGAGAATTGAATGTAACAATTCAAGCAACATTGAGAGTAATAATTTTGTAATCGTTCTGCTCAATTCTGCATCTTTTGCCAAGACACTCAACTTGTCTTGAACAATCCGGCGTTAGAGTGGGTTAGACTTGTCTGTGCCTGTGGAGAAAATTGCACATTTTCCCGCTTCTCTCGCGCTGAGTCTCTTTGGGGAAATTACGAAATGCCATCCCACACGATATGAGGAGGCTTTCCAGCATTTCGTCGAAGGAGGTGCACCAAAAGCGGCGCGAGAAAATTGCAGCAATTTTTCATCACCAACACACTGACTACTCTTCTGATCTTGGCTGCAACGGCAAAGTAGGTAAAGAAATGAGACGCGTAAGGTAAAATTTGAGAAAGCCAACAAGATGGAATGTGGTCGATGATGACGACAAGAGACATGGAGATACAAACGGGAAGATCCACAACTACACCTCATTTCTGGCCTCTTCTTCCCAAGCACAGATTCTCACACACCATTTCTCATCTCCAATATTCTTTCACTTCTCCTTTCCAGTGCAACTCGAGAATTCAAGAATTCAAACACTCACACACAAACTCACAAACTTGAGCCCGACAATCCACCAAAAAGTTCTGACAATCACCACCGAATTCTGAATCCTCCCAGAAACTTCACAAAATCCCAGTCGCTCCAGTGATCTTACTTGATTAACAGTTAAAATGTTCCTTAATCCAATGTTATCCAATGGCGAGCACTTATTGAGCAAAGTGGAACACACTCTGCACACACTCCATCACCCAAAAAGCCACCGCTCAAGAGATTGAACCACCAGATTTTTTCTTCCTACCAACTAGCCAAAGAGCGCGCGAAACCACCTTCCGGTTCAGCGGTTCAACACTCACTAAACCCGAGCGGCCGCAATCGCACAGTCCGGATGGTGGTCGAGCACCTGAGTATGTGTTGAGGCCTCGAGATGGGGAGAGATTCTTGTGAATGTGTATTCATAGTGAAAAGATAAATTTCATTCGCCGATACTTTCTTACACTGCGATCACAAGACGATCAACACAAGCATTCTCACTCAGTAGAAAAAAATCGCAGTATTGCCTATATTCCATGAGAAAGCATTATATATATATATGTGTAAGCTTAAAAAAATTCAGCCCCTCCTATTAAAATGCTCCGCCTCTTTAAAAGCAAAATATAAATTCAATAAAACTCATACTTTTTTGCTTGGAAAAAGATTTACTAAATCATCACTCTTATTCGTTGTCTTGCATCCCCTGAGCTTCCGGGATACCTTACCTCTCTTTCTCTTTCTCTTGACTAGGACTAATTCGGCCAGGATTCCAGAATACTAAGGTCCTCGGAAAAAAGCTAAAAACGTTTCAAAAAAGATTTTGTAGAATAAACCGCAATTTTGTATGTTTACCGTATTTATTTAATATCTCGCTTCTAAATTACAAACTACTGAATTGCTGATCGTGTGATTGGGACTTAAGTCAGAGTCTGAGATGTTGAGGGAATTCTAACACACCTCAGTTTGTGCCTGATGTCTTTCTGCCTCTTGGCGTACGCCGCGGAGGAGAAAGAGAGACACTGCATATCCCGCGTTCTCCAACACAGCCATGAAAGATATGAATTTACCTGTTGTGTAGAAGGAGAAACTGAGTTCACAAGGTGAATCCGGAGAGTTGCAGAGTCGCCCTAATCCCTTGCCATGGGAACTCCTCTGCATCTCTTTTCACGCAGCACGTCTGGGAAGTATCCTTTGTTGATCCTCTTTTTGCCTTCTTGGCGCTTCTTGGAAAGACAGGCCTTTGGCAGGACGCGCAGGTTTGTGGGAGGAACATTCTTACCTGCGATGCTGAAGGATGTGAGTCATTTGTCATTAAGCGCGCTGGATGCTCACCCTATTTCATCAACGCTGGAGGGAGAAACCACGGAAGGCTGAGAAACCGGTTTGATTTTGAATTCAACAAGAGCCACGTTCTTTTTCTTGCATATTTCAACCTCACCATACAGAAATAGAGCGAGTGAGATCGAGAGACACACCAACACCAACATCGCGGCAGCGGGCGACGCGGGCAGCGGCAGGGAATCCGCTAAAGAGGAATCCACGGAGTCGAAGGTGTGTTTCTCTCTTAGGCTATTGCAGCAATTGATGGCTTACTGCACACACTTTCCTCCGTTCCCCAACATATCGTGTGCCACAATTTTTTTTCGCCTCTCCGTCCACGATATAAAATCCAACATACGGGCGTGGAACAGGTAAAATATCACACAAGAAGCCACAATCTCACGAGAGTGAGGAGAGAATATTGAAAATTAATACCAACACACACACTGGTATAGGCGAAGCGAAAGGAATTTCAATAATTTTGTGAATTAATTCTCTTGTAGTCACCTCTAAGCAGTGATCATCGAAATTCCTCAGCTCGACCATCTTGATCACATCGCGAAGAGCTCTTCATTGAGGATTTATCGAGAGTGAGACACTCTGTATCTTGTACGTGAAACTATGGCGAGTTAGGGGTTCGTCGCTTGAGTCTTTCGATTCCTCAACCACTAGCATTTTGTCTGCCTACAGAAGCAACGAATGAAGAGAAAAAACACGTTAAATTCCAAGATACACACCTGTGAACACCTGAGAGGTGGCGCAAAAGATACAATTTAGGAGTCTAAATAGCCTGAAAGAAACATTTCGCTGTGATCAATTTACTGATTTCAGCTCAACTTACTGGGAGTGAGAAAGAGAGAGAGAGAATTCTTACTTAATGGTATGCATGAAGCTTTAGTTGATTGATCTGCTAGAGAACTGCATACAATTGTGGGATTATCCCTTGGAATTTCTTCATACACACAACGTAATACAAGAGGCTCAGCAACACACTCTAAACTGCTGTTACAAATTGGTGAGAGTGGGTATTAAGAGTTCATTCTCCAAATTCTTCTAAATGACACTCAATTGTCTCACTTTTGGGGAATTTTCGACTGAAAATTTCACCTTTAATTATCAACAATTAGATATTGGGCAAAATTGGTGAAAACATTTCGAGGAATTCTCTCTCCACCTCATCAAATGTGTCTTTTTCTACCATTTACTCTCTCATGCAAATGACACAATAAAATTATGAATAATTCCTCCCTCATTCAGCCCAAACACTACACTTCAGTACCGTTTAGTTTGTGCTCAATAGCAAATTATTCACACACGTTCATTCAATCATGGAGAAATTCTTGCCTCAACAGAACAAGCGCTTCTGCAAGAAAAGTACCCTCACTTCCGGATGACAAAAATGGTTCGAGCACAAAAAGCGTTATCTTAATTAATATGCAACTGCTATCGTTATGAATTTCAGCACCCAACCATCGATTATCACTTTTACAATAAACAGTTTAGAGCCATTGACCGCCTCATCTACCGTGACTTTGACGATATACATTTTAGTAAGATCTTTACAGCAACGCTGTCGCTGAATTCTCATCTCTCTCGCTCTCGCTTCACACTCATTTTACTTACACACGCGTTGGGAAGAGCGGGCAGAGCAGAGCAGATGACTTTCATCAAATTATTCTCATGATCCTCTCTCATTATCATAAATGGTATATTTCACCTACATATTCTTCCTTCTTAACTCACTAGCATCTCTCATTCCTTGTAAACACTATGCACTTCGTCCTATGCAACTTTACATACATTTACACTATATTTTTCTCTTAATTCTCTTATTAAATGGTAATTAAATTTAACTTTCAATTAATAGTTATATGTGACAATTCATTCGCTCACTTTTGATGATTATTTGCTTTAGTTTATCGTTTTTTTTTATCTCTCTTGTGATGATTTAATGCAAAAATGTCTCTTCTTAATGCTTTTCATGTTAAATAAATATTATTTTTAGAGTTATTATAGACAATATAGAACTTCTTTACTAGGCCCTACCAAATAATTTTTTCTTCAATTGCATTTAATGTTGATTTTTTCTTAAAAATAAAACATCTTCTTCAGAGAGAATTCTCTTTTTTATCTCTTCACTCAAAAATGGAAACAATGAGGAATCTTCCATTCCTTGTCCAATTCTCTCAAACAATCAATAAAATTGTATTTATTCTCAACATTCAAGAGAACGGACGGGATCTAATATTTGATCTAAATTACATTTTTCTCCTTCGTACAATCTAGCAAAAGAAATATCAATTATACCATTTTACTTGCTCTTATGCAGTGTTTAGTATACTCTCAAAAAATACACTATATCTGCTTGTAGAAACATACTAAAGTCTCCCATCTTCAATAATCTTCTTCTCTAAACCCTATAGACTATGTATAAATAATGGTAAGAACTCTGAAAATTTTATATACACAGCATACATAGTTTTCTTCTCCCTTCTTTTGTGACAAATAAATTACTTACGTGATTCTCTTTTATGACTCCAGATCATCTTGCTGTGAGCTAAAGTAGCTCACGAGTCCACTAAATTCACTCGAGCTGCCTTGTTGCTCCACATGCGCAGGTGAATTGCTGTAGCTGTGCGGTGACGAGGATTTCAGCGTCTCGAATTGACTGTACGGCACTGCCTGAGTTGTGGCACTAGCCGTAGAAGTCGTGGTCGGAGACTCTTCCGTTGAGGCTGCTGGCGTGGAAGTTACAGCAGGAGCGACAGTTGGTGATGCCGTTGAGGCTGTTGTTGCTTGCTGTTGTGCCGCTTGTGATGGAGGAGCGTAGAATCCACCGAATTGGGGTGGTAAATAAGGACCTGTCGAGTAAATAAACATTGTAATATTTCTTCAATTCCAACATTTCATATCAACCTACTCTGATACTCCTGTGGAGGAGGACCACGGATCCCAAGCGCAGGATCCAGAGATTGCAGTTGATGATGAAGCAGTGATTGTTGTCCTTGATAGCCATGACCAGGATACATTGGCCCAGATCCTCTGCAATTAATAAATTTCCTAGTGCTTATCATCCAGCAAACTTTACCTAATTTATACTATACCTGAAGATCCCATGTGGTCCAGGAACACCACGCTGCTCCGGTGAGACGTACAATCCTGGCCTGTCGCTCAAACCATTATTCACAGAACCAGCAGCAGAGGATGATGGAGGTGTTCCTGCAAAATTTGCCCTCAGATGATGCAGGCTCATATTGAGCGATGAGTGTCCCAAATGATGAGGTGAAGGAAAATACCGTGATCCTGGTAAACCTGTCAAATGAAAACACTTCATAAGCAAAACGCACAAACCTTATGTAAAATAGTTATACCTTGAGCACCGAAAGGTCCTGGCAAAGGTCTCATTTGCTGCTGTAATCTGGACAGAATAGCCCCACCACTGCTTCCGGGAGGATACAATTGAGATGGTGTCACTTTCTTATTGGCTTCTGCAATATAAATTTCAATCAGTTTTGCTACTAGCCCTTGAAGTACAATTGAAACTCACCTGATGCTGCTGGAGGCGCTTCCAGTCTCTCAGCCAGAATTGGATTGGATGATGTAGGCTCAGAATCACCCTTCATAGCTCCAGAAATCGTAGTGATCTGTGCACCAGGAATATTGTCTCTCAATGGGGTGATCTTTTTCCTCCTGCCACGCTTCTTTGGATCCAGATCCATCTTAGATTCAGCAGCTGATGGACTTCCCTGTACAGACAATACTGTAGTCGGAATTACAGGTTCTCCAGCTGCTGATACCACAGCATTCGGCGCCTGAAGCACTGACGGTCGCTCCATATTGGCCAATTGGGCCGTAATCGAAGATGGTGGCATAGAAGTTGGCGGTGCAGAAGTTGGTCCCGGATAGAATGGATCCGATCGTGCCTTCGCCTCAGCCATTGCTTGAAGTTCAAGCTTAGATTTCCGACCACGCTTCTTTGGCACCAATCCAGCCTTGGTTAATTTCACAGATGGATGCTCAGGATCCATCTCATGAAGAGGCTGCTGCATGTGTATTGCACCCGGCGGATAGGGCATCGGAACAGTGGGTCTCAGTACTGGGTGTTGCAACGGATGACGTTGACCACCAGCTAACTGAGGAGCAACGGGTATCCTAATCTGGCCAGGCAGCATTTGACTCGGCTCCTGATGCGCGGGCGGATAAGTGGGAACAGTCAGAGGAGGAGGAGGAGGAGGAGGAGCAGCAGTAGGGAGTGCTGCCGGCATTGCCTCCAATTTCTCCTTAGCCTCAGCTTTCCTATTCATCTCAGCCTCCCTCAGCTTCTTATTCCTGATAGCCTCACCTGCCAACTTCAGCTGTTGCTGTGCAAAAGATTCATCCTCCATCATTTTCGCTATCTCTTCCTCATTCATGTCTTCCGGATTGAAATCAGCAGCCGGAATGGAAGCCGCAGCTGATGGTCGTAAGTCAACATCGAGAGCCTTGGCGGTTTGAATAACCTGAGGAGGGACCGTTGAGATTGAATCTGAAGGTATTACGCCAGGAACAGCATCCTCAGGTGGAGAAGCTGGTGCTTCCGAGAGCCTCACGCGCAATGGTTCCAACTTTGGAGTTGCAATCTCTTTAGCTCCTTCAGTATTCTTCGCTGCCAGCATTCTTTTGATCTCCTCTTGCTTCTTGATGAACATCTCACGCTCCTCAGGCGGAGTATCTGGACGCTTCACACCAGGCTTTATGCCATCATCGGAACTATCATCGTAGTAATCTTCCAGGAAATTGATCTTTTTCCCACGAGTTCTTCGTGTGACTTCGCGCTCATCATCCGACTTTAGAGCATCTGACTTCTTCTTCTTTAAGCCCACTCTAAAGGTCTCCTCCTCATCATCTTCTCTCTTCTTCGGCTTTTTCTTCGCCACCATCGAGGGCTTATCGGAAGGCCTTGGGGGAGGTTTCCTGGGTGGAGCTTTCTTCTTACGAGATCTCCAGTCATCACTGTCACTCCCAGAATCCGTGTCATCACACAAATCATCACTATCGATATCCTCCTCGTCCTCATCCTCATCATCTGACTCATCGAAGTCAGAAAAGTCAGAATCTTCCTTCTTCCTCTTCTTTTTCGCCGGCGGCTCCTCTGGCTCATCAGAGTCATTGTCATTTATAAAGTCCTCATCGTAGACCTTATGACGAGACCTCACAGATCTCCTAGTCGTTATACCGGCTTTATTGTTCTTCTTACGCAGCAATTCCAACTCCATTGAACTCTCACTGCCACTCGATAGCGATTCAGCCGAGTCCTCAGAGTCAGGAGAACTCTCCTGGAAGTCCTCATCGGATCCATCATCCTCCGAACTGATATCCAGTGTGTTAAGCTTGCGATTTTTCTTCTTTTGCAGGGCAATTTTCTTTCTCCCACTTAATCGAATAGGTTCAGAATCACTGCTCTCCTCATTTTTCACCGCAGCTGGAGTTTCAGCCTCTGACTCGCTCTTGTCTGTTGGTGCGCCTTCCTTCTCAGTCTGTGCCTCCAATTGTCTCAGCTTTTCCTCCTTATCCGCCTCTATAATAGTCGATATGTCCTTTCCCCTTCCGAGATTACCAGCACCAGTGACGGGCACGTCATCTTCAAATGGTGACAAGCCCTCCTCCATCACCGCGATCTCATCCTTGATCGCCGAATTGATGAGATCATCGTACTCATTGAAGCGATAGCTCACATTGGCCTGCCGTCTCTTTCTCAGCTTATAGATTGGCTCATTGTCTGAACTGTTGTCATCTGATGAAGAGGACGATGATGACTTGGCCTTAATGCTCCTGCTTCGACTGCGAGAAGTTGCTTTAGACATCTCTTCCGCCTTGATAATGTTCTCCTGACACACAGAATTGAAGGTTTGACGCTGCAACCTTAGTTCTTCCTTCTCTTTCTCCTCAATCATCCCATCCAATTCTCCAAGCTTTGCATTAAGATTCTCCAGCAATTTGCCATGTTGACAGGGTGGACAGAACCAGTCACCCTCTGGAATAACAAAAAGCACTGGCTTCAGACAGGAGCAATGGTAACCCTTGTCACAGCTGTCACACAACAGAATCCATTCCGGATGGTCGTGCTTCCCACACTTTTGACAAGCATGATCAGGATTATCGTCTTCTGCATCCTCAGGATCCTTCCTCACTGTTCTCGCCATCTTTGTAGGCACTCCACTATCATCCTCGAGATCACTCTCAGGAGAGAATTCATGATCAGACTTAAATAGCGGAGATCCCACATATTCAGGCTCCAATCCATCCTCCTCCTCTTCCACATCTTCTTCACTCTCGGATGTTCCGGTGCCGGAATGCCATTTCGCCTGATTTGACTTCTTCTTAGGTCCTCTCTTCTTCTTCTCCAGATTCTGCTTATACTCCTCATCACTGTCTGACTCCGGTGAAGGCACATAGTCATCCTGCTCCTGCTTTTTCTTTCTTATAGCTTCCTCTTTCATCTTCTGCAAAGCGATTTCTTCCATTTTCCGCCTCTCTGCCTCTTCCTTAATCTTCAGCTGTGCAATCCTCCGCGACTGTCTCACCACAGGCTGATCGTCAGGCTCTTCGATGATGGCATTCTCATCAATGTCCAAACCCAGTCGACGAATCGCTGAAATTAAAACAAACATAAACATTATCTTCTAGTCTAGTTTATACGTAAAAACAAAACATTTTCTTACTCTTCTTCTTGTCGAAATCTTCAGCCATATTCTGAGGCCTTCGGCCACCACGTCCTCTCCCTCTTCCTCGTCCACTTAATGGCTTCTTTTCAACAACACTCTCCTTGGCTTCAGTTTCCTCCTTCTCAGTTACAATCTGGTTCTTATCAATCTTAGACACTGGTATCAAGTCTTCCAGCTGTTCATCAGCGTCTTCTTTCTCCTCCGCCTTTACTGGTTTCCTTCCTCTTGTCTTCTCTGGCTTCACTTCCGCAATTGGCGACTCTATTTTCATCTCCTCAGCTTGAACCTGCTCCACTTCAATTGGCCTTCTTCCTCGAGTCTTCCGACCCACCCTTATAATTGTCGCTGGTGGTTCATAATCCATAGACAAATTCAGAATTGAATCTGGTTTTTGTTCTGGTAACTTTTCTTCATTCTCTTCGACTTTTTTCAATTCCACTTCCTGCACTTCTTCCTTTACTTCTTCCTTAATTGCCTCAAATGCAGATTCATCATTTACTTCTTCCACTTTCTTTGCAAGCCCTATCAATCCCTCATGCACCACTTCCATCCGCTCATCCTTTTTACATTCAACTACTTTCACCCTTTTTCCTTCATCAGACAAGACTGCATCATCAGATAATCTCCTCTTTTTCCCCTCATGACTTTCCATTGTCTGTACTGTTGAAGCTTCTGGAAAGAATGTCTTTGCCTGCACCAATGTCTTCACTTCTGACATATCCAAAACTTTCTCTTCCTGCGCCTCCTCTGACATCTTCATCTCATTATTATTGTCCGTCTGCGCAGGCACACTCTCAGGCAAATCAGGCTTCGGGGATTCTGGTTTGTCAGACACTGCTGATGGAGGCCCATCATCGAATTCTGGCGATGAGAGAGAATCTTCGTCAGCATCTTTCACTTCGCCAGATTCTATAGGAATTTTTTCCAACAAATCCTTCGATTTCAGATTATCATCATCAAGAAATTCATCCTTAGACGCTGCAATAGTTTCTGACTGCTCTTCTACTCGATTTAATTCTACATTCTGTGAAATCTTGACTGGTTTAGGCACTTCATCAACTGGTTTTTCTTCCTCTTTTACTTCCTCGACAATCTCTTCAGCTGTTGGTTGTTTAGCAACGTCTATGGATTTATCAGGAACATCTTCTTCTGCTTCTTCCAACTCCATAGGAACTTCATCGATCGTCAATTTACCTCCACTGCCAACTGAAGATTCGTCAAATTGTTCGTGCGTCACAAGCTCAAATGTTGAAGTTTCAGGATCATCTTCAAGCTCCATCGGTGTACAATCAATCGCAGAAGTTGCAGATTCCTTCATATCACCTTCATTATTCTCATGCGCTAAAGAAGTGTTTGCTTCTGTGACTATTTGAGGCTCAGGCAATTCCTCCAATTCCATAGGAACACATGCAGTTTCAGGCACAGACTGTATATCTTCTGAACTCTCCTCAACTTTAGTTTCATCATTAAGAATATCCTTTACAGGATCGCATTCATTTAGCGCAATTTCCGAGGGAATCTCCATTTCACTTTGATCTTTTACCTCTTTCTCAATAGTCTGTTGTGAAGTCTCAGCGATAGCTTCAACATTATCACAATCTAAATTTGTAAGTTGATTTTCTGTTACACTTTCTTGAGATTCCAATTCAAGATCTTCAGGAGAGTCTATATCTTCCAATATCTGTTCATCTTCCGCTTTACTTTCCATTACATCATCCTGTGGAACTGAATCTTCAGAAGTTTTATCAATCAGTTCTTCTACATATTTAGTTGATATTTCCTCTTCTTGTTCTGCTATGCATTTTGAGGATTCGCCTTCAATATTTTCTACAACTGCTGGTAACTCATTAACTTCTTTATGTTTTTCATCAGACATTTCCTCATCCAGAGGAATTTCATCCATAACTTCATTAGTGTTTACTAAATTCTTATCTAGAGAGACGTTTAATAATTGATCAGAAAATTCTGTCTTCGTATCTTTTTCGGCTATATCAGAAGATTCAACATTATCAGGGTGTGACTGAATTTCTGTTTCACTCCTCAGCTGCATTTGCTCAGGTTCTTCAACTTCATTTAGTTTAGGAGATTCTGTACTTGGAGTATCAATAGTTTCTTCTGTAATCAAAACCTCATCGACATTTGCAGGCTCGATTTTCTCTGATTCACCCTTTGGAATTGAATGATCATTATTCGACGTTGAAAGCTTATCAATTGTTTGTGCTTCAATGATCAAAAATTCTTCATCCATTTTTACTGATTCATTTTCTTCTGGTTTACTCACCGGAATTGTAGAATCAATAAGTGATGTTGATGACTGTTCATTAGGTTGTTCCTCAGTGATCAAAACTCCTTCATTTACTCTTGCAGATTCAATTTCCTCTGATAAACTTTCCTGAACTATAGAATCATCAACTGATGCTGACGGCTTGTCAGTGGTAGATTCTTCTGTTATTGAAGCGTCTCCTTCGATTTCTGAAGGTTCATTTTCCTCTGATATATTCTCCGTAAGCATAGAATCATCAACTGATGCTGAAGGTTTGTCAGTGGTAGATTCTTCTGTTATTGAAGCGTCTTCCTTGACTTCTAAAGGTTCATTTTTGTCTGATTTATTCTCCGTAATCACAGAATCATCATGTGATGCTGACGGCTCAGTGGTAGACTTTTCTGTTATTGAAGCGTCTTCTTCGAGTTTTAAAGGTTGATCTTCCTCTGATATATTCTCCGTAAGCACAGAATCATCAAGTGATACTGAAGGCTCAGTGGCAGGTTCTTCTGTTATTAAAACAATTTCCTCGGCTCTTTCAGATTCAATTTCCTCTGATAAACTCTCCTGAACTATAGAATCATCAGCTGTTGCTGAAGGTTTGTCAGTGGAAAATTCTTCTCTTGTTGAAACGTCTTCCTCGACTTCTGAAGGTTCATTTTCCTCTGATATATTTTCCTGAACTATGGAATCATCAATTGTTGCTGAAGGTTTGTCAGTGGTAGATTCTTCTGTTATTGAAGCGTCTTCCTCTACTTCTAAAAGTTCATTTTTCTCTGATTTATTCTCCGTAATCACGGAATCATCATGTGATGCTGAAGGCTCATTGGTAAATTCCATTTTATTATCTTCCATTACTGTCGCAATCGTACTTTTTTCTGTTTCTGACGTTGAATGTTTCTCAGAAACAACAGTTTGTGCCTCAATATCACTGTCATCCCGAAGCAATTCATCCTCAGTGAATATTCTTCCTTGTGGAGTTTCTTGATCTTCAATAAATTCCTCATCAATGAGTAAATCATTTTCAGTAATATCCTTTTCTTGTTTATCTTGCTGTTGTTCCATGCTTGGTATTTCTACTGGATTTTCTTCCATTTCTTTCAAATCCACCTTTGTCTCCTCAGAAATTTCATCAACCTCCATTTCATCTACTTTTGACATTTTCCCTTCTTCAGATGTTTTTGGTTCTTGTAAAAAATCTAAAGATAATAATTCTTGATTGTTTGTTGCGTTGTTATTAGATGCTTCTTCAACAGGTGGTTTTTCTTCCTCTACAGTCTCTGTATCCATTTGTACATCATCCTTCGTCTTAGGAATTTCAGGCGGTTGTTCAGAAGTTTCAATTGCTTCTTCCTCAGCTACAGTTTCTTTTAAAGGTTCTTCTTCTTTTACATTTGCCACCGGATCTTCAGGAATCGCCGTTGATTCTTCACTAATTTCCATTTTTTCCACATTTTCAATTATCTCACTTTCATCGATGTTTTCTTGAGTTGGTTTTTCAACAGTGTCAATTTTCTTATCTTTCTCTTCAGTTATTAACTTTTCTTCAGTTGTCTCAACAGTTAACACTTCAGCTTTACCTGTTTCTTCTTCCTTTTCAGGTTTATATTCTGTTGGCTGCGAACTCCCTGTCGACACTTCCAAAGTTTCTTCACTTGTATTTGACACTTTATCCACTTCATGTTTCTCTTGGTCATTTTTCAAATCATTTTCACTGGTTTTTAAGGCTTCTGTTTTCACATTATCTTTACTACACTCTCCCGTCTCTTCACTGCAGTAACCCTTCTTGTCATTCGCCGAATTTCCTGACTCACTCTTCTCATCTTCACTCACTTCTGGTTTTTCCCCGAAGCCAAACCCCAAAGATACGGGCTGCTTCATTGGGCTGAGCTTCAGACAACCAGGTTGACCAAAGAAGAACATCGGTTTCGATTGTGTTGGCGATTTCTCATCATCTTTTGTGTTTCCAACATCACAATCAGCACCACTGCCCTCACCGAAAATATACAATGTGTCCTCCTCTATCGTCTCACTGCACTCAAACATTGCATTCCCACCTTCACAGTCCCTTCCACTCCCGGATCCCTTCACAATCATCACGGGTTCTTCGATAACTTCATCTTCACTCTCTTCCTCTTCCTGTTCTTCTTCTTCCTCCTCTTCTTCCTCTTCTTCTTCTTCCTCGCCGGACTCGTCCTCCTCATTTTGCTCTTCTGAGGATTCCTCTTCCTGCACGAAAGCCGTCTTCTTTGAGTCCATCTTCTTAAATTTGTTGATTTTATCAAGATTTGATTTTCCCAGCAGTGTCAATCGCTCCACTTTTGGTTTCTTTAGCACTGCGTCTGGAATTTGGAGTTTCTCCTCCTCCATTTCGTTTCCAACAGCCAATCGCTTGCTATACCGCTGACTTCTCGAGCTTCTTGAAGACTGCTTTACAAATGACGACACTAACGATGGTTTGTTGTATTTATTCTTGTGTCCCTCAGTCTTTAGCTGAAAGAAAACCATTTCATTAGAAATTAAAGTTAGTAAAAAGAAACAATATTACTTACAGGCTGTGAAGGAAGTTTCTCTAGAGGTTCATGTGATTTTTCTTCCTCTTCTTCTTCGTCATCACTGCTCTCTTCGTCATCTTCTTGGATCTTCTCTTCAATTACCTCTTCTGTTTTCACTTCTTTACTCTCTTCATGCTTTCTTTTGGGAAGCAATGCATCATCTGATAAGGATGTCGAGTTTGAATCCTGCTTTACCAGTACATGCTCCCCCTTTATTAGCTGATTGCTGTTACTACTACTGTCCTCATCCACCAAACCCTCCAAATTCGGCACAATGGGTTCATTCCCGTTCAGGACAGCTATTAGTTTCACCAGTTCATCGCGATTTGTCGCTACAACGCGCCAAGTCTCTTCATCAAGGTGTTCTTGATAGATTCTCAGATTGCACTTCTGATCCAAGGTGCTCCAATAAGCATTACCCTCTTTGTCGCGCCCCAGGGGCAGAGGCCTGAGTTCGTTCGCGGCAATCCCATTGACGGCCGTCTTAAAGCGGATGTTGGAATCAAACTGGGTGTCCAGTAAGGCCTGATAAGTACAATACAAGCAATTAGATTATCACACACGTTGGCATATAATTTCACCCACCTTGAGGATCCGTAGTCTCACAGGGAGCCTCAGCTTCTTGTACCCGAACTTCTCCAGCTCCCAGGCGTCCACAGTGGAGAAGGAATGAGAGAACTTAACCAGAGATCGCTCCCACTTGTCCGGACGCACAGTGTACTTGGTCTTCCGCATCAATTTAATGTGCAAATCCATCAACTCAGGCGCCACTGGAGCCCAAAAGTGAGAAAAAACGACAATATAAACAATCTTGACATTTGCCTCCTGTGTTTTTGTTGCATTGTTTGGCCTCCGTTTGGGACAGCCAAACAGGGTGGGATGCACAGTGGGAACACCCTCTTCGTCTGCGTCCTGCTGCTCACCTTCCTCCATATCCTCTAGCATCGTCTGCAGCTCCGCCACATCCGGATGTTCCACGCCACACAGCGTGGCGAATTTGTCGAGAAATGCACAAATAATTGCGAAATTGGGGTCGTCAACACAGTGCAAGGCATCTTTTTCCGACGCCATTTTTCCCTACAGTCACAATTAATCACACCTTTTGCCACAATTTCACCGACATCTACAACACGTACAGTACAAAATTGTGTTTTTCCGCTTGCACGGCACTATTTACAACAATTTTCAGTTGCATTTTCGCGCTTTTTCACGATAAAAATTGAGAATAAAATTTCATCGCGCACTAGACAAACGACGAATGTTTTGAGAGGTGTGAGCCACTGCGGCGGCGTGCAGCGATGACAGCGACATTCTCCGAAAACTGTTATACGCGGCCTATGCGAAATTGAGCGATAATTTCAAACACACGAAAAATCAAGGAAAAATGTATTTATTTATCAAAAAACACTCGTCTATTTCTTCATCTCCCGGGAATTTAAACACAAACATTATTATCAATTCTCGATGCATCTCTTGGGCAGGGGAATCTTGGAGTTGCCGCGATTCCCTTTGGCACTGGTGAAGACGCTCAGCGGACGGTTATCCAAATTATTCATGCCCTTACGCACAGTCTTCGCATTAGACTCTGCAGTTCGCGGAGCTCCTCTATTGGCCAGACAGCTTAGAGGAGTTCTAGCGCCTTCTTGACCCACAATCGACAGCTTGGGAGTAAAATTCTGACCTGCATTTTCGTCCTGGAAAACATTTAGAACAGATTTGGGTGTTGCATCCTCACACTCATTCTTATCCACATCGTCTTGAAAAACGAAGGGTGTTCTGTCTATCCCCGGTGACCGAGGATCAATAGCGTTCTCAACAGGCGCAGATTCCGGTGGACGGTAATCAAAATTCGTCTCCAAAGGCTTCTTTTCCTCATCAAAACTTTCGAAATCAATTTTAGATAGCGCCGACTCGAAGCTCTCAGATGCGCTGTCTTCCTCCTGTTCACTTTCCAATAATGTCACTGGTACTACTTCCTCCAGCTCTGGTGGTAGTGTGAGAGGAGTTCTTTGGACACCCTGGGATGGAGACCTCGGGTCCATTGAATTTGTCTGTACATGGAGCTGCTCCAATTGCGTTGTCCGTGGAAAGAGCGCCTCATAACTCCCACTGAGAGGCGTCTGGATATCCGTCGTGAGATCCTGCGCTTTGGTGATCTTGCTGTGAGACTGTTTCTGCAGAACCTGTGTAAAAATTAAAAACATAAATCCGGGAACAAAATCCAAACATTTTACAGAAATCTCACGCTCATGGGAGTTCGGGAAATATGAAGAGATGGTGATCGAGGATCAGTTTGCTGCCTCTCCTCGGAAGCTTTCTCACTGCTTAGCTCCCGGAAGAGTTTACTGTACGAAATACCCATCGGAAAAGTCGGGAAACTGGAATAAATGAAGGAAAAGCAGAGCGTCTCGCTGAACGTTTCAAACTGGTTACCAAACTGAAGTAATAACAAAAAAGTGACATCTAGCGACACGCGCGCCCGATAAAACCTGGCTTGAGCCAGTTCATGGGACTGGCTTGAGCCGAGGCTCACGTTCACAAGTGAATTTCCCTTGTGATTCCTTAAACTGGCTTATGACACCAGGAAGAAACGTTTGTATGACAAACGCACGGGGCATGTCGCATCTTTTCATGAGCCATTCACTAGTGATTGTATGGCGCGACTAAAGCCACTCTTCAGCCATTTCACAAGCCCGAGCTAAAGCGATTCTCAGGGTCTTTCACAAGCATTGGGCGGTGTCCGGGCACAAGGGGGGCTAGTGAATTGGCTCAAGCCACGCCAAAGGACTTTCCAATGAGAAATATATTAAAAATCATGATATTAATTTTGTTCAAAATATTTATTTTCCATTAACTTTGATGACATTTTTCCTTGTTTTCCTGTAATAATAAAAACGTTAATCAAATGCAAATTACTTATTCTATTAGAATTTCAATTTGACCTTATTTCTGGTATAATTTAAAAATTTGTAATATATAATTTTTGGACTCTTTTTAAAATACTTCTTCTGACAAATATAAAGAGTTTTAGATAAATTTAGTGAAATAATGGGCATTACAAATATTTATGGACCAAATTGCTTTATTCATTTTTAAGGTTTTACGGCCAACTTTATTCTTACTGAGACACTCAAATATTCATTTTTTTAATGAAAGAATTTCAAATACAGTATATTAAATTCTTCGCCTTTAAAGGAGGATTTTTTTTAATCTATTAATTATCTAAAAAATATTATAATTAAAAAACAATACTCCTGGAGTGGTCCGAATGGCTGCATTCTCTTCGCTGGAAGTATCAGCAACGCCAGATGGTCGTTTTCTTTTGCCGGTTATCCGCTTTGCGAGTTGATTCCTTATTCCTGGGAAGATCCTTTGAATGGCTGCGGCTGTTAAAATATTTAAAACATAAATTATTAGTTTTTAATGATACTATATTTTTGTTAATACAAAAATTAAAATATTTATGCAAAAATGAATTTAAAATTTCTGATACACGCACAAAAAATATTAAATGAACGTTTTTATTTAAAAATAGTAATTTTTTAGAATAAAAATAACTTACTTTTGCATTATTTGATGATTCTTTTCCCGTTGAATGAAGTTAGGAATGCACTTTGATCCATCGAGTCCTGAAAGAGAGAAATAAATATTTAAAGAAAAAGCTAAGGACATTATTAACAAAAATCCTTAAACTTAAAAAAGTATCTAAAAAAATATCGGTTTTTTTTAGATACTAGCTAGCCCCAGTGGAGCCTCAACTGATCCCCAAGGCCTTCTCAGCAGATTCTTTTGCGAATTTACACGACAATTTTGAGACGGCATTTTTCACGTAATTTTCGAACATTTTCCGCGGAATCGGAACGGACGCACAACAGAGAAGCCGGTGTGCATTTTCCGAGAAAAGTCGCAAGTCCCAGACTATTTTCTGGCGTGAAAATCGTCGAACAATTGCATCACTTCTCGCGGAAACAAAACACAACATTTTCACGTAAAGCCACTCGAATTTCTTCAGTATAACAACACAATGGCCCTCTTGGGGGGTCAATGTATGATCTCCAAGGCAATAATTGGGTCCTTACCTGCTTAATTTAATGCAAATTTCCAGAGATTTGTTGATACACGTTGAGCACTGTTAGAAACGTCAAATCACTGCGCGCTTCACTTTACTCCTCGCATTGTGAAATAGAAGGCAGCAATCCTCACTCATACACAAACACAAACATGACAATGCGCCGCGTTCGCGTGTATTTGGAAGCAGTTGTGAAACACTAAATAATTTCATTAGAGAATCACTAGCCAATTCACTACCTTCAGCCCGGAGTTTACCGGGCGTGGCGCGGTCGAGCGATTTTATTGAACTGGTTAAGATTTGAAACTAATATGCAACGGAAAATAAATTAACCCTCATCATACTTCTATAAAAAAAAACTCATGATAGTTCTAATAAGTCTTTCTATTCGTATTGAAGAAATAAAACACATGTTTATCTATATTTATTTAAGTTGTTTTTCTGTCGCTTCTCAGATTAAGCTCTAATAAACTTTTGACTTTGCCAAATATGTACATATATATTTATTTTTAAAGCCCGATTAGAAAGACTGGATTAACTTAATTTATCAATTAATGTGAACAAAAGTGTGATAAATTCTGTCATGTTAAATAACTCTGCATAAATAATGAATTGTATCCAGTTGCATCTGTTTTGCATTAATTCCAAATAGAAAAATCTAAAGACATTTAAATTGGATGGGAGCACAATATTTTCTCCAGAAAATTCTTATGCAAAACTTGCTTTATATTTCTTTATCATAACACTTTCTCATGCATTTCACTTGGCATTTCATTTCTTGTATTTTTACACAAGACATGAATTGTGATTAACTAAGAAATTAATCTGAAGTTCAACGTTTTGAATGCATTTCTAGACTATAGAGGATTAAGAAAATGAAATATAAAATCAACTTTTATATATTTCAAGTTTAAAACGCAATGAATCCATTGCACCACATCTGTTATTGTATTTTTTAATTGAATACCGAAATTAGAAATTAACACCTTTGTTGAGAACAAGCGACTGTACTTTCTAATTAAATATGTATCGCGCTTTATTTCCGCCGAGGATATATTTTTGTGTTTAAGCTCTTTCAAAGTTCGATTTCAGGCTCATACAAAAAAATAATCTAATTAGCGATTACATTCACATGAATATTTGTTGAAGAGACATAATATTTTTTCGCATTTTGCTAATTTGAGATGACGAGAAAAAAGTTAATTTATTCACATACACACGCGCGCGCGCGAAAAAGTGCGCATGAGACAATTTTCACTAGAAACCTCGTCTTTGGCCATTTCCCAAGCCGTTCAATTGCAGCAATATCCAAACAATTACATACACTTGAGGCAGTGGTAAAACTTTTACGAGATCGTCTACAATTTCTCAACATCCCAAATTTCGGGAGGTCCGATAAATGGTTCCATGTAAATAAAAAGCCTCTGCATCTTGTATAACAACACTGCAAATCTTAATTAGAAGGTGAGAAGTGGCAAAAAAAGGCTCTCGAGGTGGAAAACTCATAATGCCGTCAACTTAAGCTCAACGGGCTGTGACATAATGAGCAGGGAATTCATCAGTGCTTCGCGAACTGAAGATCACGACGATCGCGCGATGTTCGATTGGGAATTTTGCAAGAGAAAACCAGTGATCTTGGGCGGCTGTTCTTGAAATCCGCACACGGTCTGCGTGCGCGCTGGAGTTTTCTCTTTCAATGCCAGTTCAAGTGAAGAAAATCACATCGCCACATGAGAATCAGCGAGAATACGCTGAGCTTCAAGATCACGTTCAGTGCAAACCCGAATTTCTGCATATACCTAGTGACACATCCAGATCGCTTTTTTCCACCTTCTCTCAACTCGGTTGCAATGACACCAATGATGAAACGCTGCAGATCAGACGCGATCGTGAATTTTTGCCGTCTCAACCGCGATCCTAGATCACGCATGAAGAGACAACATTACAATCCATAACACAAGTGATCGCTTTTGCGTCTCATGATCACGACATGCTGCCAAGTTCCATTCGCTCATTTTGTCTCTTCATCTCGCAGATGCAGCGCGATCGAAAGATCAATACGTCGGTGAGATTTTGTGTATTTTATTATTAATGTCATGTAGCATTTGTCCATTTCGTCATTTTCCCCAAAAATTCTTCAACAGAGGCAGACACATTTTGGCAAATAAGTGTGACTTTGAAAATTCCCTCAAACTGTTCAAACACCCATTGGAAGCTGATGTGAAGATCTCTCCAGTATTTTGAGGAAAAGTGATGCTCTCGAGCGACACAATGGGCGTCCAAAATAATGCAATGATTATTGAGATATCAATCACTAGCATTGTATGTCAATTGGGTAGAAGGAGAAAATGACGAAAGAGATTCATTGGTTCATTGACCACCACTTGTCCACCACTCAACATTTTTCACAACACCTTCAAATTGTCTTCCTTCAAGCACTTTTCCTTCGCGTTACCCCAGAAAAAAGCCCGCCAAATATCGACAATCACTACAAATTTGCCTCGAGATTTTGTATTTTCACCTTCAGCGTTCCGCAAATACACGCTAGATTAATTGGTTTGCTCGATCTGATGCATCATTCTTGTAAGTCTATTTGACAAACGATATTGAAGAACACAGATTTGCCATTTTGTCGCCTAACCAAATCACCCGATTAATTAATAAGTCGCAAGAGCATTAGATTTCGACAGCACGCACTTAAGTATTGCCGAACGACTTGAGACATCATGCTGTGAATGCGAATAAAGAAAAATAGGAGGTTATCTTTCAAAGTTGTTCTCAATCCAAAAAACATTTTTTCTTACTTATTTTTGAATTTGTCTTCCTACAAAATTTATTTAATTTTCGTATAATGCGGGTCTTTAATCATTTTGTCTCGTTTTAATAAAAATTCCTTAAGCTATGTGAATAAATTCTTATAGGACATCCATTTAGATATCTACAATCTGGTGCTCAATAAACACTATTTTCTCATGATTAGGCGGGAAAATATTATATGTAAAGAGAGTTATTCTGCAAATATTCTTAAAACTAGCATAACATATCGTCTTCGCCAAGCTTTCCTTGTAGAATATCAAATAATTTAACAATAAAAAATCTATCGTACTTGTGCCAGAAACTATTTTTATTTTTTTTTTATTCGATTTCGTAATCTTTAAAAGTTTAGTCAAATAAGGTCATGAAACAGATCATAAAATTCTCATAAACTCCCGCGGAAGCTCGTATTTTAGGTATGAGATACAACGAAAATTTTAAACGATTTATCAAAAAATATTTCATTATAGAAGTTTAGAGTAAAAGTAGTTAAATTATGTTACTAACATTCAATGCGATCGAGATATGCAGATTAATTAACTGAGTTGACATCATTTCTTGAACTAGCACTATTAAACCCAATATGGTGTGATAAAAATTATAATACAGTCGTTTTATTATGCAAGAAATTACACTTTTCAACGTTCTTGAACTTGTCATCTTGTTCATATTTCACAGATTGAAAATAAAAAGTGATCAATAAATCAAAAATATTTACTCTTGTATTTACTCTTTTTTAAACTCGCATGTAAAAATTTGGAAACTTTTCATACCTTAAAGGTCAAATGGAGCGCATCAAGTTCTCATAAAGAAATATTATTTTCCAATAACATAAACCCTCGACACGATCGCATAATTTACTATTAAATAATAACTACATTTTAATACACCACAATAGACATTCTGTGGTCAATCGGTGCCTCTTGCAATTCACTGAGCGAAAAAACAGAATTATAAGCATTTCGTAAGACAGAGCTTGTTTGAAGAGAGAGATTTTTGAGGTGGAAGCGGTGGAAGAAAAGAGGTGATTTTCACTATTTAAAGTAAAGACTAAGTAACAAGGCGAAAAAAACTTATTAGATAATCTTTTGTTGATATTTTAAAAGAGTCTCGGATGTCATTTCTTCTCCTAATGACTGTGCGGTTTCACAGAATTTGTGGGTCATTTGGGGGCTCACAAGTGCCTGTGAAGAAAGTTCCATTTAACTACATTTAACAGTCACTTTTCATCTTAAGCGCAACATTTGAATCTTTTCTATTCAGCTAAGACCGCCAGAAACGTTTAAAATCATCTCACCACATTTCAAGGTTTATTTTAGGAGTGTTCTTCCTCATTGTCGTAATCCGATAATCTGTCATATATCGACAAATAATCCTGTCACATAAATCATCATTGATAAGCATGGCGATTGTGTGAATTTTCACACTCAAAATCAACACGTTATCTCACGAGTATCGTCAGTTTTTTTTTAATTTACGACTCAAGATTTTGCGATATTTTTTCAATGAATTTCGATCATTTTTATGTGATCAATAATATAGGCGAATTGATTTGTTATTCATTTAAATTTCACCTGCCGACCACCTGGACGGCCATCAGCAAAAACGTCGCAACGAAACAGCCACGAACATAAAAGATAATTCAATTTAAGAACAACTTTTTTTTGGCCTCTTCCAAAACTCTCACGCGACAGACATTTAACGCATTTAATGATTGGGAAATTGAGTAATGAAATCACTTGATAAATTAAAGATCATTATAAATATCTTGTAGTGTTGCGATTGCGATAAAGTGCTGTGTCGACGACAAAAAGATCAATTTCATTGAATACCATGCATCGCAATAAATACACGTAATGTCAGGGGTCGTATCAAGATTAAGTTGTGATGCTGGCGTGTAATCTCATTTTCGCACATTTCTCCAATCATTCAGAAGCTTTAAATATAGACATTGTAAAGTCACATTTCTTTGAGTGAATGAGTGTAAATATTTTACATAAATAAAAATTTTTTCAATAAACATAAGCATAAAAAACAACGTTTGAATCAACTTATGGACAAATTATGGAAAGAATTCTCTAAAAAGTCTCATAGCAGCTTCCAACGGAAAAAAGTATTGGAATTTAGTTTGAAGATCACCGACTTCACTCATTGTCCATCATTACACACGACAAATGATAGAATTATCACATTTGTGGGAAATGGAGTGAAAATGCCCGCGAGTCATACAAATTCCTAATCTTATCAGAAGAAAAACATTCCCCAAAGAGGACCGATACTCGCCTAAAAAATCATTAGTTTCCACGTAGAGTTAGAACGAAGACGGGCGCCGCTTGGAGAGTATTTCAAAAGTGTTTCAAGAGCGAATAATTGCAAAAAATAAGCGAGTAAATATCCATGTGAGCCACTAATCCACTTCTAAATGATAGTGTCACTCTTATCAATTGACGATACACTGAGGAAAGAATAACAGACTGCACATCTTTTAATAAATTGTATAATAAATGATAATCACATCGAAAAATCCAAATAGGAGCTCGAAGTCTTTGAAACGATCATCGTGTTATTCCTATTGAAGGCTTCGTAGTGGCAACATTTACTCATATAGTCTATCGTGGATATTTAGCTGTTTTATTTTCCCAAAATTTTGCTGAACGCATTCTCACATTGCCGAAATCATGATCAACATCACAGGTAAGACATACTTTCAACTTGCATCTCTTTGCGCAATTTCACCTCTGGGCAATAGTTGCGCGATCATTCTTTTCTGATTATCCCAAAAATCCTATCTCCATCAAATCGCGTGCCACTGTTGCGAAAACAACACACAAGAATACTAAACAAAGAGTGACAAGAGTGAGTCTCAAAAGAGATCGAAAAAAACAACGCCGCATAAGAGAAATGATTAAGAGAGTGTTTCGACCTACAAACTGCAATCACGCCAAGTTGTTTGAATTTTCCTCTTTTTCAACGCATCAATGACCTTCAACTGATAACATCATGCGTACATATGTTTGCCTATTGCATTGATCTTCTTCTCATCCAGTGTCGAGTCTCGGTATGCCTAAATGACTGCAAAGTTTACATTGGGTGAAATTATATACCGTCTGAATGCCGAAACGCACCTGAATCTTCAATTGCTGTGCAATTTACTTAAGGAAATTTTGCGTTTTTTCTCATGGTTTGAGTCAATTTAATATTAGGCGACACTATCGAAAAAGTTGTCAATCAAATTGATTTGTAATTTATTGACACGCAATGTTCATCCGGTCACACAAATGCGATTGTTTTTATGGGCAAAAACTATAAGCTTCAATCTGAAGCTATGTATTATTTTTCATGAATATGTTATTGAGAATCACTCAAGATTGTGTTAATATCGATAATATCAGAACGTATTGTTATTCTTTGTAATTAAACTATTTGTATTCCGATTGTTTTTCGGAATATACATTTTATGACTTTGATTGTTTGGAGTGACATAGTCAAACAGTTATTATTAGCTGACACAAATCTGGTTATTTCTTTAAAAAGTATTTAGCAAATAAGTGGATCACGGGAATTTTTAAACAATCTCTTAATTGCATTATGGCACTTCAAAAAAATTGTGTAAATACATATTTGATTGTGAATGGTTAGGCCTTCAATATTTTGAATTTTCACCACAGTAGTTTTTGGTATTTTTTGAATAATTTTGCAACTGCTAGAAAGCTATAACAATACAAAGTGATATAACAGTTAACTATTATCAAGTAAAGCACATAGTTTTAACCAGGAATGACCAAAATTTCCAAAATTAAAAGCCACGGAAATGGCACAGTTTGCACAGTTTATATTCAGCATGCGCCAAAGAGAGTCAATTTGGTGGAAAAATCACGCAGCACATCAATTGAAATTGCTGTTCTTACGTGTGTGAAATTTTCGTTGGTTGTTTCTCGGCAAAATGACGAATTTTATATCGCGAAATTGTCTTTCTCACGATCATCGTGGAGAAAATTTTCCACTCCTGATTGCGTGCCGAGGAAAAGATCACTGTTCTGTGGAAAAGAATGAAATCGGAAAATTCCATAACCACTAAAGTTACGCCCAATTCTGATTATAATTCAGAGTCATTCCTGTGGTAAGATCCGTGTCGCCAGTCCATTAGTCATTGATCACCCGCGTCCTGTAGGACGGAGATTTTCCCATCATCACGTGTGAGATCACCAATCGAGCCCACCGACATTGAACTTCAAGAAAAAATATTTCCCCTTCTTATCAATCGAGCGACGATAATCGTGTGTTGACACAATTGCTGGTGGTTATTTATAGAAAGATAGGAGAATCAAACGTGTGCCAATGATTCTGGAACTCCAAGAGCCTGTGAAAATGATGAAAATATTGGATAAAAAATGCTGAGCTTTCTACCCACTCGGCTATTGTGGGGCTCTCGCCTCTCCACTTTGTGACTCATACATTCTCAGAGTCGAGTGTGACGCTAGGAAAAGCTGTGATCGTGTGAGTGATCGAGGAGGGGGATCAGCTGAAAGTTTCCACGAGCCAGCTTTTAGTCGCCGATGACGATCATATGCTGTGGCTTTTGCACTGCACCTGGGGAATATACTTAAACATCATTCAATCCCCATTTCATTCATGTTTGAAAATCGCATCTGATCGCACGCTCAGCGATCCTCCGGACCAACGGTCGAATCGAGTGATAGTCAGGAAGTTACCATAAACGCTGTTAAGAAATACCAATTTAGAGTGATTTGTGCTTACGTGTAATAAAGACATCATTTTTGCTAATTACCAACTTCAGGGTGTTTCATAGTGTAAGGATTTTAAGAAAAACAGTGCAAAAAATTCACACAAAATGCGGGAGTTTCTGAGATTCTGGCGCCGAAGGTACAGTTCCGTGAGCACAGGACTGAATCCTGGAGCTGAATTTTCCAATCAGAGGAAAAGTGAGAGGCGGAAAAGCCTGGCCGATCCTCAGGCTCTCCAGGGATTCTCAATTCTCGACTCGTTCTTCTACAAACGGAAGGACGGTGAGCGAGCCAGATGGCCCAAAAGTAAGATTACACGCGTGAAAGTGGTTAGAAATGATTTAATCTGTCTCACATGGTGATATTGCATAAGGCAAAATAAACCGAGGATTTTCTTTATCCGAAAAGTGCCGCCTTAAAATCACCACGCGATAAGTCAATAAAATAAGCCTCTATGCATAAAGTGTTTCCTTTGCGCCAAGTGGCAATTAGATCTCCTCGATTGAACGGGAAAAGCAGTGACACAAAGGAAAGGTCAAGTGTGCTTATGGCAGTTCTTGCAATGCGTTGCATTTTCCAACCATACATTATTATCAAAGTGCGTTCGAATGCGAAAACGCCTGATCGATGTGCGCATTGTAGAAACTTCTTGCCACGCGTGAAAATTTATTTATTTTACCATATCGAAAAATTATTTATTAATATTAATATTATGTCGATTTTGTAATATAATACTTTTTGCATTGTGCATTTAGACTGTATTTTCCTCTCTTTCCCACCTCTCGCCTTTCCGCCTCAACGGCCGCTGAGGTTGATGCAATTTGCCACCTTATTAATTATAATATTTTTTCTAAATATACCATTCGTAAATTGTTACACCCGCCAAAACGTCAAAATGAATGTAATACAAACATTACTTCCCAAAGTTCAAGGCTTCACTTAAATTTTGTCCACTTCGCATGTGTCTTTTTGATAAATTAATGTGTTCAGTTTGTCGGTATTTTTGTTGAATAATTTCCTCGTAAAATTATACAGCTATCTCTATGAAAAATTTCACTTTCAACTAAAATCAATTATTAAGATTCATCCAAAGCGCTGCAGACCATTTAATTTCCTAAGAACATCTGCATATTCTACCCGAAAAACACACATAATTTACACAAAATTTGCATGTTATCTCAAATCGTATTCAATTGTAATCTCTTCTGGTTGTATGCATTGCACAACTCGTGGTTGTCTCGAGGATTCCTCCTCAGCTTCATCTCTGGCCTTAACATTGTTTAGGACCACACAAAACACTGGCACAACCTCGACAATGAAATGATAATATACGACACTGAAACACATTAATTATACCTATCATCCAATTTCGTGAGAAGTTAAATCTATCCCCAGAAACACAGCGAATCTCTTCGCATCATGCAACAGCGCGAAATTTCCCATGTGCATTCGATAAAAGCTCATCTCACGTCACATTTCATTGATTTTTCATTAGAAATTCAAAGAACTTCCTCGACAACTTTACAGACTTTTATGTTTTTCTCAATAAAACACACTGCAATTCATTGTATCGATTTTTAATATACTTCGCAGAAATGCCGATGATTATTACTCAGCTGAGATTTATTAAAAGAATGCAACTGTTGAATCAAAATTCTAATAATTGCTTAACTCTCGCACAATGGTTGAGGCTAAACTCAATCTAAAATACCATGTCAAAAATTCGCAATCCTTCCTAGAAAGTCAGTACAAGTAACTTACAAAAAAGTAGATTTCTTTCTCAGCCATACTTTTCATTACTAAATTACTCTCTGAACCACGCTTATATCATTATAGTAAATTATAATGAAGATAATTGGGCATAAAATGCAGTTTGAAACGTCTCAGTGATTTAACCATCATTAGATACAGATTTTATCTATTCCCACAAGTCAGTCGCTAAAGGGTTAAAGAATTTCCCACTGGTAAAAAAGACAGTTCATTTTGGAAACGGTAATCTTCGATAGGAATCTGAATGCACATGCAATAAATCGATTTTTGACCTTTCTCTTGAATTAAGAGATGCAGTCTTTGATTAAATCCAAAAATTTGCATACGTATGGTATATAATGTTTTCACCTCAAATGAAGAATATTTATAGTAAATAAATAGAAAACACGTTATCGTGTTGAGAATTTCCTTGAAAATGTTCTGCGCATTTATATTTCCAATGCTTCCCGGCACTTTCTCATGTTTTTTTTGTATAGAACCAGAAGAGGGGTGCTTTTGTTTAGCTTCTTTTCTCTAATACCGCAATTTAGATTTCATGTCAAATGGTGTGAAGCGGATATTTCGCAAAGAAATCACACGCGCCACACTACCAAGTATTTGAAGGCAAAATGTGCAAATATGAGTTGAAAATCACCTCCAATGACTGCTCAATGAACCATATCGGAACTGTGGGTGTTAAAGATGTGCTTTATGCGCTATCTTTATGACTCTCACCTCCTTCAAATATGTAGGTCAAAGCTTTATTTGCAACTTTGACTCACAACTCCGCAAAACTGCCACTTTGTCTCTCTTCCTGGCGCGAAGATCATCTGCAAATCTCCACGAACCTCATTTGACGGAATATTTATGGCTTTACCATGCACTGTAATTACCACACCATGCATTGTTGTCGTCATTGTGACGATCACTTGTAGCTGAAAAACTTCCGCATGGAGCTTTTCTTGAGTGATTCTAGTCATTCTGATCCATTGAATTTCATGCTTATCTATCTCTCTTTAAACATTACAGGTGCCTTCCTCTTTATGGCCACGGGGCTCGTCTCAGTCACATTTGCCATTGCAATCTATATCTTTAACCCATACGACCTCATTTTCAAATGGAAGCTCAAATTTGAGAAGGACGGCGAAGTCTACAACTTATGGGCAAAGCCTCCTGTTGACCTCTACCTAAAGATCTATCTCTTCAACATCACCAACTCTGAGGATTTCCTCGCTGGCAAGGAAAAGTTACAAGTTAAGGAAGTTGGCCCCTTCGTTTACAGGTAAATATACATATATTTGTGTACTGTATACTTCCCAAAAGAGCAGTCTTAAGTAGATAGACTTGAGAATTACACCTGAGCACAAAGGATAAAAAAGTGTTTGATCTATATACGTATGTTTCAGCCAATGCCCTCAGTGAAATTCCACATAAAATGCTAATTTCCGACATAACCCAATTCAAACCATAATGTTGTACCATTGCAGGGAACTCCTTTCCCATGAAAACATCACCTTCAATTCCAACGGAACAATTTCCACAACACCCAAACATCCTTTAGTGTGGCAGGAAGAGCTTTCGGAAGGAAATAACGAGGATGATGAGCTTATCTTGCCAAACATCGCGCTTCTGGTAAGTACAAAATATTCTTTTCTACCACCATAGAAAAAAAAACTTGGTCACAAATCCCCACTACGAAGACGTTGTTAGGGGAAAATTCCTAAAAAGAAAATGTTAGAATATGTTTTCGTGAAAAAGAAACGCGCGCGGCTGTGTTTTGCAATAGAATTCCACGCTTTCAAGGAAAATATATAACGGAAACCTAAGCGAGACGTTCTTCGCACTTCCACGGCATGGCAGAGAAGCATGTGTTGTTGTTGGTCTGGACTCCCCCTGGGTAATTAGCAATGCTCCACCTTTGAGCAATGGTAATGGGAGATTATTACAATTAAATTCTCTCCACAGTGCCAATATGTCACTAAGCGTGTAGTCGTGAGAACAGCTCAGCCACTTTGCTGATCAATGATCGAAAAGAGAAACTTGGAATTTGCTGCTAGAGTTGAGGAAAATTGGCGCACAACGAGTGTGGAAAATGCGACCTTCATTTAATTGTAGGGAGAAAAGATATAATTCTCAAGTCTGTGTGATGAAAAATCTTCGAACTTTGCGTGTGAAAATGCATACAAATCCTATCATTTTCCTCTCCATCGACTTGAAGAATGTGTTTTCGATTCGTGTGCAGTGTGCAAATGATGCTTCCTAAAACATCTTTTTCCAATGCTTATTCACATGAGAAAAAATAGCTCTTGCATGATGTCTAATTTGAAAGATGAGGAAAATTGCTTCGTTGGATAATATACTTATAAATTGTCACTGAGTTGTGCGCTGGCCAAATATACAGCGGCTACGAAAAATCCAGTTTCGAACACTTTCTAAGCTTTGTTGGAAAAATCATACCTAAAGTGTGGTGAAAATGTCATACCCAATGATCCAATTTTCACTGAGACTTTTCCCCAGCAGTGAAAGACAGACACATTCACACAAGAAAATACCGGATTTCCAACCTTCTAGCAGCAATTTTCATCGTCCAAGTGTGATCAATGAATTACCTTTTCCACATAATTAATGCACAACGGTGATACTTAGTCAGTTAATTAATTTACTGTAATGCAAACAGTTTCACTATCATTTCGGAAAATCGTCTCTTCAGTGTAAATGAGTTAAAAAAAACAATTTTCATCATTTATGAAAATCAGTAATTTTTCTTCACTAATAATATATTACTTCATAACTTAAATGCAGTTTTTGCTCATTCCCGATATTATCTTCTCGCTTGCCTCTCTGCAAAGTGAAGCTCTCCACGCAATTACGTATTAGATCTATTGTTGAATTATTAAGGAAAATTGATCAGCAGGACTCAAACAGGAAAAGACACTTATCTAATAAGTCATCAATAATTTCACGACGAGCAGTTAAAATTATGTAAAAATATCATGAGAGCGAGGAAGATTTTATGTAATCGACGTTTGATCGCATTTCTGTCTGTACGCGAAATACGATCGCTTAGTGAGACTGCAATCGTGACTCCTCCGTAAAGTATGGTATGGTTGATAAAGAAACAATACTGACAAACAACTCTTCACAATACCGCAAAAGCCCCGCAGGAAAATCTGTAATAAGTCCGATGATCATTGTGTAATATTGACTTTTTCTTGTCGCTCGACAGATTCTTTATGGTTTCTCACTCAATAAATAGACACTTTTAATACAAAACAGATCTGCCAATAATTGTATGATTGCAATCCATTAGCATGAGCGAACGTGGAAACCAGTTGCAATGTTGGGTGGGTGAGAATTGTCGGTAAATTCTTTACATTGCACCCGCAACAAGATGCAGTTCCTTGATTGCCTTTTTTTTCATAGACATCATCATTTTTTCACGGGTGGAATCTTCATACAAAAGTTCATCAGCGCGCATGCAACAGATCAAGACGCCAAGTTAACACTCTGTGAACTTATTATGCAATACAAACGGAACAAGTTCTTACTTACAATATTGCTCTTTACTTTCACGCATATGTGTACAACATATTTGTCGCTCATCATGTTCGATAGTGGCGATCGCGATAAATATGAGTGGATTTTTGGAGAGGAATATCAAATTTTGATATGTGGCATTTTTATAACCCAACATCGGAGCTAGTAGAACGATCTAAAAGCAATTTGTGACACATAAAGGCTCTGTGATAGTAATCAACAACATGATATACTCGAAAAGAGATCAAATACCATGACGCTCTGTAAAAGCGACACGAAACTGCTGAAATCTAGTGTAACAGGATTCAAGAATGTGATCTATTACTCTAACACCTCGCGGCAATAGTATAATCCTTCCTTGTATTCTGCAAATTTGTTAACTGGCCAGGCCATTGCTCAAGCCATTGAGTAAGTTCGACGTGGAAAAAAAACTGTCACATCCTTATACGTTTTCATGGTCTATTTCAGTGATTTCAAAAGCTTGCTTGCGATATCAGATCGACTATAGGCTATTAATGCTGATTTTATGTGTAGCCAATAAATATAATCTTGACCTTTGAGTACTTAAAGAAATGCATTATATCGCTGTAAAGTGACATAAAAATCCCACAATTTCTTTTATTTATAACTTTCCTTGACACGTGAAAAGTTCACAATATGTATAGAGTGTAGAGAATGCGCCCATCCCTGATCGCTTAAGGGTGTCTGATTGCCTCACAGCATCCATCATATTTGTTATGATCGCGTGCTGCCAATGAAGTCTTTTGTCATTGTTCACGTGGAATTTCCACATGGAAAATTATGTCAATCTCTTTACCTTTCGGGTTTTTCTCGCTCAAGGCCACGCTTTTCTGCACTTTCAGACGCAACTTTGCACAACACGTGCACCCAACTTGACCGTCCTTCGGGCAATGAGGAAGAAATTGCTATCGGGCGAAAAAGTTTGTGCTGTGTTGTGCATGGCAACATGAAGAAGATCATCGATGGCTATTTATTTTGTCAATAAGGCCACCCATTCAAACGGGTTTTTCCTCCATGAGGAAATTCATCGAGGTCTGCAATTATTTTTGTCGCTCCTTCTCAATGCATTGACCGCAATACACAAGTGGATCAAATGAGCCAGACGCGAAAAAAGCATCAATCTTTGTATCGACACGCTGATCAGCGATATGAAAAATATATCTTTCTCTCACTTATAAGCTAAATCTATACGCAATATAGCACGGGTCTGTGAGGCCACCTTGAAAATAATGTGATTAGCAAATGGGGAAGTAGGAAGCATTGTTGCAAATGCACCAGTGATATAAGCAAGAATGATAGGAATGTCCTAGAAGACTCGATGGAATCATCACTGAATCTCTTCCTTTATTGCCCATTCGAAACTTTTTTTTATTACTATCATTTCTCTCATACTTTGTTGCAGAGCATCGCTCAAGTGGCCGCTGAGAAGTCCTACTTTTTCCGCTTGCCCATCAACATCCTCATCAGGCAAACAAACAGTCAGCCACTGGTTAGGATGACTGCCAAGGAGTTCATGTTCGGCTACGAGAGTCCACTCACGACTCTCGGTTACCACGTCTTACCCAATTGGATTTCCTTCCAGAAGGTCGGCCTGATAGACAGGGTGAGTGCCAATGAAACTCTATCTCGCCAAGAATCGTGCGTAAATCACCTCCGATGACAAATGACTTTTCCTCATTATGCGGATCTTTGTGTTTCACAACAGTACAAAAACATTGAAAAATCATCCAAATACTGGTTTTCCTCCATTGAATTTAATAAGCTAAAGAACCAAAGACGTCACGAAGTTGGAAACTAGCGGTACTGGCTTAGGGAAGATGATGTAAGGTTCTTTTGGGATCTTTGTCACCTTTCCAAAAATACCTGCATATTTTTCAAGAAAGTGATTCATTGGAAATATGCCGCAGTTCTTGAATATTTCACAAATACACTTTCACTCTATGACCCAAGCAAATAAGTTATGATTTTTCGGGGTTCATTAATTTTGAGAAGTTCAAATGTGCCTATTTGTCGATGCTTATTAAGACCCGAGGGCGTGTCTTTGACCCTATCTTCATGACTATTATTTCAAGATTTTCTGGTTATTTTATGATGATTTTTTCATTGTTTTACTTGAAACTTTTCAATAATCCGTTAAAGTTTTAGAACTGTTAATTCAATTAAATTATAGACTCACAATTAGATTAGATGTCTAACGTCATGAATTGCTCATGTGTTTGAGAAATTTCTCGAGCCGTTAATGACATTCCTCATGTAACTGCTCAAGAAAATATTTCATTTCTCCAATATATAAGCATGAGGTAATTGTGGATATAATTAAAAGTATTCAATGACATTCAGATGTACGACTTTGAGGGCGATTATGAAACTATCTTCAGCGGTGAAACAGATCCTAGCATGTCTGGTCTGTATGACACCTACAAAGGATCCCAAAACCTGCCTCAATGGGAAGGAGATCACTGCAGCAAAGTCACAGGAGCGTCAGATGGTACAAAGTTCAAGAGCTTCATGGCTCCCAACGAAACAATCCTGTTTTTCCGCAAGAGCATGTGCACCGTGAAACGAATGGTAAGCTGGAGTTGAGTTACTTGTCTTAATGTCGACTAGAGCCAAAAAAAAGCGTAAACGACCCAAAATGACCAAAGAAATTGTTGGAAATGTGAGACACCGTTTTGGCGCTTTCGATTTCAACACCCAAATTTGCATGTCATGCAAAATGATATTCATAAGTTTATTCAAACGTACAGACTTTTTTCTCCTCTCATGAAAAGTGTCAATGATCGCGAAATTAAATGAACACACAAAAAACGTGTAGACGTAAAAATCACTTTCTTGTTCTACTGACGGGTCATCAAAATTGTTGAATTGTCGACCTTTTTCCTGCACACAATCGACGATGATGGGAAATTATGATCTTATTGTTTGCCAACATCATACATGGTGAGATTAAACTCTTATTTTTTTCTAGGTGCAACACGGGGAACCAACAGAAGTGTCAGGTTTAAGTGCCCAGAGGTTTGTCTTTGAAGAGAACGCCCTGGACAATGGAGCTGTGGAGGAAAAGAACAAGTGCTACTGTCGACAAGGTGAGAATTCCCTCTAATATGCCAGTCAAGACAGTCAACAAGAACCATGACACTGACCATGCACAACTCCTTTCCAGGTAATTGTCTTCCAGCCGGTCTCATCGACGTGACAGATTGCTATTATGGTTTCCCCATCGCGTTGAGCTATCCTCACTTCTTGGATGCTGATCCGAGTGTGACCAAAAATATTATTGGACTAAAACCCAATAAATCGGAGCATGAAAGTTACTTCATGATAAATCCGGTAAGTGTACTTCCTGCTTCTATTTACTCCACTTCCACTTAAGAGTTTGCTTTACGGGGATTCTCCGGGGGCGTGCAACTAATGTAATTCGAAGAATTATTCTCTTAATAATCTATAATTAATTAGAAATAATTAATTAAATGGAAATTATCTTGCTAACAAGATCTATGGCTAAAAATAATGAGTGAATCTGACTGGTTGTAAAGCATCGACCTTTCTCCTGATCTACATATTAACAACGAGGTGTGATTAATGTGTTTCCACCTGTTGTTTCCTGCAGACGTCGGGCCTTCCCCTGCGCTGTGCCATGCGTTTTCAGATTAATATGGCCATGAAGGATGTGAGCAGCATGTCACACGTGGAGCAGTTCTCCCACCTCACGATACCGATGCTCTGGTTCGACATCACTTTCCATGAATTGCCGCCGGCGTTGAAGAACCGTTTCCACCTGTACCTGAACGTCCTGCCCGTGCTTGATGCTGTGACGTTTTACGGCAGTGCCATTGTGGGTGTTTTGCTTCTCATCTTCGCTGTGACCAAGGCTTCCGTTGGCATGTCCACCAGCATCACTTCGAGCAGGAAAATCTCGCTGCAACGCACCTACGATTTCAGGAGCTCCAAGGTGTATTCGCCGTGCGAGCAGAAGTACGATAACTCCGATTGCCATGAGCTGACGATGCCCTCCGTGGCGCCGGTCTCAGTGTTTGACCTCGAGAATGAGATCCCTCTCTCGGACGCCGATGAGCAAGAGCTCCTCGATGAGCGCGACAGCGGTCACGGGGTATGTTTGACTATTCGCACGTATACCATTTCTAAGACAATGGGAGGAAACACGTTTTTCCTTAATTACAATTGTGGTACTTTTACCTCAACAGACGATCAGCAATGCCAGTGAAGACTGCACCATAACGATACCTCAGGAAGAGAGCAGGAACTCCCTGAAACCGCTTTGCCATCAAAACAGCAATTTCACACTCAACAGATAACAGACCAGCGACTCAACGCTACTCAAGACATCCCATGGGACAGTATTATACAATAGTGACGTCTTTTCGATGATTTTTCACGCAATTCCGCACTATAAATATCACCACAAGTGCTATTCAATCAACGGCAGATATATTGCTCATTTACATTGAGACTAAAAATTATTGTACAACTACTATTGAGCCTTTCAGGGAAATCCAGGAAATTAAAGCTCAACACTTAATTAAAAATCAGTGGTAAATAGTCAACCATTTAGGAATAAACAAAATTTTTCCACTGTACATCAATTACATACATTGATTCAGGCTTCTTGTTACTTCCTCGTCATTGCGGTTTTTATATTTTATACACCCAACAGGAATGACTCAAAATGACACATTTTGAGTTTTGCATTGATATTCAGTGCGGAATTGTGAGGCAAGTTATTACAAAAACGACAACAAAATCTTTGCAAAATCCTTCTCTCAACCATTAGTCATTTTGTAAATATTTTCCATCTCGCTCAGAGAGCTTTAGGAGCGATAGCCTGTAATTTTAAGCTTAAGGATCGTAGATACATCTTTTATACGTTTTTCTATACGGAGAAAATACTCAATCTGACCAAGTATTGAATTAAAATAAAAGTGACACAAAATTATTGGCCACAACTTTCGTGGAAAAATTGCCTAGCATGTTAGTGAAAAGGGTAAAGTCTGTATCAAAAACTGAATTATACTTTTATTCCTCCACTAATCAATATTGTAACGAAAGATAATAAAAAGAATTTACATATATGGAAAAAAACTGACTCTTTCCTTTTCCAAACCCTACAAATTGGGCGCCACGAAATTCAGGAACTTCATGAAGGCTTCAAAGCCACAGAAACACGCCGCATTGGCGGGAAAAGCTCGCAACATCACAGGTGTGACGCCTTTGTAGAGAGCAAGTGGCCCTTCTCGCCTCATCAATTCGGCAAAGACGTCCCTTATTCCATTCTTGTACGTTCCCTCGGGAGCTGCAACAAGAGGCATGCGTTAAAACTTGCACTTCAGCTATGTTGTGCCCCCATTCGAGGCCACAAACCTGTCTGTAGCCGGCTCTTCAGCACATCAGCTGGCATTCCAATCGCCCAATTGGCAATACCGGCCATTCCGCCGGCAAAGATCGTGCCCAGCAACCCAACGCCTCCCTCCGAGCCCATCTTCTGCTCCACCTTGTCCTTCGTGTACTCATAAGTGAGGTAGTAAAGTCCACTGGCAGGAACATCTTCAAAAATAAAAAGAAACACAATGTCCTCAACCTTTCTCTACACTACACAATAAGTTCTTCAAGGCATCATCAACGACGGCGTGGTCGAAAAGTCAAGAATTGATTGGGGTGCAACAGAAACTCCTAAAAGGTTAACGAAGACGTGACTTAGTATTCCGCAACTTCTACATTACTAGTAGTGCATCACTGAGTAGTCGAATGTTATTCCTGTGCTCAGAAAATTTTGCTACACATTTCTGTTAAAGCTTTTCAACGATCCCAAGGTTCCCAAGAATACCGAACATTGTCAAATAGAACTCCAGCCAATCGGCAAATATAGAGCTTGGCAAATACACAGCATTATCCAAACATATTCAGCTTTCAAAAACCGGAGACATTCCTAACTTCCCTTTCAAAAATCAAATTAGATAATTTCTCCTCTCAAATGAAAACATTCAAGAGTAATTAAAACGATCTTTCACTTTCAAGCCAAACACAAATAATGTTTATGAAAGGTATCTTCAAATGCACCTGCGCTTTGTCACGTGTCAATTCAAGAGATTCTCACCAGCTCAATTGCCCAAAGGGGGGCGTACGCATTTGATAACATCAATTGATAACAAATAGAGTGGCCAATCAACAAATTAAACAAATAGTGACTGCTCCAAATAATAACTGCAAGTACAATCAAAACAAGTTTAGCAATGAATCGTGCACTCAACAATCATGCTTCAGTTAAAGACTCCTCTTTAATTTACGAGTTTCTCACAGGCAAGCCTACATATCATTCAATTTAATTGCCAATATGTTTCCTTATTGATTTATAAATCAAGCCAAATGGCGTGAAAAAAAACTAGGTAAAGTTCACTATCAATTCATTTACATTTTTGCGAAAAATTGTTGATATAAAATCATTAGCGAAGAATCTTGCTGCTTTGCTGCGTAAAATGGCTGCTTTATGTTAAAGTTTAGCACAAAGATTAATTTTCGCATGGCACAACCAGAATCCTTGTATCTATTTATCTCATAAATGTATACATTTCAAGAATACTTAATTAATGTCAAATATGGGTGCGTTTAGACTGTTTTATCTTAAGCAATATTCAAAATGTGGCTTACACTTTGTCTTGATTTTTTGCGCGTGTCCAAGACATGGCAACAAAGTGTTTGATTTTTCATTTTCTATTCGGTTTTATCTTTCAGCCAAGACACTTATGCAAATTCTCGAAGAAGATCCGCAAAATATTTGGACTAAAAGCCTTTATTTGGTCCAGACATCGTATAATTATAAATATGAGATTTTTCATAACTCTCTTTATCTGTATTATGGGGACATTCACGTTTTCTGCTTCTTCTCACATTCTTAGATACTCATTGTATGAGAGAAGAAGTAAAAATATGCACAGCCTGACTCTGATATCATTACTAATAAATAATAATAGTTTTTAGATTAAAAATATTACTAAACGTTTATCATTTAGTGACGATAACTCTCAAAATAAGAGACAGGGTGATAAAGAAATTGCGAATGAGACTCAAGTTTCTTCTGTTTTTCTTAATGTTTTCTTAATGTTTCACGTCGAAAGCGACACAATTTAATTAAAAGTTGCCGTGTTACAAGAGACTCACATGGGACATGAATTTAGTACCACATTGTGAGAGAAAACGCCGAATATTTCCACATTGCAATTTGGTATGTAACAACAAACTACGATTGTACGATATGCGTGGAATACTAAAAACATTGATAACAACATCCTTTCCTTTCTATGTTGCCAGTTTCCTTTCCCACACTTTTCACGATCTCTTCAGTCACATGAAGTTCATTCAAGCGTGAGGAATTTCCATTGAAATTGTGCTGATTCAGTTCTTTAAGGAATTTGTAACGAGATGCAGCTGTGGAGACATTTGCTCCTGCCCTTCAATTTCCTCTTGATCTTTGTGTCACTGAGTGTCAGTGAAAAGTGGGAAGACATTGGAATCATTTGTCCAAATCAGTGTGTTTGTCAGTATCAACCATTCCTGGATTTATCCATCGCTCGATGGATTCTAGACACTCCCAAAGATGGGGCTGAGATTGCAGATAATGAGGTAAAGATTTAGATAAGCAAATACTGATCTCTCAAAAATCTTCTACATTAAGACATTCTTCTATCACTTTCCCAAAGATTGCCCTAGAGACTGATGCACATGCCGCAAATAATCCTTTTGTGAAGAGCGTCACGTGCATCATTCAAGCGGAAACGGATACCACAAATCTCCTGGGATCGTTGCCGCAAGACTTGCACGCTCTCATCCTCCTCTCGTCTGGAGCCGCACAGAAAATCATCATTCACAGTGAGGATCTGTCGCCACTCTCAGAACTGACCACACTCGAAATTAGAGGCTCCCGCGATAAGAACATAACTCTGCTCATTGATAAGCCACTGCCGGGCTTGCTGTACGCCAACTTCGAGTCCATTCAACTTGAGGCCAATGAGAAGACCACGCGACGCGTTGATGCCGTGGATCCGTCCCAGAACTTCAACTACATGCCCGAAAGTGAGAGAGTTGAGTATAATATCTCACTAGAGATTGAAGAGGAAGTGGAGATCCTGCCTTATGAAGTGTACGTGATGGAGCAACAGAAGTCACGAACAGCATCCTTTTATGGCTGGGACACACTTGAGATCCTCAAGATGCACAATTGCGCAATGGATGAACTACATTGGGAGGTTTTTGATGGCCTCACGAAACTCCATCATCTCTCACTGGAGCATAATGATATCAAAATTATACCGGCATTTGCTTTCTATGGCACTCCCAATCTTCAGACACTCTCGCTGGCTCACAATAATATCTTGAATATGAATTATAGAGATTTGGCTGGATTATTACACTTGAAAAGTCTGGATCTGAGTTTCAACAGCATCACAAAACTCAGTGAATTGACATTTCCGCCTTTTCCGGAACTCCACACGATAGATATTCGTGAGAATCCCATCAAATATGTTTTCGAGAGCACATTTGATGTGATGAATACCAGCAAGGAAATATTCTTGGGTGCTCAAAACACCTCTATTGACCTCTCAACCGGGAGCGTTTTCAACAATCTACCACTCTTGTCATCTTTAACCATCTTCAATGCATCCGCAGACTCTCTGGGTCAAGGCGTCTTCAAAGGCCTAATATCTTTAGTCACTCTCAAAGTTCGTGGAAATCTGAGCAGGATTGAGTTTGATGCCTTCAGTGGCATGCCGAGAGTTGAAGAAGTTATCCTTAATAGATGCGGTATCACTGAAATATCCATGGATGCCTTTTATGGCACAGATCGCATTCAAGTCATTGATTTGTCCAGGAACCTTATCTTTTTCCTGCCACCGAATCTCTTTAGCCAGCAGAAGAATTTGCGAGAAGTTTATCTGAATGACAATCGGCTGACTAAACTTCCATTGTCCTTCTTTGAGAGCCTTCCTGCGAAAATGGTCAGACTGACTGACAATCCCTGGATTTGCACATGTGACATGATATCCTGGAAGCAAGGAATTACCAATAAATACAGGAAACCAGGGAAGATTCAGAAATGCTCAGCGGAAGCTGCAAAGTTTGGCATGACGCCTTGTGAGTCCCTGGAAGGAGTCTACTCCTACGGATATGACAATAAACTTTCACCCAGATGCGACGGAGGGCCTGATCATGTGAAACACCAAACAGTTTACTACGCCTTGAGGAGAGATCTCAAATGTCCGCGGAAGAGATCAATCCAGGAGAGAAAGACAGTGATTCCCGGCAAGATAATGTCTCCCAAAGAGACAGAATACCATATGATGTTGAAGAGATTGGATAATCAGCAGGCACAGCCGTCAAGAGAGGAAGAAAGACTGTTGAAGAAAATGAAGAAAGAACGCTTCCGCATGGCCAGAATGAAGTACGCGAAGAATATCATTGTGGAAGATCACCACAATTCTAACAGAATGTCCAATAATATCTTGTAAATTGCTCAATTGCAAAATAAATACTCACCTCGCAAGAGTGTGGCAAAGGATCCCTTGTAGATGCTCCTGATTCCTCCTTCTTTGTATAATTGTTTGGCGCAGTCAATCATTCCGTTATACTTTTGTGGCTGATTCCCTCCCTGTTGAATTTGTAAGAGGCACTTGATACGCTCTCCAGGAGCCATGATACTCGTCGTAAAGACACCTGAGAAAGCACCGGCAAGGAAGAGCTTTTCGTTACTCAGTTTCTCGCCTTCCGATTGCTGCAGCAAGCGCTTTCCCAGGCCGAAACCAAAGAAACTCATAGCGAAAATGGGCGCTACACCACTTATGGGTGCTGACATGCCTTTGTAAAGACCCCGAAAGCCTTCTCGTTGAATTGTCTTCTTTGCACAATCCCATGTGCCTGCGTACAGCGGTGATTGGCCGGCTTCCGGCACTGGCATCGTCTGCAAGCGCACCTGCACCATAAAGAAACACCATTATTATCACGAAAAACTTCGCGAATCATACGACAAACCCACTGTACCTTTATAGTGTCCAAGGGATGACCCACAAGGACTGTGCACACTCCCCCAAATCCTCCGGACAGGAAGTACTTAGCGGGACTCGTTTGACTAGACATTTCAGTGACCCACTTTCAGTCTGGAATGAGACAAACCAAATTACATAATGAAACCTCTTTAAGCTCTTTAACTAAACCAAATCATAGTGAGTGGAAGTCAAAAGGGGAGAGAGATTAACCTTTGAACACCACGGAATTCAACCTCGCGTCGACGTCACTATCTGAACAAGACACCAATATTACATAAAATTCCTCAACAATGATTCGACATTTGCGATGATGTGCAAGTACAATAGATAAATACGACTTGTATTCTTCAATTAACTCAAAGGAGAGCAAAAGAATACCTTTTTAGAAAGTGATTTTCACTGACTGTTTATTTGCATAATCAGCTGCACTGAGACTGTGTGTGTATGAAAAGGGCGAAAACGGGAAACTGTCCACGGCGAATCCGGGATATTTTGCGGCGAACAGGAAATTTCACCCTTCAAAACGCATTAATAATCTTTTTAAATGCAATCGAAGCTGTAACTATTAATATTTTCAATCTTCTGTTCTTAGTGTGCATAAGAATATCATTTTCAGCCCTGCCTTTTGCCCCAAACCGCCTAAACTCTACAGTTTTTTTTCTTCCCGCCTCTTTTCACAACCTCAAAGTAAACATAACCTCGCTTCCGAGAGATTGACAGCGGAGAAATTTTCAGCTGTTTTTGTTTACTCTCTGGCACATTCTGAGTTGATTTTGCTCAAAACCAAAGAATAATTCTCTAGAATGACTGAAAACACTGAAGACGATGATTATCAGAACAGCAAGGTAAGTTGAAAATCCCGAAAACAATTCAACAAAGTAACTTAGGAATCTCTTATAGAAACTCATGTTCTTCGGCCGAGATTTAGCTCAGATCCCGTGTTTTAGATCAAGTTTCCTGTACGGAATCGCCGGGGGAGTTGTCACGGGTTTCGGTACGTTCCTCTTCACATCACGTCCAAAAATATCTGCACACGCGGGAGTAGGGATTTTCTGTATCACCACCTTGGGATACTGGTCTCAATGCCGGTAAGAAAATGTGCTGAGACAGCGTGAAAATTACTCATCAATGCCACTGCAATTACAGGTACAACTGGTCAAAGACGAACTTCGAGTACAAAAAGATGAAGCGGGGCCTGCAAGATTATGCAATGCACGAGGGAACTGAGCTAGGAGACGAGTTGCAGAAACGAGCATCTGAAGTCTGAGATCAAGCTAAAATGCAGTAGAACTATGACGTCAAAATGCTGTAGAATAAATAAATACATTTTCATGTATATAGAAATTTCCACATTCTTCGTGATAAAAACAATGCGTACCCGGTGGCGAGCGGTCGTCTTGATGACCCCGGTGGCGAGCGGTCGTCTTGATGACAGACAACGTCGTTCTACAGTCACGAGACTGTCGTCCGTTGAGACAAACAAGCGACTGTCGGTTGTTTGTCGGGTGGCACCGGTCTGAAGTTCGCAGATGTTAGCAACATGGCGACGTCAGAATTTTCGGCCAAAATGAGAATTTTTCCAAATGCAAAGAAAATCGCGGAAATCGCTCAATTTAACTCTTTTCAGGTCGGGACAATACTTTTCCGAGCCGTAATTAAATTCTTGGCATATCTTCAGTTTACCGAACACTCTCGGATCACCCCCATCTTTTTTTTGTTTGAAAGGTGTTGATGTCACAAACATTTTCCCGTTATAAAATCGAGTCGGACTCTAACGGTTCTCCCGCTAAAAATCGGTAAAGTTTGTAACCGAATACAAAAAAATTGTATTTTTAGCGGGGCCGAAGGCCCCGCCTCCCGCCCAATACCCCCACTACATACCTTACCTCAACCCCCCCCCCCCCTCCCAAAACAACCCCTCCCAACCCCTTCCGTATATATTAACAAATTTTCAAAAATCAAATTCAGAGTGTCTGCGGGCCGAAGGCCCCGCCCCCCACCCTCCCCACCCTCCTCACCACCCACCCTACCCACCCCCCGCCCTCCCCACCACCCACCCTACCCACCCCCCACTCACCCCACCACCCGTTATGCTGACAGAGTGTCTTGCGGGGCCAAAGGCCCCGCCCCATCCCCCACCCCCACCCTACCCCAACCCCCTACCCCTCCCACCACCCAACCCTCCCACCTCAACCATCCATTCTGCTGATAGAGGGTCTTGCGGGGCCGAAGGCCCCGCAAGACGCTAAAACGGGGAAAAATACGCGAGTTTTTTCCCTTTGCCACTGTTTTCAAGCTTATTTTGGTGAAAAGTGGATGGGAAGACGCTAAAACGGGGAAAAATACGCGAGTTTTTTCCCTTTGCCACTGTTTTCAAGCTTATTTTGGTGAAAAGTGGATGGGAAGACGCTAAAACGGGAAAAATTCGCGAGTTTTTTCCCTTTGCCACTGTTTTCAAGCTTATTTTGGTGAAAAGTGGATGGGAAGACGCTAAAACGGGGAAAAATACGCGAGTTTTTTCCCTTTGCCACTGTTTTCAAGCTTATTTTGGTGAAAAGTGGATGGGAAGACGCTAAAACGGGGAAAAATCGCGAGTTTTTTCCCTTTGCCACTGTTTTCAAGCTAATTTTGGTGAAAAGTGGATGGGAAGACGCTAAAACGGGGAAAAATCGCGAGTTTTTTCCCTTTGCCACTGTTTTCAAGCTTATTTTGGTGAAAAGTGGATGGGAAGACGCTAAAACGGGGAAAAATTCGCGAGTTTTTTCCCTTTGCCACTGTTTTCAAGCTTATTTTGGTGAAAAATGGATGGGAAGACGCTAAAACGGGGAAAAATTCGCGAGTTTTTTCCCTTTGCCACTGTTTTCAAGCTTATTTCGGTGAAAAGTGGATGAAAAGACGCTAAAACGGGGAAGAATTCGCGAGTTTTTTCCCTTTGCCACTGTTTTCAAGCTTATTTCGGTGAAAAATGGATGGGAAGACGCTTAAACGGGGAAAAATTCGCGAGTTTTTTCCCTTTGCCACTGTTTTCAAGCTTATTTTGGTGAATAATAGATGAGAAGACGCTTAAACTGGGAATGATTCGCGAGTTTTTTCCCTTTGCCACTATTTTCAAGCTTATTTTGGTGAATAATGGATGAGAAGACGCTTAAACGGGGAAAAATTCGCGAGTTTTTTCCCTTTGCCACTATTTTCAAGCTTATTTTGGTGAAAAATGGATGAGAAGACGCTTAAACGGGGAAAAATTCGCGAGTTTTTTCCCTTTGCCACTATTTTCAAGCTTATTTTGGTGAATAATAGATGAGAAGACGCTTAAACGGGGAATGATTCGCGAGTTTTTTCCCTTTGCCACTGTTTTCAAGCTTATTTCGGTGAAAAGTGGATGAGAAGACGCTAAAACGGGGAAAAATTCGCGAGTTTTTTCCCTTTGCCACTATTTTCAAGCTTATTTTGGTGAAAAATGGATGAGAAGACGCTTAAACGGGGAATGATTCGCGAGTTTTTTCCCTTTGCCACTGTTTTCAAGCTTATTTTG